TTTTTTTATCGTTGGACTGTTTCTCATGATATTCAATACTCCTCTGTTACACATCGTGGAAAATAATTGCACGAAATTTCAGTTTAATACATCTTGTATTTTTTGAGTTGTTGCTCGGAAACTGAGTTGTTATTTTTGTTCAATAGTGCAGCATCCGCACCAATATTCTTTCAACAAAGGGCGCGCCAATAGTGGTCTCGATAATTAACCACCACCAAACTCGTTTGGGGGGCAACAACTCCAAAAAATACAAGATGTTTCGAATTGAATTTTCGTCTATTGATTTGTCAGCGACCGCAAGCCCCATTTGAGAGAAAAAGTTGAGGACCGGACCAACTTTTACGACAACGTGCTGGTAATGACGTTACCGCCAAAAACAAATTACCTTTCCGGCGAAAACATTGCAAACTACTTTTTTGAGAACGAAGCTTGAAATGAGGCAGGGGATGCTGGATCGCGAGGTTGCCAAAAAGTTTAAGTTGACAAAATGTGTTCGCGCCGGAACACTTAGATGTTCTGTAGTTGTGGGGATTAATGGACCACACACGAGCCCCGTTGGATATGGGAACCGAAGACGCTGTGGGGACAGCAGAAACCAAAAAAAATAATAATAATCCCCATAACGCGGTGACGAGCCGCCCATTCGTTTGCATGGAGGATAATTTTTCCTATGTTGTTCCTTATCACGATCTTTTGTTTATAATACAGTTGAGTCTTCTGTTCATACTTTTTAACTCGTTTTGCAAACGCTCCAATTGATTTTGTACACGTTTTCTAATCGAGGACGTCCTCGATTTGACTCCTGGTCTCAATTACACAAAGATATTTCACGTGTGTCCTCGAGTTACGAACCCATATACACACCGATACAAGTGTGTGCTTGCCTGCAATCGGCAACCCCCTATTGTCCCTCTTTTGTTTGTACTTCAACTTTTCAGGAAGACCTCCCATATATGTATTGTACACGATCACCAGATTGGGGACCTCCGGGAATTGGGGACCCTATTGTCCTCTGTTGTTCAAAGTCCCCTATTGAATGCAGAAACATCTTCGTTTGCGTAACATACCTAGTGCGGACATTCCTTTGTTTTCGTGTAGTTAAGAAAAGCCTGTGACAAAAACCCATTTTACTCACACTGTGAAAGCTCTTTCAACCCAAATGTTTTTTCTGTGATTCCCTTGAATGTTTCTCTTCATTTTGCGAAGGATAAACTGAACCCCAAAAAGCCTCTACACCTGTTTTCCAGAGAGGGGGAAACCTTGTGTGGACGTGGGCAAGTCTACATCCGTATCTGAAAACTGGTTTATGTGGACATCTTTTGTTCGGAAGTCCACACAGTGAATGTAATGCTTGTCTAACTGAACTCACACACAGGTTGGAAAAAACTGAATGAGACTCTCAACTCGCGTTTGCAGAGAACATACAGCAATACCTTTATTTGTTCAAGCCAAACAAAACAAAACAAGGAAAAATCACAACTTACGCTTCATAACAATAATTAACTTGATTGTGTTATGTAATGACTGCCTTCTCTGGGTAGCTGCCTTAATTATTTAAAATAAAATGCGGTGGCTTTTTTTGACGGAAGGAAAGGTGAAAGTAACGCTACTGCGGGTGCCCAATCCAATATCGCAACTACCTTTCACAAAACATTTTTTGTGTGGTCTTTTGGCACACCAAATTACAATCACCTAACTGCACTTGCACAATCCTTTATCAACAACCACACCCAAAAGTTTCACAAACTCAATAATGGCCGACTCAGTTTAAGTGCGCAAAAATGCATGTTTGTTTTCTGAGTAAACAACATCGTCCAATGAAATAAACAACTGACTGAAATGTCCTCAAATATCTGTAAACCCTACTGCATTATTTCATTTTACTGAACAAATTGAAAACTTTATGACTGTTTCAAATTGAAATTGTATTGCGGATATCACGTTATCCGGTTCGTTAGTAAAAACGTCATTCACACGCGCGCACCACTGATAACTAGCGCCCATTGGATAAACGCCCGAGTTGCGTTAACTTGCGGTGTATGTAGCGTGAATATGCAGCGGGAAGAGCCATCCATGTAAGCCCCGCCCACTATGCACGTGGCAAAGAACACGTGCTCCTCAAGATGCGCGCGTAGTCCTCACGTGCATACATCTGACTTTGTGCACGCATGTCAGACATTATTCACGGATGTGAGTGGTCAAACCATCATGGGGCGGGGCTTGTATGGATCGGTTTGAGTACACCAAGGGCCAAGTTCGCGCAAGGACTATAGTTGACCAATGGTTAACTAACGTTTGCCCGAACTCTGTCTAGTCGACGGTGGCTGACTACGCTAGTCGACTATTTGGAACCAGCCTACTGGGGTTGGTTGGTTCGCTGGTAACCAATAGCCGCGCGCATTCATAACGCTAGCAGAGAGCCAGGATCCAGAAGTTTTGCGATGACATTTTTGACCAGCGTTTGACGAGAGACGTTCGCACGTTGCTATCAGTGCGCAGGCGTAAGGTACGTCACAAATCAACCACTAGTCGACTAATGGTCCTTGCCCGAACTTGGCCAAGCATGTGCGTTTTGTTTTTCCTCACGAGCTCTTGGACAGAACAGGGAAAGTGTTCTTACATTATTGAATGGCACATAAGGCAGTACTAAAAATCTATTACAAATTACCTACCTAAAATTGACGATTGCAGGTGCAAATATGTTTGCAAGTAATAACAGATATACAGGGTGAGTAAAAACTAAAAACGAAACCCAAATGTCGGGACTATTGTTATATTGAAGTTCTGCATGTAGCACCTTCAAAATCTAGGACATGAAGGCCCAATTCAAACGCTTTCTTTTAGTACAAAAATTTTTCAAATTCAAATTTTAAACACAACCACCGTTTTAAAGTTCTGTAAACGGATCACAAAAAAGGTGTGCGTTCTTTCAGCAAAACGCAAACAATTAACACGCATCCCTATGTGATTCGTTTTCTTTTTTTACTGAAAGAAGACTGAACTTTTTTGTGATCCGTGGACAGAACCTTAAAACGGTGGTTGTGTTTAAAATTCCGTAACTTGAAAAGTACATGAGGGGTTTGAATGATTCTTGTACTAAAAGAAAGCTTATGAATTGGGCTTTCATAATTTGAAAGTGCTACATGCAGAACTTCAATAAAACAATGGTTCCAACATTTCGGTTTCGTTTTTTTTTTTAGTCACCCTGTATATGTTGTCCAAACTTACTAACTTAAAAACTTATAAAAGACATTCCTTTGTCACAATGGACCGATCCAGCAGGCCCCGCCCACTGACGTGCTCCTCTCCAATGCCACACTGCATTTTCCTGACGCGCGCATCATACGCGCGTGCACGCACGTCGGACTTTTGTGCACGCACGTCGGACATAAATCACGGCTGTGATTGGTTAGAACACCATGGGGCGGTGCTTACTGGATCGGTCCATTACAACTCTTGAGTAATATTCATTATATTGAACTAAACCAATTATTACAAAATTTAATGTGCTCAAAAAGGTTTTCAAGACAAAATATTGTTCTGCGTATTTACACTTACTCAAACAAGTAAACAGCAATAACAAATTACTTTCTGGGTAGTATACATATTTCTTTTTAAACAGTAATACAATAATTTGTCATCAACTTATCACTAAGTTATCAGTTGCAAGTTGCAAAAAAAATTGGGCAAATATCCCAAAAGCAATTTCTCTAATCATGTTCCTATCAATTTTCCCGAGCCATTCTGGCATCAATAATTTGAAAATAAAAATGAAATAAACGTATTTATTGACACGAATTAATGTGATGAGTTGTAAATTAGTAAATATGCTCATATAAATGCATTTTCTAAATGTACATAAACGTGTCCTTTAAAATAATGAATGCAAATTTATATACACAAGTGATTGTAACCATTTGTTGGTGGTAATAGATTTAAATATTAAATACATAAACAGAAAGGAAAGACACCTAGATCAAGTTTTAAAAATCAGGCAATGTTGCAATACCATGAATCACACATTTTAAATTTTTTTTAACAATTTCTCAACAATTCACGGAGCTTGGTGGAAAAGATTTCTTGACAAATGTGTGCTAAGCAAGCCTCAACTGAGAACCAGTCGCAAGCGATGTACACTGCATGGAATTTTAGCTGGTAACCAAGCTAATGTGGCTCAGTGCATTTCTGTGCCTATTGCAAATCCAAGATGGAGCTAAAAGATTATGAAGGGGGGGGGGGGGAGGTGGGGGTGGGGGTGGGGATGAGTATGTAAACACCGGCAACCGTGGACCTAGGACACGATTGACAAAACCAATGAAAGCTGTGGTTAAAAAGTTAAGAGTACAAACAAAGGAATGAGGGGGTCCACGATTGCCGGTGTTTACGGAGATGGGTTTATGGGGGTGCGTGAGTTTGTTTCTGAACTCAATAGGGAATGTTGAATAGAGGACAATAGGGTCCCCGATTCCCGGAGGTCCCCAATTTGGCGATCGTGTACAAAACAAATGGGAGGTCTTCCTAAAAAATTAGGGTACAAACAAAAGAGGGACACTATGGGTCCCCGATTGCAGGCAAATACACACTTGTGTGTGTGGGGGTGGGGGGGGGGGGGGGCTTGGTTAGACACTATTTTTTTTTGGGGGGGGGTGCTTTCAGAGTGGACCATCTTGGACTCTATTGGACAGTAGGATGTCCTACAACTTGAAAGCCTTTTTGCTGACAGACTGCCGATTTTGCCAACAAAAATGTTTTAGAGGGGGAATGGGGGAGGGAAGAGGGGGGAGGGAAGACCCCAACACCCCTCTAGCAACACCCAGTACAGCGAGCTCAACAAATCTTACGATGGATGATCTAAAATCTTATGAAGATGATCTCAACTGGAAACCATTTTCACCACATACTACTGGTAAATACATAATATAAAACTAGATCTGTTTAATGTCGGACGACAGGTGATTTCAAAGTAAACCACAAAACGATAATAAAACAATTTTTTTCCCTAAAATTTAACATGGTACCACAAGTGTTTGCAACACTTCAATTTTGCTATGACTAGAATATAATAAAATACAATTTAGTTATTATTGTTTCATTGTAACACACAAATCATGCAAGCTATTATACAGGCTGTTCAATTGAAATAGGAAATGTCTGTGCTCTTTTCAACAAATTAATAATTTTTTCTCTTGTCCGATTTTCAACTTTCAACATTTCAGACACATCCGCCCTGCAAGCAAACTGATTGCCTGACCCTTTATCATTGATACGATAAGGAGGCAGGAACCAGTCTACCCTGGGATTTAAAATTATTGTCAGGCCAACAATTTAAAAAATTTGTAGAGTACCTATACCAAAGCTTTAATGTTGGCCAATTTTTTTTCTTTTTTCGATGACTCAATCAAAGTGAATCAAACTTTCATATTGATGGAAAAATAGCAATTAAAAATTAATATTCTTTAGAAAGTTGAAATTTGAAAATAGCACGGACTGTTAGTATATCTTTAAATATTAATTTTAGCGAAAAAAAAGGACATATTTGGCAAGAAAGAATATATACAGTCGGGCACATGGGCCTCGCCAGGATTTTTTTCGGGGGGGGGGGGGGGCAAAGCAAATTATTTCCAAAAATCCTTGTACTTTTTTAAGCATATTCTCAATTTATCATTGTTTTTGAGGGTTGGCAGGGGGGTATTTGCCCACCCCACGCCCTTTGACACCCCTGTGGACGCCCACGTTCTTAAATGCGTATTAAATTAACAGCAATATGATTTCGCATCTCGTCTTCTATTTAGAACTATTAGTAACTAGATTCTGTTGCTAATGCACTTAAACCAAAATGTGCACATTTGCTTGAACTACCTTCAACAATTTGATTGGAATGATATCACAGGGTATTTGGTAATATCTTCACTTTGAGCAAGCATTTTTTTTTCATTAAATCATTAGGTTCATTTTTCGGTTAATTGCAAATGTTCCTAAATGCCTTCAAAGCCAAGACTTCTAAGGCCTTGTACCAGTTGTGCAAAGTACAGTACAAGTCAATACACAGCATAGGAGTGGTAGTTTTAATAAGGAATAATAAAGTGATAGGCCAATTTTAAACAAGTACATGTACGTTTATAACCGAAGCCGAAGGACATTATCCACAACCAGGCCCCTAGCCGGCTTTAAATGCACTTGTTTAATACCGGCCCAGCACACGTTTACTCCCATTCATAAATACCTTTTGATCAAGAAGTCAAAACAAGTCAAATATTCACAAATGTCCAACAATTTTGTTCAACAATTTTTCTTCATGTTTTGTGAAACACCCTTCTGGCCATGTCTATGGTATGTGCCTTGCGGGCATAGTGCTAGAAATCAACTTTTATGGAAATAGGTGCGTCTGCGGCACCTGCTGCGTGATGTGGCGCAGAACACAGCGGTATTTTACCGGCGGTTTAAAACCACCCACAAGCTCTTGACTTATAAGAATTAATAAACTGTCTCAGGTATTTATGAATGGTAGTTACATGAAAATCACAAGGCACGTGAATATTGAAACCTCCCATCAAAATACATGTTAACCCTACAAAGAACATAGGTGCATTGCGGTTTACGACTATGCACGATCACGAAAAACACCACCACCCTATTTTTGCTTTTTAAGGACTGTAAGATGCCAGCCACTACAGCTAAATAACAAGTCATATCTAAAATGTACGTCTTTAGTGTCGTCGATAATATCAGCCTCGTACGAAATTCTCAACTTTAAATTTTAAGCTTGGCAATTTTCCCCTTTGAAATCAGAATGGTGTGTTTCTCTCTCATCATTCTGATACTCACAAAAGACTTGGGTACTTTCTCCTCTAAATGGCCGGGGTATGACCCAGGGGACAGGTGCTGCAGTCCTCAACATCCACTGTGCATGTTCCTCCTTCAACCTAATTAACAAAACAAAATTAATAAACAATTCTCAAAAAATGAAATACAACCACAGGAAAACTGCAGAACACAGTTGCACCATTTTGGTTTTTTTTTTCAATATCACGATGGCCCTGCTGACGGTAGTGATAAACCGAAGCCTGCTGATTGGTCAGCGGGTAACATATGCGCATAATTAGGTGTCCTGGCAGATCGGGGGGGGGGGGGGGGGAAACACAACATAGTCTGGTTCTCAGTCTCAGAGATTCTGACTTCTCTGACGAATCACATTGTTATTGATGCGGACATTATTTGTATATTATTATCAAAATTCAGACTATCGAACCTTGTGTGCTTTCGGAATAATGAAACTTGTTTCGTTTCGAAACTACTGAACCTTCCGACTAAGTAACCTTATTCTAAATTCGGACTACCGAACCTTGGGATGAATGAAACTTCTGATTATGGAACCTTCAGACTAACTAACCTTCAGGCTATCACATAATATGTTTGGATTAACAAACCTTATTTCATTTTTGGACTAATTAACCCCCCAGTTGTATGAAATTTGTGCATTCAGACTATCAAACCTTTTTATCAATAAACCTTTGGACTATCGAATTTTCGGACTATCGAATCTTCGGACTATCAGGCGGACCCCGTACTTTCAGCTGCGGCAGCTACCTGACCTAATATTTGTCAGAATAGACAGAATGTTTTGGTCTGGGTACCAGACTAGGAACAATGGGGACCACACCCTCCTCCCATGCAAATAATCGATTGGTCATCTTGATAGCGCCCTCTGCTGTTGATGCAGCTTCTCTTTACCAGGGATCTTCTGCGCATTAAACGAGACATATTCGAATTCAGGTCTTGTACCAAGACTACCACGATGGTATATGTACTGATTGGTGTCATTTATACACACATTGACAAAGCGGCTAACATACCTGTGGGTGGTTCGCCTGCAAAATTTCATACTTCTTGCATCTCCGCCCAAGGCTATCCACGGTCAAGCAAGCTGGGAAGAAACAAATTTCAAAATTGTTATCATCACCGCCAAGGCTGATCTAGACTTGGCTCAAGTCTGGGTTGCGCTTGGTCTGTGCCTGTAGTAAATCCACGCATAGTGCATACGTCCGTACAGTATAACCCGCGCCCTCATGCGTCGAATCCGGACCAACATTAACCCTTACTCTCTGAGGGTAGTTTACTGCATGTCAGTTGGTTATGCCAATGCCCTCCAGCTGCAGTTTATTGGCAGATAGTTTGTCTTAACAGTGAAGGCTCCAATTGGCAGGAGTTGGAGGCCCTGGAGGGTGCCTGATACTGACCAGCTGGGGGCACTCACTTTGTTATCAGAGGACTCTCATTGTTCTCTGTGGCATGTATTGGAGTGCCTGTCCAGTTACCCTTGAAATGACATGGCAGATATTGGAGGGCCGTGCAAAAAACATGTGCCATTTTCTTAAGGCACATAATGGCATGCGTTGGAGGGTCAAGTTGGGTAAGGGTTAAAAGGGAATATACATCATTTGCTTTTGCTGTAATTTTCGGAAATGAATGGAATTGGGGGGTTGGAAATATATAGCAAATATAGTTACACTGACTTTTTTGAGGTTTTGGGTTCGAAAATGCTATAAAAACCAAGAAAAACAATCGTAAGGTCAGGGAACCAGTCGAGCTGGCTTGTACCCGTTCATAGGTGTGTAATCGATTGCAAACAAGTGCGATGGTCAATTGGGGCCAGTATTTGAAAAAAAGTCGGCCGACCAGCGTTGGAAATTGATACAAAAATACCACTTTTCTTGAAATGACAGTATACCAGGTGCCATGATTTTACAGGATGCTTTACACTGTCATTCACTAACAGTCCAGCAAGGTATTTCAAAATGATTGGGTAGTTTTATTTTTTGATGTTTGCAAATGTTGTATTTTCCCTTTAAAAGCATACATACCGGTACATGTAAATGTTGTTGTGATGCAGCAACCCAGACTTGGTCAATCTGCCAAGCATGCGCGCTGGTTTGTTCTATGTTTGAACACAGTCTATTGAAATTGTTAATTTTCGCTGTGATTTGCTTCTACTCATTTGGGTAGAAGCCAATCCAACACAGTATTTAACCCAAAAGGGGCTGGGGGTGGGGGAATCTGCCCCCCCCCCCTCAACTTTTTCCGCGATAGCTTAAAAAAATTTTCCGCGACCTGAGTTGTTCTGACTTTTTAGCCTCGAGCTTTGCGCATATGTTGATACCAAAAACATAAAAATCGGACAACGGGTTGCCACGACACTACGCGCCGTAAAAACTGAAAAGCCAAACTACTCCTTATTTAAGATTTAATTGTTCCAATATTGCTTAAAAATAAATACTCTAGGATAAAACAGATGGTATTGTGCAGTATTGTCGTCATAGATGAAGTATTTACCCGGGAAATAAACGTCAAATTTCGAGGAGAACACCCAATTTTTGTTTTAAATGAGGCTTTTATTAAAAAGTTTTAGCGAGATAAGATGCTGAACCGATGAAACAAAAGCGACATTTCATTGTTCATCTTAAAGCTAAAGATATTGTGCTCAGCATTACCATGGTTATGTAGTTGATCACTTATCAGAATTCAATAATAAAGACCAAAAATATAATTCGCTGGCTTGACAGACTTCGAGGCCAGATCGGGCGCAAAACCTTGCAAATCTGAAAGCCACCGCGCGCAGTGGTCTTTGTTGAAAAGTATTCATGGTATTTGCCACCAGTACGGGCCGTTATCACGCGTCTAACCAGGAGTTGGGCCGAGTCGTTAATCCTTGTGTGTAGGATCTGTGCTTCCATTCAATCAACCACCGAGATAACCAGCCATTTGCGAGTTAAATTTGAATGAAATCTGGAAAGCTGACTTAATCCAATGCTTTGCACATTTTAACTTTGCATTGTCCCGTCCCGACCAAAGAGACTCTTACTACATCCCGTGATTCGGGGCAAGCCTTACGCTAACAATCCCAGCTCCGGCATGGTCTGGTGTCTTTGTGCCATTCTTACCCATTGTGAACGATGTATTGGTGCCGAGCGTCTCTTACGTAACTTGCTTGCCCCGAATCATGTGATATAGCAACAGTGTCTTTGGTCAGGAGAATTCAAAGTTCAAATGTGCCAAGCATTCTGAGCAAGTCAGTGTACCAGATGTTTTTCAAATGTTAATCCCAAAGGGCATAGGTTACTCACAATTGGCTTATGGGGAAAATTCAAACACCGGGTCCAGGACTAGACTAGTCAGAGTTTGGGGCCGTTCACACTCCATTTTGGTTGCAGATCAGTTTGTGCCATAGAGCAATATTAAATTACTAGAGTGCTAACTCCTCATTCTTGTGCGCGGAGACGCTTCAAAGCCGCTCTGGGCACAGGAATTTTTAATTTATGTGCGTGTTTGTAGAACACAATCAAAATAGATGGATTTAATTTTAAAAGTGTACTCTAAATGCAACGCGCGAGTAGAAGATATGCAAACAACAGTTAAAAAAAAAGTCACTGCGAAAAACATCTGCAGCGGAGGGACGCGCACACGTTGCGCTGTTTGCGTAGAGCAAAATAAAAAACGCTCATTTGCTGATCGAGCGTTGTGGTTTTGGGCATGTCGGCTACGATGTCCCATCGGTATGGAATACAAGCGCAGATATCAGAGATGAAACTGGCATATGGCAAAAAAAATCGGAAAATAGGCCGAACAAAAATACGTGTCCGAAATCTGGGCCTCGCTGCAGTTACACACATGTACATGCATGTACAAAACACTTCATGCCCAATATCCAGACACCAACTCCTCCTTTTTTTTTCGATTCAAACAAAATTTTACGATGGAAAAAAAATGGTCAGTGTTTTCATTGCATAAAACGCCTGAATTACGGTTAGAGTAATGGAGTCATCAACAAAGAAGTTCACTTCTTACTTGAGAAAGTAGAGGAAAATGTCCGAAAGACAAGGCACCATTCATGGTGCTTCAATCATGTCCATGATTCAACCACACAACTCCACTACTCCACTTGCATTCGTAAGTGGGGAAAAATCAGGCATTATCGTCTTTCTCTTCCAACAAATGCCAGTGAAATGTTTCGCTAATGCTCTCTGCGCTATCCTCGAGATAATCATGATTTTTAAAGCATTGCATTTTGTACGACTAAATCTGAAACCTCCGAAAATCGCACAACATAATGATTTTATTTTATCCACTGGATCGTTCACAAGGCTACCCGTTACCGACCAGCCATGTGCTATATTATAGCGGACGGTACGGTGAGGTACGTGCACTGGTACCATTGCGTACAGTACATATGCACGCACGTGCGACACAGTGATTTTTCCATGTCACCTGTCAATGTTTAACCTTTTGTCCAGCCGGAGAAGGCTCCGATCAGTGTTATGGCCTGTGTTTCTACCGTTGAAACACTCCAATAACCAGTGGCGTAGCCACCGGGGGGGGGGGGGGGGGGGGGGCCATTGGGGGCGACCGCCCCCCCCATGAAACCTTGTCGCCCCCCCAGTCGCCCCCCCACTGAGATTTTGAGTTTCTAAAAAAAAATATCATTGCTCTACATGACGCCATGGGCCCTATTATGTACTACAATGTATCTTTTGCTTAGAAAATATTTGTTAAAGTGGTCAGAAATTGCCTCAGATAGCACCACAGAGCATTTAGAATACAAAATTTTTCGGGGCCCTTAAGCGGGCCCCGAACCCCACGCCTATAGCTCAGAATTCTGGTAGCTGATTCAATGACTCCAACCTCGAAAACAATGTTCACAAAATTTTCTTATGCATTTAGCTGAGAAAACCTTGAAAATTATGTTTAAATTATTATCTTTTGTGCTAAGATAATTATTGGTTAAAGTGGTAAAAAATTGCCTCAGATCACACCACAGAGCATCGAAAATCTAATTTTTTTCGGGGTTCTTTAGCGGGCCCCGAACCCCACGCCAATAGCTCAGAATACCGATAGCTGATTCAATGTCTCCAACCTCGAAAACGATGTTCAAATATTTATCTTTTGCCAAGAAAATATTAGTTAAAGCATGGAGGAAAGTCGTAAGAAATTGCTTCAAATCACACCACAGAACATCTAGAATCCAATTTTTTTCGGGCCCTTAAGCGGGCCCCGAACCCCACGCCGTAAGGGCTTCGCGCTTCGCGCTTGCATCAGTTATGATCAAGGTATGTCCCCCCCCCCCCACTTTTGAGAGGCGATTGACGCCCCTGCTTGACGCCCCCCCATGAAATGTTCCAGCCCCCCCAGCGCCCCCCCACTGAAAAATTCCTGGCTACGCCACTGCCAATAACGACTGGTGATAGATACATTCGCGATGATTTTAACGTGCTATTTCCATCGACTTTTCATCGACTTTTCTTCAAAATTATGATAGAAATAAAATGACATTTTGTGAAAAAATCGTTACAAAAATGTGGGACACATTGTAAGAAAATTAGAAATTTTGTTGGAAAATTCAAAAAGTCCGATTTCCGATTAAAATCGGAAAAGTTTCATCTCTGATATATGCAAATAGCCGTACAAAAGCCGTACAAAATTTCGAGTTTTCCGTAGGTTTGTGCACAAACATGGATGCGCCCAGCAGGCATTACTTTGTACATGAGTTAGCGCTCTAGTAAATTAATATAGCTCTATGGTTTATACTCACATTCCACGACGATTTGCACTTGTTTAGATTCTGATGGACCACCCTCTACTTCGGCAGTGCAAGTGTAGTTCCCGGCGCTGTCACTGTGAGTGGTCACCTTCAGCTCAAGCAGTTTGTCCGACATCTTCGTCTCCTTGAAGAAGTGGCTGTTTTCTTTGATAAATGCTGTATCGCCAACTACACATACCAAATAATGTAGGGTAAGGGTTAGAGTATTAGAACAGGCATGGGTGGCGTTACATCATGGATGAAAATATCTTGTGGGGTGCTGTGGTCCAATGGTTACGGTGTTCGACTCGTGTGCCGTGGTACAGGGGTTCGAATCCTGACCGTCAACCGTGGGAACACGGTGCTTGTGCTCTTGAGCAAGGCACTTTACCATTATTGCTTCGTCCTTCGGATGGGATGTAAAGCCGTAGGTCCCGTGTGTTATGTAATGCACGTTAAAGAACCCAGTCACACTTATCGCTGTTTGCCCCGGTGTTTCTGGCAGTGGCTGCAATATGCACCGCAGCACCTTGTAAACCATTATAAGGTGCTACACAATGGGTATCAAATTTCTCATAAACTTTATTTACCTTTCTTTAATAATAGACATAATTTCCAGTGCCTTGAGTACCTAATTGTTGGTAAATACGTGCGCTATATAAGACTCCGATATTATTATTATCTTTTCATTAGCTGGTGGGTTTCCATCGGTTGCTATACAGGGTGAGTAAAAACAGAACGTAACCCAAATGTCGTGACCATTGCATTAGTGAAATTCTGCATGCAGCACTTTGAAAATCTAGAATATAAAAGCCCAATTCATAGTAAGCTTTCTTTTAGTACAAGAATCATTCAAATGATCACTCATGTACTTTTCAGGTTACGGAGTTTTAAACACCACCGCCGTTTTAAGGTTCTGTCCACGGATCACAAACAAAAAGTTCAGTGTTCTTTCAGCAAAACGAAAACAAATCACATAATGATTTGTGTGAATTGTTTTTTTGTGATCCGTGAACAGAACTTTAAAACGGTGGTTGTGTTTAAAACTCCGTAACTTGAAAAAGTACATGAGTGATTTCAATGATTCTTGTACTAAAAGAGAGCTTATGAATTGGGCTTTCATATCCTAAACTTTGAAAGTGCTACATGCAGAACTTCACTAAAACAATGGTTTCGACATTTGGGTTTCGTTTATTTTGACTCAACCTGTACATCATTCAGCACTCCGGACTCAAGAACCGCCAAGTTTTAAGTAAATACGTCTGGGAGCCAGACAAGCCAATGTAAAAAATTCCCAGATGTCTGAAGCTATCTTTATTTGCCATTTGACCTCTAGCGATTTATAGGGAACAAGTACATGTATAGACAAGGAAGAGATCTACATGTATTTCAAGTTGTGTAGAAAATTAAAGGGTGTGGTCAAACACTCTGTATTAGGTTACTGCGATATGCGCCCAGCTGTTGTTGTATTACAAAACACTGACCAATGACCAAATTCAAATTGACCAATCAAACGTTTAGTCCTGATTTGGGAATGAAATGACATCACGATTTAGTACTACTACTATTGGCTGAGGTGCGAGATCGCATAAATCTGCATACTTTGACATTTCCGACGCTATACAGGAGACTTGGCTCCGTAGAAAACAGGTGATACTCAAAATGTACCTCACCGATGACACTGCTAGTCTAGGGGCTGGCCCTTGTTAATGGTTTGATATGCGATAACGTGTACCCGCCGCTGCAATAACCTGCCGCAGCGAGAGGGGGCTATCACGACCAACCAATATCGCCCACGGACTTGTCAGAACAACGGCCATGGAAACTCATATTGGTTGTGTAATGCGCGCCCACCTGTTTGGCCTAATTTATGCAGCGCGCATTTCAAAGTTCCGAAGCAAACTCTCAAATTTCTTCCAATGCAACAAAAGATGCAGCAAGACTTTCGTGCAACTTCACTGGTCAGCTCTTTAGTTATGTGTTGTATGTGTAGGACTGAAAATGGACCGTAATTGGGTGCAGAAGTGTTGCCCCCATTTTTCTGGGGGAGATTTCAGCAGTTTCCCTAGACGTTGTTCCGACAAGTCCGTGGGCGATATTGGTTGGTCGTGATAGCCCCCTCTCGCTGCGGCAGGTTATTGCAGCGGCGGGTACACGTTATCGCATATCAAACCATTAACAAGGGCCAGCCCCTAGACTAGCAGTGTCATCGGTGAGGTACATTTTGGTCTTGATAGCGCCCTCTTGTGGCAGTGAGTTATCGCGTATCAAACCATTAACAACGTCTAGCCCCTAGACTACGACACTGCATAAATTATGCTGAACATAAAAGAATCACCAAGGTGAGGGAGACTTACCCTTGACCCAGGACAGCGTGACAGGGCGGTCAGAACACGGCCCAAAACCAGCTTGGCAGTACAAGAACACGTCCTTGTTATCACACGAAGTCACTTTGTTCACTTCAGGTTGGACTAAGACTAACATCCGGCACAAAAGAAGGAAAAAAAAAATCAAGGATAAAAATATTTGCAAAAAGACCACATTGGGAAACTGACTATGTGCATTATAATTATAGTGCATTGAACAAAGAAATTGACTGGAGCGGAGTTTGAACCCGTGACCTCTGGATTGCCGTTTCAGGCTCTACCAACTGAGCTATCCAGCCATATGTTGGCGGTTCCCCAATTGATCAATATCTTTGTTCAAGGGGCGCTAGTCAGAAGCCATACACCCACACATGCGTCAAGTAGTCAGGGATAATGTCCTTAGTTTTTATGCTACCAACATTAGCAACATTTGCTGCAAACCTGGGAAATAGCAAACGGGGATCACTCAAGGAGGATACGGCTTTTACTACAAATTTTCAAATAACTCACATAGAGAAACTGACTACGTGCATTATAATGATTTTTTTTAAGAGGAATGAAGACAATGACTAGGGTTTGAACCTGTGACCTCGGGACTGCCATTGCAGTGCTCTACCAACCGAGCTATCCAGCCCTATGTTGGCAGTTCCCCATTTTGTCAATGTCTTTGTTCGAGGCGCGTTAGTCAAAAGCCATGCCATGTAACCATGGATCACCCCCAAGTCACAATGCTAGCAATGGCAACCCGGAGGCTGCAGGTTCAAACCCCGCCGAATTGAAGCGTGATTAACGAATGCGAAGCGTGATTAACACATGAATTGCAGTCTCTTGACTTCTTGAAGTCGGGGTTAAAAGCTTCTATGTTGGCAAGGACTCCGTGGATAACCACCTTGTTTTTTTCCAACTTTCGCTCGGGAGGTAACACACTGAGTATACAGTGTTTATACGTCGGTGAAGGGCAAAACCTAATTTGATTCACCTTGTCACTTGATATGGAGAGATTATAGAGGGAAAGTACGCATTTCCGCGTTTATACGGTTCCCTGCTGTACAATGCAATATGCACTTGCTACTGAAACCACATTGCCACATGGGGCGCTGTGGTCCAATGGTGACGGTGTTCGACTCGTGTGCCGTGGTACATGAGTTCGAATCCTGACCGTGGGAACATGGTGCTTGCGCTCCTGAGCAAGGCGCTTTACCATTATTGCTTCGTCCTTCGGATGGGACGTAAAGCTGTAGATCCCATGTGTTGTGTAATGCACGTTAAAGAACCCAGTAACACTTATCGCTAAGAGAAGGGGTTTGCCCCGGTGTTTCTGGCAGTGGCTGCTTAATGCGCCGCAGCACCTTGTATATAAAGGTGCTACATAATGGGTCTTATATTTCTCATGTACTTCATTTACCTGTCTCTAATAATAGACATAATTTTCAGCGCCTTGAGTACCTAATTGTTGGTAGATTCTGAATAGATATCCAAACCATATGGGGTTCGACCCTAGACATAATAATAATAAGAATAATAACAGATAATTTATAAGGTGCACAGTATCTGGAGAACCATTCAAAGGCGCCGGTCACTAGCAAATCACTGTGGTTTAAATGATAGATTGAAAAGATGAGTCTTAAGATGGCGTTTGAATGATGACATACATATTGATGAAGTTATCATCTTAATGATGGGTAAATATGTTTCTTAATTCAACCTGCCCTTCTGATTCCAAGATCAAAGAACTTACACTGAGGCTGTTCATTGACACATTCAGCTGTATTCACACTAGACAGAAAAGACAAGAAAAGTGGAATGTTAAATTCAAATACAATTCTGGTAAATGATGTATGTAAACACAAACTCGATGCTTTGCGTATCCCTATGATGTATATGTACACGTACCACAAACTGAATCTAGTCCAGTGCCAGAGTGTTTGATACTTCAAGCAGTGATGACAACCCCGCCGCTAAAATAAATGTCTGTATTCGTACAGACATACATATACCAGCAGGAGTACATACGGCAGATCTTATGTGCAAAATCAACGACTCTCTTTTTCTCAGTACTTGCAGGCGCGGTACACAATGCGCATTGATGTTCGTGTACGAGGCAAACAATGATAGTCATAACACGCGTGCACACGCACGTGGTGCTCCGAGTATTCGCATTTGGCCTGCGTGCCCCTTCTGCAGATATTTTAGGCCTTGGTGCCCTACCAACTGACCTTGGTGCCCTCTATAATTTTGCTTCATTCAAGGCCAAAGTGGCCCTGCCCTAAAAATTACCAAACTCAAGGCCTGCATTGCCCACGATTCTTTGCTGCATTACCCTGCGATGAGCATTTTTGCAATTTTCAAACTTTTCTTCGCTCATCCACACCGCTTCAACCTAGGAAGCTGATGACCACTGATCCCTTTCACAAAAGTATTATTAAAGCACAGTGGGTACATAAAAGGTTGGTACATACTTGGTTGAAAGATAGTAAGGGGACTAAACTCCCTATGAAATTATTCTTTCTGGCAAGCTGTCATTTTGAAGAAATCAACAAAAGAAGGCATTTCCAACGGTGCGTCTCAAGTTAGTAGTTTGATTTTTTATTCGGCGAAGCGCGTGCAAGCGTTGACACGACGCACACGCGCGCGGTTGCTATAATTCGTCCATGAATTCGTAGGATCAGTGCGGGCCATAGCATAGCTGCAATCGGCTCAATGATAACGTGTCTCGGACGCTGAATTGAGGCCCAATTCAAAACATGATTCAGCAACTTTTGATTTGAAATCGAGATCATAGAATGCTGTTTTTCTTGAAATAAACAGCTGAAGCTGAGCTGAAACTTCATCAGGTTAGTTGTTTAGCACCCTTCTTTAGATTTTGAGCACTTTTGTTGCTTAAAACTAACAAAATGCACAAATTACAAATGATGGACTTTACCTTTTAGCTACAGTCCATCATTTGCAGCTATCCAAAAAGTAACTGGCATAATTATTGTTGAAAAACATACTTGGTTGAAAGATAGTAGAGGGACTAGACTCCCTGTGAATTATTCTTTCTGGCAAGCTGTCATTTTGAAGAAATCAACGAAAGGAGCCCTTTCCAACAGTGCGTCTTAAGAAGCACCGTAGAAAATTCAAATTATTAGTTCGTTTTGTTATTTGGCGAAGTGCGCACAAGCATTGGCTCAACGCACACGCGCGCATGGTTGCTATAATTCGTCGGATCAGTGCGCGACATCCTGTAGCTGCAATCGGCTCAGTGAGAACGTGTCTCGAACGCTGAATTCAGGCCCAATTTAAAACATGATTCAGCAACTTTTGATTTGAAATGCAGATCCTAGAATGTTGTTTTTCTCGAAATATACAGCTGAAGCTGAGCTGAAACTTCATCAGGTTTATATAGTTGTTCAGCACCCTTCTTAAAGATCTTGAGCACTTTTGTTGCTTCAAACAAACAAATGCACGAATTACAAATGATGGACAATACCTTTAACAATGCGTATTCAAAGTTTGTGCACAAGAGCCATGTGCTGACCCTAGGTCACTAACTATACAAATGTAATCCATCTCGGAATCATAGTGAATGAAGCCACAAAGAGGTACAGACAAAGGAACAAAGACATAATTTGTGTCTTTCCATAATCCACATTTCAATGTAAATTGTGATGCGATCAAGCTGAATGCGCTGTTTGTCAGGAACTTTCATTTGGAGATTCAGGCTAAAATAGGGCCACTTCATCACATCACATCTCTTGGCATTCCGACTTCCATAATTTTTGAACCAAAGATGGGTCTCAGCATGCGGTTTTCACAGCAGTGATGCTGAGATTTTGCTCTTTTTAAATCTGTAAAAAAAAAATGACCAGTCGACAAACGACTCGTTTAGCTTGATCACATCACAATTGCTGTTTCAGTGGACAAAGAGCTTACCAGTTGCATGCCGTGCCCTGCCATTGACATACTGGGCCAGTGACTTGACACTCCTCAAGACAACGAGCCGAGCATCTGTTTCGACTGCATAAAAAATGTTTAAACAAAATGGATTTCTGGTACTTTTCAATACCTTTCAGAGGAATGGATATTTGTCACGAAGATTAAAAAAAAAAATCATTTGGACAGTAAAAAGTTGTCTGACTAGTGACATATGTGGCAGAGTCTTACCTGTTTATGGGTGACCTTCTGATGACTCGCTCTTCCGTCGCAATGTCAAGATACCTGTTTATGGTTGGCATTGTGATGACTCGCTCCTCCGTCGTAATGACAAGATACTTGGATGGACTGCTCCCCATCAGCTCTAGGCCAGTCACGGGGTTGCCCTTGGACCCCTTAGGGAACGTATAAAAGCACAGTGACCGTTTACAAATGGAGAGTTGGAGGGGGAGACAACTTGAGCGCATCGTGACGGGTTGTGCACATCCAAATAAATTAACTTATGTGTACTTTGCCCAAACAAGTACTAACAGGCAGTCTGCCACTCCTATTGGTGTGCATTTACGGGTAGTACAGGAATCAGGTACCCTATTCAAATCCCGGATGTGCTTCCATGGAGCCTGGTTTTCATTATGAAAATTTCCACAAATGGCATTAAAAACTTGTCTTTTCTATTGTCTGAATAGCTACTTTGTAATTTGTCAAGGGCAAAACCTAATTTGAAGTTAGTTACGGGTACCCAATTCCATAATCTGGAACCAGTTCCTGACATCAGCGGTTGGGTACTTGAATACACCCCTAGTCCCTACCATGGAGCTCACATGTCCCCCCCATGGAACTGACATGTCCCTCCCATGGAGCTCGCATGTCCCTCCCAAGGAACTGACATGTCCCTCCCATGGAGCTGACATGTCCCTCCCATGGAGCTTGCATATCCCTCCCATGGGGCTGACATGTCCCTCCCATGGAGCTGACATGTCCCTCCCATGCAGCTCGTATATCTCTCCCACAAGTCCCTCCCATGGAGTTCACATATCCCTCCCATGGGGCTGACAAGTCCCTCCCGTAGAGCTGACATGTCCCTCCCATGGAGCTGTCATGTCCCTCACATGCAGCTCGTATATCTCTCCCACAAGTCCCTCCAATGGAGTTCACATATCCCTCCCATGGGGCTGACATGTCCCTCCCGTAGAGCTGACATGTCCCTCCCATGGAGCTGTCATGTCCCTCCCATGGAGCTGTCATGTCCCTCCCATGGAGCTGTCATGTCCCTCCCATGGAGCTGTCATGTCCCTCCCATGAAGCTGACATGTCCCTCCCATGGAGCTGACATATTCATCCCATGCAGCCGACATATACCTCCATGCAGCTGCCATTCCCTTCCACGGAGCTGACATGTTCCTCCCGTGGAGCTGACATGTCCCTCCCGTGGAGCTGACATGTCCCTCCCGTGGAGCTGACATGTCCCTCCCATGGAGCTGACATGTCCCCCCATGGAGCTGACATGTCCCTCTCATGGAGCTGACATGTCCCTCCCATGCAGCTGACATGTACCCCCATGGAGCTGACATGTCCCTCCCATGCAGCTGACATGTCCCTCCCATGCAGCTGACATGTCCCCCCATGGAGCTGACATGTCCCTCCCATGCAGCTGACATATACCTCCCATGCAGCTGACATGTCCATCCCATGCAGCTGACATGTACCTCCATGCAGCTGCCATTCCCTTCCAAGGAGCTGACATGTTCCTCCCGTGGAGTTGACATGTCCCTTCCGTGGAGCTCACATGTTCCTCCCATGCAGCTGACATGTACCCCCCCCCCCCCTATGGAGCTGACATGTACCTCCCATGCAGCTGATTGTCCCTCCAATGGAGCTCCCATGGAGCTGCCATTTCCTTCCATGGAGCCGACATGTCCCGCCCATGGAGCTGACATGTCCCTCCCATGCAGCTGACATGTCCCCCCATGGAGCTGACATGTCCCTCTCATGCAGCTGACATGTCCCTCCCATGCAGCTGACATGTCCCTCCCATGCAGCTGACATGTCCCCCCATGGAGCTGACATGTCCCTCTCATGCAGCTGACATGTCCCTCCCATGCAGCTGACATGTCCCTCCCATGCAGCTCACACGCCGCCCATGGAACTGACAGGTCCATCCCATGCAGCTGACATGTCCCCCCATGGAGCTGACATGTCCCTCTCATGTAGCTGACATGTCCCTCCCATGCAGCTGACATGTCCCTCCCATGCAGCTGACATGTCCCCCCATGGAGCTGACATGTCCCTCTCATGCAGCTGACATGTCCCTCCCATGCAGCTGACATGTCCCTCCCATGCAGCTCACACGCCGCCCATGGAACTGACAGGTCCCTCCCATGCAGCTGACATGTCCCTCCCATGGAGCTGACATGTCCCTCTCATGCAGCTGACATGTCCCTCCCATGCAGCTGACATGTCCCTCCCATGCAGCTCACACGCCGCCCATGGAACTGACAGGTCCCTCCCATGCAGCTGACATGTCCATCCCATGCAGCTGACATGTCCGCCCATGGAGCTGACATATCCCTCCCATGCAGCTAACACTCGCCCCCCATGGAACTGACAGGTCCCCCCCATGGAGCTGACATGTCCCTCCCAAGTAGCAAGGGGCCTTGTCCACAAAAGTCACCCATGGTAAGGAAAGGGTATACAGATATATTCTCTTTTACATTGAAGGTAAATGTTTCAATACAGAAGTTCTTTCTTTGTGATGTCTTCAACTGAGAATAGAGAACTTGCTCTACTGTTCTCGCACAGAGTCCACTGTGCACAGGGCCCACTATTTAAGTCACGGGGCGTAAAATCAAGACAATGGACAAGAAACAACGACAAAAGCTTACCAGGCCAGTAATTTCAACGGTAGTGAAATTTTCCGTAGTGCTGCTGCAGTCGAACTTGTAAGCCTTGATCAAAGTTCCCTCAGCTGTCAACCAAAACAAAAACCTCATTCAATACTGAAATTTTATATACAGGGTGTTTGAATAAAGAAGGTAACCCTACTCTAAATGGTTAATATGGCCAAACTACACATTAACCAGCCAAAAGCATGGTACAGGTATCGTCTTAAAGCAGAAGCTACCGGTACGTGCTTTTCAATGATGCCTTGGTTGACCTTCCAGGGTAACGCATCATTGAGCACCACTGCCTTGGAAATGTGATGCAAAATTGGGGTTGGTACATTTTCATGTTGAACAAAATCGGCACAGTGTGCCGGAGGACAATCGAGATGAACGAGCACAAGAGCATAAAGAAATTGAGGAAGACTCATGTTCTTGTTCAATCGCTGAATTTTAATCCTGAGTAAAACATGTTCCACTTTCAACGCCGGGCAATGGGATCTTCCATTCATCGGTGGATGGACTCTGGGGGGGGGGGGGGGGGGGGGGGGGGCTGGCTTCCCCCAAGAGGTTGTCATTTTTTTTTAAGTCCCCCGATTTGATACGATATTCCATTATATGTATGGGGCCTATCTATCGGTGCTACCAACGTCATAACAGTTCGCCCCCCCCCAAAAAAAAACACCACACTTTAACAACATTTGAAACAAAAAAATGTGAGCCCCCCCCAAAAACCTAATCCTGGGTGCGCCACAGGGTGGACTCAAGAGGGCGCACCAGCCCACTGTTTCATTGTTATTCGAAATCGCCTGTGGGAATTCTTTTACAAATGGGAGTTTGCTTTGAACCATCCCAATAGTCCCCAGGCTACCAGACCTCACGTACTGTGACATCTTTTGTGGGGTCATTTGAAAAACAAAATGTTCAGCACCCCCCCCCCCCTTGTTTACTTAAGGACCCCCCACAGAGGTCCAAAATGGTGCATGAAACAAGCAACTTTCTTAAGAGGGCCGTTTTTGTCATGCAAGGCTTCAAGTACATGTATGAGCTTTTTGACTTACTAGTACCGAAGTAGTACACACAGCTTTCAAAATCGATTGCCAGGCTAGTGAAGTGGACCCCAACTAAGTAGAGTGTGGGTGCAACCGAGATGGGGAGGTTTGACGGCGGGTCCTGCTGCCATCCCAGGTCCGGTTCCGCCGTGTTGACGTTGGGCACCAGCTTATCTAGCAGGGGAGGGTAGTCCGTGGTGTGCACCTCGTTGCACTAAAATCAAGCAAAAAAATCAAAAATTCAACAAACTTGCCATCAAAGGTCTGTTCCAGACGCCGTGCTTCTGCCGTGCGGAACTCAATTAGTTTGACTTTTTTTGGGGTTAATTCAGTGTGGCGATAGCGTGGCTTTTACCATATGGCTCGGCAAATTGAGTTCTGCATTCCACCACCATCCTTTGGTTTGACAGGGCTGCTGTGCTATTATTGTTCCGAAGGGCCGTGGCGTGGCACTGTTTTAAACGCTGTGCCATTGCCGTGCCGAACTCAATTCAATTCCAAGTTGGGGCAAACATTTTAGGAATGCACATTATACCCCGACTCGTGTCCGCATCATGTATCACGGGGAGTGAAATGGGCAGGAATATTTTGATCGCGCTGAAAGTATGAAATCTGACACATTTTCGAAATTTCTGATAAGATTGCAATATTGAAAATTTTGATATTTCAATATGATTTAAAAAAATTGCTATCGGCAATATCGATATCATATAATCGCAAAAAAACCCAATATATCGATAAAGCTTTATGTACCAATGTGTCTTAACCACCTGATCACCAGCTGGCTGATTCAAATTTGAAAAAGTAGAAACTTGTGGCAGGGGATATATTTTAAAAATGGGTTTGCCATCAACAGAAATTATCGACATTTAAATAATTATGTTTCACATTTTTCAAGTAATTCGCACATTGAAACTTGCTTGACTCACCGTTCCTGGCTTAGGAGTGCCAATAGGCATAGCAACAGGCTGCCATTGTGCATTGACGTTACCACCTGCTTGTTGTTTGAAATCGCCGTTATCAAACAAATTCATGATGTCATCCATCTTGTACCGGCAAAGAGCCGAGGCCTTGGGTCCCAACCTGAAAGAGACATTCACATTTTACTACCGAGGACCGTTCTTTTGTTCCTATTGTTTGGACATTTTTCTTGCATGTCTCTTTAAGGTTTGTACACAAAACCCTTCTGAGGACTTGGCTGCAGGTACTCCGAGTTATTGTTATGGTTCAAATCTGAGGTAGAAGCAGGTACCACAACCTATCGCTGTTTGATATGACATATTTTTTTGTTTCTAAAACTGAGTAGACAATGTTTCTGCAATTTCGTTACAAAAGGGCAAAAACCAAATAATAAAATTTCAATTTTCCTAATTCTCACTTACGTCGGTGATGTGAAAATAGCGTAAAACTCATTTATCTCATTTGTCGTGTCATTTTTTACTTCAATCACATCCTCTGAAAAAGAAAGACGACAAAGATAAAAGCAAGAACATAGCTATGTGCATACAGACTATGTGGCCGCCATTATAAGAGCCATTATGAATGGGAACCAAGATCATTAAAATTCAATTTGAATGATGCCGGCCAATAGCTCCATCTTTCAAGCCATGCCAACTTCACTCAACGCCACGTGCGCCTCCCCAATGCATCACTGCACGTTCAGGCAACGCACGTCATAAATGCATGCACGTGTATACTGTCCGCGATTTGTAATAGAGGGGTAACCACCCCCCCTCACCCAGTGTCCCTTTACACTATACACACTGTAGACTATGTACCTAAACACACATTGCCCCGTCCCCCCCCCCCCCTCCATATCTTAAAAGAACTCTTGAGATTCCAGGAACGCAGTGACCAACACAAAAGAAACATTGTTAAACACCAAAGAAAACAGAGAAAAGAAGAGCTTACGTATTTCGCTGAAGTAGTACGGAAACAGAGTATCTGGGAGAGAGCAGTTCAGGCGCGCCTTGATAAATGTAACAAACTTCTTGTCGTTGACTGTGCCTCCAGCATCATTCTAATGAGTAAGAAGGAAATATCTGTTAATCCATTGCACTACATTATGTAAAATGCAAAAAAAAAAGCAGAGTCTCACCGGTCTCACCAATATGGCGTCAAGTTCATTCACTGTGCGGCTCTTCATCCGCCATCCAGTCTTTATATAGAGATAAGCGGTAAATTCTCAGCGCTTTGCCGAAAAAAAAGGCCGCTGCGTGTCTGTGTCAGCCTGTCTGCGAAACACGCATAGCATAGCGAGTGCGCTCCCTAGGTTTTAAAAATATTTACACCAATGGGCCATCCCAATTTCTGACACACGTGCAGATCGCTGTGAACCATAGGGAAACCTCCCCTTTTGGGATGGTCTCCCTAGTGCGTAGACTAACCTGGCACACCCTCGCGATGCGGGAGTATATTTTGTTTCCCGAGCTGGAATACTCCATGGCCGGCTCACGGTAGAAGAGAAACACGTAGCCCTTGTAACTGAAGGGTTTCCCCACAAATGTTGGGTCTGAAATGAGGTGGAGAAAAAGGAACGAGTTTGAAACTGAAACTTGTGCCGCTTACAAGTTTGAATGTCCACAAATTGAGGAGAAAATGTGTAACTTTATGGCGGTAGTGTCTACTGAGGGTTTCCAATAACACCATGTGGACGAATCTCTTTTGAGAAGATGTGTAGTTCTGAAAAAAACTGGTTTGTTTTTAACAAACTGGAACTTGTGCTGCTTACAATTTTGATATTTTAACAAATTCAACTTGATAAAATGTGTAACTTTGCATGGAGCTGTTGTAAACTAGTGAGGGTTTGCAATAATGTGGACGAATCTCTTTGGAGAATCTTGCGGTTCTGAAAAGAACCGGTTGGTTGTGAACTCAACGTTCCGATCAGTATGCTCTGATCGTCTTCAGGAGCGAGCCGGACAAGGTGGATGAGACTGCATTTATTGGGCTGGATGAGTACTGAGACGTGGAGTTGTGGATGCTGACGGCTGATAGCTGACGCGTGGTGACGATGCTGTTGGTGGGGGAGTGGGGGTGTGCCCACTGAACTGTGTCAATAGTGGGATGGGTAGCAGAGGGTATAGGAGACCCATGTGCCGTGGAGAAATAGTTGAGAATCTTGCATCTTATGCCCGATACAATGTATGAAATGAGCCGGCCCTTACCATTGACAAACTGTTCGCCCACGGTCACCGTGTCAAGTTCCAACGTGGCAGTTCCGTTGGTATTCAGTTTACTGCGTTGGAATGTATTGCCCATCACATTGCCTCCGTACAAGACTTGTCCACTGTCTCGAGCTGAAAAAAACGACAACATTTAGATTGTATATTCTCAGTACCATAAAGCCAAAGAAGAATGCTGCAAATGGGGCTACTTCCTTCCCTGTCAAACTTTTTTTTTCTTCAGATATCACGGGTACGCAATTCTTTTTTTGGAGCCAAGCCTTTATGAGCTTATAGAGTGATTTGCTGTTTGAATTACAGATGCAGGGTAAGCCTTAAGGATTTTTTTTTGTATAGCAAAACTGCTATGCAAATTTTGATTTGCATAGCAGTTTACCAATTTTGCATAGCAGTTTTGTTATTCTCAAATTTAGCCTCGGCTTTGCAATTACTATTTACCTGTCAGTGTCAGACTGTACAAATTACAAAGCAATAAAGAAGTAACTTACGTTAAGCTGTGAACTTAATGAATCATCAGTTGTCTGTTTATTACAGGAGCTGCATGCTTGCTGGAATAACTTTCGAGTGAAAAAGCAAGTTATTAACCCGGGCCATTCCTGGCCTGGGTCTAGATCCGCCTGCCAATTATTGGCAGTATTTGCCTTGATACCGGTAGTTTTTGTAGTACTAGTAGTAGCCATGTACACCGTATTCATCAATATGCTACACAGCGCACAAACGACAACACAGCTGGGATTTTGACGTTTTAGTTCCCACGAATCCCACGTGCGTATCAAGTGATTTACTTGAAGGGGTAAACCCGTTTTCCGTGTCGGCAAAATGTTTAAGATAAACCGACAAATATCTAAAGAATAGTGATGAGAAAAGGGCTCGATTTACCCGGGTGCACGCATGCACCAGTGCATGTAGATTTTTGCTTGTGCACGTAGCTTTTTTACTGAGAATGCACGACGTGCATGTAACTTTTTTAGCCACCAAAATACTCATTTCATGCATATATTTACCAGTGAGTGAGAATAAGAATAAAGTTTGTTGAATAGTTGACCAGATAGTGTACAAACGTGTTATTTCTTTTATAAATCCATAAATTATTCCTCGCACAGTCGCAGCAGATTCAAAGTACGAGGAAAAATCTCGACGTACGTCCTGCAACCTCCTCCGATCATGCACGTGATTTAAACACGTACAGATTTTATACAGCTGAACAAAATTGACGTTCTTTTTCAGTATTTAAGCTTAATTAAATCAAAACATGATGGATGTTAGTTGTGGAATTCAGTGGACCGAAATTTGATGGCAAGTACACTTTGTGTCAACTTTTCATGATCAAAATGTTGTATAGCAGTTTTGCGATGCACTTTAAAAATTGCGTCGCAGTCGGCCTCGAATGTGTCGCAAATTGCGATGCGATACCGCTTATTGCGGATGTTGTACAGATGATTTTGACAAATGTGAAACTTTCGACACAGGGTACAAAAAGTCTTACGTTTTTTTTTTAGGAACATTTACTCTTTTGTGAATCATTCAAACATGGAATATATTACATGTAATTATCAAGGCTTAAGGGCAAAATGTGACGGAACGGGGCACAGGCCATAGTGGAGAAAAAGCCAAAAACACAGAATGGGGGTGATTGTTTTTACTTAATTTTCAGATTAATTGATATTTGCAATCTTTGATATGTATATTACACATATTTTAAGGAAATACATGTATATAGTGGAATCTAAGTATTTTTAAGGAAAAGCAATCGGCATCTTTCATTTTCACAACTACTTTTGAATTTTGCCGACGCGCATGGCTACGGCGACGTGCGCGCAGACCAGACTTTTTTTTTGCCCAACTGTCTACTTACGAAAAATAGCCGTCAGTGGGTTATGCTCTGGGAGTTGCGGTACCACACTGGTGTCTGTGTAGCTTATGTTCATACAGTTGCTCACATTTAAGTCACACTAGAAGGCAAGAACAGTAACACAAAATTACCTACTTGTGTAGTTTGCAACAGACTGTTAGCGGTTGCAATCCATGCACTTCAACTATCTTCAAGTTAACCAACAGAAAAATCGCTCAAACCTACAGAAACCACGCAAGGCAAACGTACTAAAGCTGGTTCTAGTACGCACATTTTTTTCAGTCAGTCAGGTCAGTCAGTCAGATAAGTCGATCAGGGGAGTCGGGGGAGTCAGTCAGGGGAGTCGGGGAGTCAGTCAGTCAGGTCAGTCAGTCAGTCACTCAGGTCAGGTCAGGTCAGTCAGTCAATCAATGAGGTCAGTCAGTCAGGTCAGGTCAGTCAGTCAGGTCAGTCAGTCAATCAATCAGGGGAGTCAGCCAGGTCAGGTCAGTCAGTCAGGTCAGTCAGTCAGGGCAGTCAGTTAGTCAGTCAGTCAGGTCAGGTCAGGTCAGGTCAGTCAGTCAGTCAATCAATGAGGGGAGTCAGCCAGGTCAGGTCAGTCAGTCAGGTCAGTCAGTCAGAAAGTGGCCAAGAGGATACTAGGCTGGCCCGTAGGGACCAGCAGAGTCACAAGCCCTTTGTGTCAAGTCCCAAGTCATGACTGACGAGTCTGAGTCTTGTGTCAAGGCGACTCCTGAGTCTAGTCCGAGTCATCCAAATTCAAACTCGAGACAGAATCAAATCTATAAAGTCCTGGACTGGAGTGGTACGTACCAGATAACACACTGGGCTCCGAGCATTGGTGCCGCAAACATACAGTTTATTCCCACCGGCCATCTCAAGGACTACACGGATGAAGTTAAAGCATACCCTCTACGGATCAAACATTTTAAAGAGAGAGTACAATAACCTTGATTAGATTCATCTGATTGTGGATGATGTACATGTATAATTCAAGAAAAAAATATTATTTTTACACAATCAATCATGAGAACATAAACCGGAAGGAGGGGATACATGCTGAATCACGTGTGGGACCAGTGTCTGGCTAGCGCCATCTATCCGCCAGACACTTCTGATGATGAACTTCTGATGAAGGGCAACGATGTTGATCGAAAAGTTTAGAAAGAAACGTAAGTTTGTTAGTGTCAGAAGAACACTTTCTTCTTGAATTAAAGTAAAATTACCAAATTGAATAGAATACTGAGAATGTCTCGTTTTTCAGGTTTTAATGAAGAGTCATTAAAATGTGTTTTACCAAATGTTGAAATGTTAGATTGAAACTTTTCATCCACGATGTTCTTTTCATCACACAGGTTATTTGGGTGTCATTCTTAGGCAAAAAAAAAAATAGCTCTGCTTCCGGTTTCTGTACCTACCCTATTCTGACAACCACTACCCTAATTCTTTTATTGGAAAAATAAGGGAAAACCACCAAAAAACATTAATTTTTACATTTTACCCTTAACTACACGGAGACGCCTCCATATGATCGTACACACAAAAAATTTGCAAAAAAAAAAAAAAAAAAAAGCCCTACCTTTGTACCTACATGTACCCTATTTTCAAACACCATGTAATCGGAAGCAGAAGTGTTTTTTTGTTCTTTGGTCTTAGTCTAATTCATCACTTTTGTTGAAAGCCACTTTTGCGCATGATTTCTGAGCTTCCATGAGGAATATATTAGCTGAAGTGTTTTCCTAAACGGTCATGTATATCAGCCATTCCCCTACCTGTATTTCACATGATATTAACCCTAACAGAACGTCAGGACGGGTACAGTACCCCTAAACTGACAGTTTTTTACATTGGGTTGGCACACCTCCAGAAACTAAGTCAGAAGTATATGTGTACATTTTCCCATATGGTGTTGGAATTTGCCAGGATGGGTATGGTTCCTAGTAAATCATGCTAGGGAGTTAGGGTTAATGAGATCTTTGTCATTTCTCGACAAACGCTGGCACACACAACAGCAGCATGTTTTCACTTGATCAGTGAATTTCAAAATCAAACACTGGATTGAGTCCAAGCTGGAATAATTGAATACGTGAACCCTAACCTACTCAATCCTCCAAATTCCTCCTGGCGGTTAAACAAGATTTTGGAGGATTGAGGCTGAACAGCTGAATGGCAAAAAAAGCGTCAGTCGATTTTGGAGGATGCATTGTGTCGAGTTCATAGTCTGTACCCAGCATTGTTTATGTTCAGCCATGCATAAACGAGCCCTGCATTATTCTCGATATCATACCAACTACCTAGGGGTAGGGGCTACAGTATTTAAAAAAGAAAATGCACAGCCCTAGAAACTTTTGGCAGAAAACATGAAAGAATGCACAAGTTTTTACCGTGGGGTCTTCATCGTTCTGGTCACATGTAACGATCAGCCCAGGTGGCTCTCTTGTTTCAAATCGATCCTGCAGGAAAAAAATGGTATCAATCAGGAACTTCGAGGGTCACAGGGTTAACATGGGTAACTAGTCTAAGTATCAACCGTTCTCCACGCAGCTCTATGTCCCGTCAAATGTCTGATTTACCTAGGATTAAAATTTATGCGACACTGTGTGCCAGCCGACTGGAGTTGACTTTACTAGTTTGTGACAAGATTTCATTCCAAAATCAGGACCAAAACTGTGATTGGTCGATTTGGATGCAGCTTTTATAAATACATGTACAACAGCCGAGCGCGCATAGAAAAGCTAGACAAGACTGTGATTGGCCGGCTATATCATTGCCGGCATTATCGCTAACTTACCGTTAGACGGACACTTGGACAAATTTTTTTTGTACTTTTTTTCCATTAAATCAGCAGGTACTACCAGTACATGTTTCTGGGTAAACTACCAACGTTCCTACATGTACATAACCCCCGAGGACCGACACTCAAAGGGAGAACAACAGATCCTTTCAGTCCTCGGAAGTTGGGTCCTTTGTTGAAGACGGTCCTCTGTCGTACGGTTGTGTGCTTAGTCTATGGAAGAGTCTTATATTACAGGGACAACATGGACAAACGGAAACAAAAGGCATTGTCCTCGAGAGTGTAGTAAAACACGACTGTATGTACATACTCATGTATAAGGTGGGTTAAAAAAAAAGAAACCCAAATGGCAACCCCATTTTTTTAATTTTTTTTTTTTAAAGTTCTGCATGTAGCGCATTCAAGATCCATACAGGTATGAAAGCCCTTGATTAATAAGCTTTCTTTTAGTTTAATAAAGAATCATTCAAATCACTCAAATACAGGTACTTTTACATTTATGGAATTTTTGAACATGAACGCAGTTTGTTAACCTTGTCCGTAAGTGATATTTCAGCAAAATGAAAGCTATTCACATCCAAAAACACATCAGATCACTCTTATTAACATTTATTCATAAATACCTAAGACAGTTTACGCATTCCTATTGGTCGAGAGCCCGTCACGTGGCCGGTCTTAAACGGATGATAAAGACATGGCTAGCTGGTCTTAAACACTTTTCCAGTGTCACAATAAAATGTGGACTCCTAAAAATCCAGTGCCTCTTATCGTTTCATTGGTTGAACGTTCACAATCCTCACGTAGGCATGCGCAACACTACCAGGGAGTCAGAATTTTATAGTTCTAAATTCAAAACGCAACGCGCCAGGTGCGTTCTGCCCGACATCGCGCAGAACATGATACGCGTCGTCAATCTCCATAAAAGGGTTGTTTACATCTTACTCGCCAGCTGAACACTCCATTATTTTGCAAGAGGGATGTTTCAAAAAGCATAAAGTGAATTTGTTGAACAAAATCGGGATGTTTTGAACGAATTATATGATTTTTTTTTACCGAAAAGGTATTTATGAATGGGAATAAATATGTGCTCCGTCGGTATTTATCACTCTGTTTAAGACCACTTAGAGTCTGGGTGCTGATAATTACCCTTGCCTCCGGCTTGGGTAATTATCAGCACCCAGACTCTAAGTGGTCTTAAACAGAGTGATAAAAACCTCCGCAGCACACATTTATTCCCTTATTAAAAACACTGTTTCCAATGTTAAAATAGCACTTAATAATGTCAAAAGTTTATAGTTTTGCCCTGCCTTCTACTTGGCTACCCTGGAGACTTATGGGATTATTCTGATATCATTTTCAGGATATGACATGGTTTCAACTCCTGAAATATCACAAACCTTAATGTGATCCGTGGACAAGGTTGAAAAACGGTGTCCGTGTTCAAAATTCCATAACTATAAAAGTACATGAGCGATTGGAATGATTCTTTCACTAAAACAAAGCTGATTAATTCGGGCGTTTCACAATGCAGTGCGCACCAAGAGTTTGCCACGGAGAGTTCATTTTTCCCGGTGCATTGTGGGAAATGGTCGACAAAGTCGCAGCGCTCGACATTTGAAATTGTTAGTTTTTTCTAGTCACTAGTTTCGTAAGCATGATTCGAGTATCTGTTTGCCCTTTTCTTTGCCTTTTATCAATACACAGTTTTTTTTGTAAAGCGGCTGAACGCTATACCCCAATCTATAACAAAAATTAGCTCGTTGTCTACTGACACTCGTTCAAATGGGCCATGTTTTGTCGACCGTAAACTTGAATAATGGACTCTCCACGGCAAACTCTTGGTGGCGCACTGCATTGTGAAATGCCCGAATTGGGCTTTCATATCCTAGATCTGGAAAGCGCCATACATGTACACAGAAGTTTTTTTAAATATAGGGGGCAGCATTTGGGTTTCCTTTTTTTTAAAACTCACCCTGTACCGGTACATTACTTCATTGTTTGCAAGGTGGGCCTTGTGTTAACACTTACCGATTCTTTCACAGTTAAGACACCGTTTGTATCAATCATCAATTGCCAGAGGGTCTCTTTGCCTCCGATGTACACTGTCTCGTTAATTTTATTGAGTATACGGTACATGTATGACTGACCGGGCTGGGACTGTTGTGGATGGAACTGGAACATGTCGGGAAAGTCTGCAATGTTTGGAAACAAAAAGAAAGAAACTGTCAAATTGATGAATTCCAATATACATTAGGGGAGTCAGGTTGGCGTAGCGGTACTTTCCTCGCCTTCCACCGCTGTGACCCGGGTTCGAATCCCGCCTGGGCCAATATGTGGATTGGGTTTTCAGTCCCTACCTGATTCCGTGGGTTTTCCCCAGAATATTCTCCTGGGCTTTTCCTCCCACCTCTAAAACTGTAATTTCTTCTCATTGTCTTCTCTCCACAGGTTTCTTCAGGCTTGCGAGCTACAGTGCCTAGGGCGCTTTTGAGGAATCCTTGGTTTCATTACCATAAATGATTAATAATAATAATAATAATATTGGAAATATCCGTACTTGGACTAAAGAGGACTTGTTGGAGCAGTGACTATAACAGTTAACACGCGACAGGGGACATGATTGTGACATTTTTAATAATGCACATGTACAGTGTATGTGTGTACAATATATGTACAACACAATTTTGTTGGGTCTTGCTTGAAGCTGGACCATAAGATTAACTTTACTTGGGAACATATTTTGTTTAACTTTCTACTTCTTTTGAATGTATGAAAACTATTTGACATCCTTTTTTGGTTGATTTTATTGTAAGTGCCCTTCTTTATGTTTGAAATTGTCCCTGATTTTCCTGACAACTGATGTCATTTCAGGAAGACACTCTTCAGTTTAAGGGTTTTCTGTTCAATTTGTGAACCCAAAAATTTGCTGATTGGCTTACCGCCTTGCACTGAAACAACATTGAATCACCAAAGAAAAGAAAATCTGCAAAATATCAAAACTTTTGGTACTGAAATAGCAATATCATTGAGGTTTCAGCCTGAAATGACATCACACTTTTGCTTATGAATATGTAAATTTGCATTAGCATAAAAACCAAAAAGGCACCAAAATACATGTATTTACATGTACCCTTGGAAAAGTCAAAATAAAAATTGAAAACAAGGTTAAATGGGATGCAAAAGTGCATTTTCAAATATTGCATTAAAAAAAAAATACATTGCATGGGCCCTTTTAACAACACAATAATTTCTTGCTAAACAATGTATTCTTCATTTCCAAAAATCAGTTACAATGTACTTGACTGATCATTGGAAATCACATTTCTAGATTTCTTCCAACTGACAGCAACCCAGACGGAATAATTTCAAGGGGTGCTTAGTACCAGTACGATCTTTAATAGAAGTCAAATTTTTGATAATAATTCATATTTAGGTTACTTTTTGGTACATGTGCAGATGATCAGGCCTACGTGTACATGTACATGTATTTATATGAAAAACAGTCAAATTTTTGATAATTCATATTTAGGCCAAAAAAAAAAGTTTCCGGTTTCTGGTATGCGCGCGCGTCGCCGTAGCCATGCGCGTCGGCAAAATGAAAAAGGTTTTTTTTCAATAAAAGATGATGTCTCAAAAACGCCAAACTCACTGGTTTGACTGGAATTCTGCTGCTGCGCAATTTCAACGTGTTTTTAGATGGGGTTATGATCGAGAATAAGCTTTATGTGGCCTCTCTTGACTCCGATATATTGCACTAAGTTTAGTCGGGCACCATTTGCAGTCATCAGCCAACATTTGAAGCAAAAAAGTCGGGTAAAAAAAAAAAAAAAAACGCGTCGCCGCACCACTTTTTCGACAAGCTCCATACCAGAAACCGGAGACTTTTTTTTTTTGGCCTTAGGTTACTTTTTGGTACATGTACATCTACAATGTGCAAATGATCAGGCCTACGTGTACAATGTACATGTACATGTATTATGAAAAACAGTCACATTTTTGATAATTCATATTAACCTAATAGGTTACTTTTTGGTACATGTACATCTACGATGTGCAAATGATCAGGCCTACGTGTACATGTATATGTATTATGAAAAACAGTTCAGTGACATTCCTACATTGTACATCATATCTTTGTACAGGTAGATTCCCAGTTTCCTGTTGGCACTGACCAAATGACCGAGCCGGTAATTGTGTGGGTTTCGTGGGAATGGTTACACGTACAGCTCACCCCCCCCCCCCCCATCACTAGTATGTCACTTCCTCCTGATTCACAAAGTAATGACTTGGCTTTTAAAGGGGCACTCCCAATCAATTCCCTTTTTTTCCCGTTGTTGGGTTTTTTTTTTCGTTCCATGTCTCATACAAAAATGAATACGTTTTACATTGCCAAGGAAAAAAGCAATACAAAAAAACAATGTTTTTTTTTTTTTTTTAGGTGAAACCCGGAAACAGCGCGGGGAATGCATCTTTAAGTGCTTTTGTGTGTAGTTTACCTTCCCACTTCACGGTAGTCCGATCCCTTTTGAGTTCCACCGCAACCACTTGTACATCAGCAGGAAGGAAGAGAGGCAGGCACAAGGCTGCCGCAAACACCAGCAAGTGGGTGGTCATCCTGACAACTAACAAGGAAACCATGTCATTATCACAATGTCAAGCACCATGGGATAAAAATGATAACGACCTTTCTTTTTAACACGTACCTATACCAGTTCCCGTACAATAGGGTTGTGTCATACATATTGGATCATCTACCGGTAACACTGACTTATGGCTTTTTCTGATTCAAATATTTGAGAAACATTGGAAGTTTAAATTAAAAAAAGGACGGTGGGGGGGGGGGGGGGGGGGAAGAAAAAAACACCTATTTGATATAGACCTTATGCACTAAGGCAGAGTTAAAGGGCAATGGTTTTGTATTGCATGGATCTATACATCATCCTTCCTTTTGCGTTTTCATTGTTCACTAGATTAAAACACGGATCCTCTATGCAAGTATATAAACGACTCATCTGAGCTTATGTATAAAATGTACGGAACCATTTGTCTACAGGCGTGATATGTCACGTATATGCTGCGCATAGAACAACGCATAGAACATGTAGAACAATTCGCGAGGTATGATTGCTGATAGCGGGCGCCCTGACAGAAATTTGACCACTGAAAGACTGTAGACACGCCGAGTCTCATGCAAGGGCATGCGCAGATGCATGAGTGCCATATCACACCTCCAACCAGAAATTTGGGCAAGTCATTTATCCTTGCGTAGCTGATCTGTGATTACAACAACAAAGAACAGACTCTGAGACACCTGCAATGCATAAAGTGTATTGGTAAAGGCACGTGTACATGTAGGATCATTTGCTTTTCATGCATTTTGTTTGGTTTCCAATAATAACACCACTCAAAATCCAGTGAAGAATGTTCAAAACCTAACATGCTGAAGTCTCAGCTCAGTGGATATTACACTATTGGAGAAAACTGTGAAAATCCATGACCTTTTTGATCACGAAACACGACGTCATCAATAGCACTCTTCATTCAAAAAAACAATCAATTGACTGGTAATCAATCAATTGGTGGTACAAGTCACTTAAATTTCATGATTTCTTCTAAATGACAGCAATCCAGACACAATAATTTCACGGGATACATTGTTTAGGCCAAATAAAAAAAAAATGTTTAGCGTCCCCGCCCGCTTCCACTTTGGAGGCCCTCTTCTTTCTTTTTTTTCTTTTTTTTTAAATCACGAAAAAATAATAACTTTTAAACAGTGACGTCATTCTGGCCTCTTTGTCTGTTGCACAGCCAATATAAGCATATATGTCATTCCTGAGTCCAAGTGGCGGCCATTTAAAAAAAGAAAAAGCTGACTGCCATCTTGAAAAATATCCCGGTCATTTTGGAAGGAAAAAAAAAGGGCCTCCTTTTCGTCAAAAGGCAGGATGCCAAACATTTTTTTTTTATTTGGCCTTAGTACCAATACCATCTTTAATCCAAGTAAAATTTCTGACAATAAATCAGTAGATTACTTTGGGGATAAATTATGCAAATGATCCCGTCACGCCTTTGTAGTTTCATGTTTGTGAAATAAATGTACCATATTTTTTTGTCAACAGTCATTTTACACATGATTCTAATGAGAGTTTCTGTGAGGAAAATAAACTCTATCTACCGGTACATCATGCACATTGCATCTTTTAACATCTTTAAAGGGAAGATACAACATTTGCAAACATCGAAAAAATAAAACTACCAAGTTGATACGAAATACCTTACTAGGATGTTGGTAAATGACAGTCAAAAGCATCCTGGCACCTGGTATGAAGTCATTTTCAAGAAAAACGGTACCGTTGGAAAAATTCTAACTACATGTATTTTTCAACTACTGCTCCAAAGTTACCTCTTTTTTTTTCAGTCCAAATTTTGTTTGCTTTTGGTTCCATGTTCATGAACAGGTGCAATCCAGCTAGACTGGTTCCCTTACTTTTCATTTTTCCGGCATTTTTGATCCATTTTATCTTTAGTGGAGTCAGGGAACCACACTACGGTACTTGAACATTTTAGTTTTTCTTGGTTTTTCTAGCATTTTCGAACACAAAACTTCAAACTTCTCAGTGTACATGTAACAATATTTGATCTATTATACTAAGCCCCCAAATAGTTCATTTCTGAAAATTGCAGCAAAAGCAAATGATGTAATTCCCTTTAAGTCAGCTAAATTGAAAAATATATGAATACATACATGACGCTATAAATGATTTTAATTTTCAACAGGCGAAGGCAAATCCCATTCCACTGAATATTATCTTTCTGATTAGAGCACAAAAATGTCAACCAGCGCATGGAATTTAGGCAGGCAACACACACAATCAATCAAATGTCCATGTACATGTATACATGTACATTGTACTTAGCTACCGTACACCCATGCACACAAATCACTCTTATAATTGTAAACACAGCGTTGCCCTGGTGAAGGGGAATCCCCACACATTCCCCCAGCACCAGAATTGCCCCACCCAGTCACATGACCCATTAGCATAATTTATTCTCCTTTTCTGACTGTATTGTACCATAAATTCAATAGCCCTTTTGCTGCATATAAAATCAACTATGCCTGTGTGCACAATGTGCATGGTACAACGTACATGTACATGAAAACAGTGTGTTTACAACAAATGTGTGCACTACACAGAAGCTGCATATCATTATGTACATACAATGATACAACATGAGTATTCGTTGTACATACATTTTGTACAATGTATGTATGGGCAATTCCACACTACCGGGCCAATTAGATAAGTTTATGGATGTTGCATAGAGGGTAAAAGATGAGCTAGTATTTTCTTATGTTTTTTCCCTATACCTTGCTATTAAAGTTGAAAGTCACTAGGGCAAGACAAAAGATCTTTTTTGGGGAGAAAATAACAGGCATCTTTTCTGTGTGATACATATGTAACATGGACAGACACACTGCAAAGAAAAGGGTGCTTAGGACAAATTCAATTTCTAATAGGCACTTCCAGTGACATTATCAACCCATTTTACATTGTTATCAAACAAAAATATAACAGTTTCCACACTGGCTTCAAAATTAGAATGATTAGGGTTGCGTACAAACAGGGACAGACATTTTGTGACAAATGTCCAGTCTGTTCATACGTATAAATCCTGATTATATAATATCAAATAATTCTTCACATTGACTCCGAGTTTTCTAGGTTTTGACGGATAGCATTCCTCCAGGGTACATCTTCTTGAATAAGTCTACAGGTACATTAGGGGATCATGAAATGTTATGCTCACTTTGTGACTTTATCTAAAATGTCTGTCCTTCGTTACGCACATAACACTTTTTAAAACAATATCCACTATATTTTTCTCAAATACAAAACCAGTTATATCCTTTGCAGGTGAGGATATCTGTTCGAAGCTTAGCAATGTTTACAGCAAAAATTTGAGAGACCAAGATCGTACTTTTATTAACCAAACTTAAAGGTCTTCTCAAATGTCATACTTTTGGGCCCATTAGTGTGGAATTGCCCACATATGTATAATGCATTTTTTTTTGGCAAGATCAATCTACACAACTGGTATAAAAGGCAACTCAGACCCATCACCAGGCGGTTGGGATAAACATGTGTATTTATGTATTTTAAATGTTCTGCTGTGTTGGTAATATATGCCCCCCCCCCCCCCCTTAATGCTGGTGAAGGGGCTGACGCAACTGTACAAATTCCACAACACTACCGAGCGTGTGAAAGAAAAAAAGCTAACAGAAAAAAAAAAAAACTGGAACATCCCCTAAGTTAAGGAGAATACACGAGAAAGTGTGGATTTGTAATTTAAGAATTCACGAGGCGCGAAGCACTGAGTGAATTCGTAAATTAAGAATCCACACTCGCGAGTGTATTCTTCGACTTAAACCGTTGCATCAAAAGAAGCATTGGCATTAACAGTGAGTGGAGATGAAAAGACGGGATAAATGTTGCAATCTGACGCCACTTCCGCGATTGTGTACAAAGTCTATGGAGAGTCAAGATTTTTTTTAAAGTATTTCCTAACAAAATTGGAAATATTTTTTCAGTCCCAGATTCATGTCTTATCATCATTCTTGCAATGAATGCCCTTCATTGAGATGATAAATGGAGAAAAACAAGTGGCGTCAGGTTGCAACATTTGTCCCGGCTCCTTCCGTCGACAAATTGATAGGTCAGATGATGATTTCTTTCCGACTCGAAGTAGGTTTTGCAGTGACGGCGGAGAATCTGACAGTGAAGATGCATTGGTAATTTCGGAAGGAAATTTTCACCCATACGGTCCTATTAATGCTCATTATAGAGAACATTTTGTCTGACGTGTTCAAAGTGTGGATTCGTAATTCCGAATCCACACTTTACTAAAGATTCTTCGTTCCGAATCCACACTTTGTGACCAGCGTAACAGATTCGTAGTTCCGAATCCACACTTTTAACAATAGTGTGACGTCATAGCAATGGTTTAATTTGCTCTACGGTCAATGATTACCTAGATGTAAGTTGTAACTGCCACGTACAAACACGTACGTGAGGCAGGGGACACGACACTTTAAAATTATTGGACCTACCAAACTAGTTGGCAACATTCTCAATTAACAGGTATATCATAGATAGAAGGGCAGGGTTTTGATTTTTTGAGGGAAATTTGGGGGTTAAATGACGATGACAGCGCGGCGACAACACGCGACCCGAAAATAAACATGGCGATCACCGCGCAATATACCGTGAGCACGCACAGCGCGCTGAATTGCAAGGCACAAACCGCGCAGAAAAATCATGATTTCTACCCAAGTATCTGTTGAAAATTGCAAAATGGGTGTCATTAGAATTGAGAAAAAGGGTGCTTTGGATTGTAGGCTAAAGTAGCCCGACTGCATCTGGCCGTACAGTACTATCGCAAGCTCTGTACTACATAGCTTGCGATAGTACTGTACAGCCAGATGCAGTACGTCGGGCTAAGGCTAAAGGTGATTTTTGAGCAATAAAAATATTTTCGACTCTAATTTGATCAAAACAAAACAGGGGACCTACACTTCACGAACGCCGTTAGTGGGACTACTCTAGAACTATGGGGGGTAGTCCTCGAGGGTATGCAAAAAAATGCATTCTGTGTGTCGGAAGGAATTCCATACAGTAGTCAGTACACGTATGCTTAACGAAGTGGCTATCGTTACGGCAGCCGTTGTTTAGCGCCCTCTACGATACTTTTTTGATACGCACGCAGGTATATAATTATTTGTTTCCCCACGTTTTAGCGAGCAGTGCGACAGCTCAGTCGATAGAGAGTAGGATTTTGCACCGCGAGGTTGCGGGTTCGCATCTCAGTTTTGCACTCAATTTTTTTTCCTTTTCTAACCTGAGGCTTTGGAGGATTTTTTTTAAAAGGGAAATAAAGTCCGAATTTCATAACATTCAAATTCACTTTTTTTCCTTCTAATTTTATATTTTCTTCTCATGTTTTTATACTACCGTAACGATAGAAAATGGGAAATGCGTTACGGCTGCCGTAACAATAGCCACTGCGTATGCTTAAACCCTATGAGTATGAGTAGGCCTATGTAAATGAGACTGGTCTGAAAAAATTCTGTTTTCCAACTAAATGGCATAATAATGCTCAGATGCTTCAATATTTTCCCTGCTTAATTCACATTTTACTTAGGACATGTTATCCCTCTCTGTCAATGTCATGTCTGATAGTTGATGAGTCATTACAGGGAAAAACTAGTGGTTTATGCATGGAGGAATAAGAACACATGCAGAATTCTTTCCCAGCGCTCCACTCAGGCAAGAGCCATGGAGGTAGAATTCAACGCTGCTCTGTAACTTTCTGTTGTTTGGTTAGAATTTAGATGACCAATGTGTACTCACCTCGCAATTTCACACCACTCTGATAAAGTAACCAAAAAGAGTAAAAAAAACAATCAAATTTTCAAGTTCACTTGACGTTTCAAGGAAAATACCGACTTTATAACGCCCAAACGTGTTTTTTTTTTCGTTGTGCGTACTCTCCGTATTCTCCAGACAGGAAGTAGACTCAAATAAATAAACTACTGTGGTGGTGGATCCGTATACTTGATCCGATAGCGCTGTATAGCGCCCTCTAATGTCAACTCCCCTCCCAGCTCAGTTCGCTAGAACCCGGTAACACCCCCCCCCCCCCCCTCGCAGGCAGAACTCATTGAGCTGATTCTTAGTGACGTCTCAAAATCATGGATCAAGCTAAAAGAGGGCAAATATCGAAAGAGAGCAAGCTAAAGTTTCGATGTGATGTTTGTGATGTAATATATATTATCTTTGATGAAGACCCACCCCCATAAAACACGAGCACATTAATCATAAAATCAGGGGAAAGTGGCCAGGAAATGCCTCCGCCTTGCACCACCGTCATGAAGCATCTAGAATCCAAAAGTTTCCTGGGGCCCAGCGGGCTCCAGACCCCAGCCTTCAGGGCTTCCCGCTCCGCGCTCGCATATAAAAAGTTCCACATTACGATTTAATGACAACCCCCGCCCCCCTCCTCCAGTCTGGGATCAGGGGACGGGTCTGAACTGAGGGGTGTCATGTAGATCAATGATAATTCCTGGCTACGCCACTGCCCCCACCCCTCCCGTGGCTACGCCACTGATTGATTCGTACGTGCGATTTATTAATTCGTACGTAAGGTTTAGTAATTCGTACGTACGAATTAGTATTTCGTACGTACGGTTTAGTAATTTGTACGTACGGTTTAGTAATTTGTACGTACGGTTTAGTAATTCGTACGTACGGTTTAGTAATTCGTACGTACGAATTAGTATTTCGTACGTACGGTTTAGTAATTCGTACGTACGAATTAGTTTTATTATTAACCATGTCCTATCTACACTTCCATACCTTATGGTACGAAAACACCAACATTTTAGGGACACGGTGTATGTTGGTGATGGACAACTTTATACATTACAATTATGATTGTGTAGCAAGAAATGCCTTAGATTGGACTGTAAACACAAACGTTTAGGCATGGGCGTCGGGAGGGGAGGAGAAAAAGGGGGGGCTCTTGCCCCCCGGACAAGCCCCCCCCCCCCCCCCCTCGAAAAAAAGGGAAAAGAAAGGAGGGAAAAAAGAAAAAAGAAAAGAGGCGTGAAATCATATTGTTGTTAATTTAATGGGTTGTGGGGGCGGGGCAAATGTCCCATCCCACCCTCGAAAACAAATTATCAATCGGGAAAATGCTAAAAAAATATAGGGATTTTGGGGGAAGGGCTTTGCCCCCTCTTGAAAAATCCTGGCGACACCCATGGTTTAGGGGTCAACTCAAAAACGGATCACGAATATACAAGAGTGTCAAATTTATGAAAATGGTTACAAACAAACTTAAAGTCGAGCCTTTACGATTTTTTTTAGGGCGCGTTTTTTGCACAATGTGAATTCCAATATTTAGACGTTTGTTACATGCATTACTAATAAAGTGGCACAATGCTTCAACTATATAATTACTTAGATAAGTTCAATTGATATCCGTTGGTGATTACTAAATAAATCTATATTGTCATTTGCAAATTAAAGAGTTTCTGGTGACATAACTCCAGTTATATAAGTCTCCTTTAATTTTTTTTCTCAAAAAGTTACAAAAATTGTAACAGAATTATTTTTTTTCTCTTACATAACCTCTGTCAACAAAACTAAATGTCACGAATGTCGATCTGGCCCTTTACTCAATGTCCTTCACGTAAATTTCGTTGTTGCCGTTGACACCCCAAACAGCGCAGGAGAGTGTCTCGATCTGCTCTAGGCCTCCTGGTATGTTCCTCCACGCGTTGCCTATCGGCGCGGCAGCCGACACGCCTGCACGGTAGAAGATGGCATCGTTGGCGTTGACCCCGAACACCTTATCGGCAGAGCTGATGTACTTGAGTGCGCCAGGAACCTGGGTCCAGCCGCTACCGTCTGGATCTGACTTGGGATCGCCGTGCGTACCGTCCCTGTAGTAGATATTGTCACCCGAGTTCACGCCCCACACGCCCGAGCTACCCACCGAGATCTGCTTCAGTCCCCCGGAGATTTGCCGCCAACTGTCCCCGGCCCTGTTGCAGTTACTGGCTCCGATGCGGTGGAAAATGTTGTCGTTGGAGTTGACGCCCCAGACATGGCCCCTCTGGCTGACGCTGACGTGTTTCAAAAGGCCTGGAACTCGAACCCATTGCGTACCTTTTGGGGCGCTTGGGGTGATGCCTTGTCGATAGTAAATGTGGTCCCTACTGGTGACACCCCAGACGACGTCTTTGCCCGCATCTAGCTGCTTCAGACTACCCGTGATCAGCTCCCAGGGTTCGCAAGAGTTCGGATCTTCCCCGTACGCAGGGTCTTTGTAGAAAATGAGTTTGTTTGCGTCCACGCCCCACACCCCCGCTTGTCCCACCGACACGTGCACCAAGGTTCCCTCAAAGCGTTTCCATGGAGTGGCCTCCACGGCGCAGATATCCACTGCATCTGATTGGCCCATTGCGCATGACGTCACGTACAGGACCCACATCAAGCTAAGGTATGAAACATACATCAATAATGCGTTAGACATGTTAAACATGGCAATCACAAACTGTTTTTCAGCTCTGGCAGGGATCATTTTGATCGATTTCATGCAATACTTTCATGCAAGACTGCTTGCAACACGGCCAGGGCTTATTGTGCACGCGCACTTGTTGAAAATTCTGTAGGTTACTGTTGGGATAAATGCAAATGATGCTGCACAATACCTTCATTTGCCAGGTTTACAAGACTGGGGTCAAAAGAAATTAATGAAGCTTCAAGAAATTAGCAGACCTTGTTTTGATTTGCTCCCTTCTAGAATGAACAGTTAATTCGTTGTTACAAAAACTTACCAGTAAATGTTGGGCGGCATGATTGCAACCGTATAGCTCGACCTCCCGTAATCCTATAACGGGATAGAATTTGAAAATGGGAAAATAAGTTCACGCTAGAAGTTGCGTTGTCTAATTTATCGCTGCTGATTTACTTTCCATCCGCACAGAATAACAGCTAAAGCAAGCTTGCTCAGCTACAGGTCAACACTTGTGTGATATTACCGGATGCAGAAATGTACAAAACAAGCCGGATCTGATTGATCTATAGTAGACACTAGACAGCAAACTTCAGGCAACGGAATTTCCCCGAAATCGCTTTTTGGCAAACCAACAAGTTTATTCGCCAACTCAGTGTTTGATTTTTCAACAACAAAACTTCAGAGGATACTTTGACATCATCAAGTGAATCAAATTTGTGCAAATTGGAAATCAATTGATACTGGAAATTGACTTGTTTTTGGATGTTCAATAGCCTGTAGCACGAATGTGGACAAAAATGAAAAGTGCCTTTTAATCACTTTTGACATCGTAAATGTCTTTGATATGGTTGTTTTATGCGTCAGAGCCTGCGCTTTGGTATCTTGTATGTTTTCATTTTCCGAAATTTCACTAAACATACCCTACAAAATCTTCTCCATTCCCAAAATGTCGTATTACTATGAGGTGTTTTCCGACGTATTCTGGGATTGAACAACATGTATTGTAATGATTAGACTATACCCTGTACGAAAAAAAACCAAGAGTGATGTTGAAGTTGATTGACTTAGGGTACATTTCTACTTCAAAATCAATGAAAAGTCAGAGTTGGAACAGCATAATTATTATGTCTACTTACCTTAACTGTCAAAGGGAAACTGTAAGCAGCAGCGGGTTTAAGTGTTAGGTGTTGGCCTTAGTAAGACTGCACTTGCCTTTTAAGCGGAGAATCAGCCCACTATGATTGTCTGCTTGTACGGAATGTCATAGCAACATACTGAGCTTGCCACGCCCGCCGGACGAAAAAATACCAATCGATCTTGCTTATTGTTACAGTGCCAGCAGGTAAAGGAACCCGCATTCCTAAATTCTTTTCCTTGAAAGTTTCTTTCTGGCAGATTCCTTTAATTGTATTAGTCTAGGCAATATATATTTTTTAAAAATGGGCTCATTTAGAACAAGAAGAAGTAGAAGTTGGTATAAACATAGCTATTTTACCTTATTCGGGGGTGTAGAATTCGAAAATGAGCGATACCGAGCTGGATTTTTAGTGGAAATATGCCTAATTTGCATAAATCTTTAATACCTGTCGTGTGATATATTTGTTCTCATATTTTGGTATATTTTTATTATTATATTTTTGAAAGGTTTGTTTAACCTACACTTCGAATTCCTTACTTCAATAACAACATTTTATAAAGCATGTAAATGACTGAATAATTATGAGGACATAGTAACAATCCAGAATGGCTATTTATACCCTGAAGTTGCGCGTATTTACTTCTCGTATACCAAATCAAGTAATCTCACCAAACGTCAGTATTGCTGAGCTTCAAAGACACACAATTACTTACTGGCACAGTTATCCTAACAAAAAATAAATGAGAAATTATGTGGGAAATTATAACATCTTGATATTTAGGCCAAAAAAATGAGGTGTCTGTAAATTGGGCTAGAATTAGGCGAAGGGTTGCCTAACGTGGGGGACTTGAACAACTTCAAGGAAATCCCCAAAATAAAATATTATTTTTGTTTACAATAATTATGTCAACGTCATAACGTTTTCTTTGCAATAATTTTGGGATTTTCCTTGAACTTGTTGAACCCTGTCCGCAGATATGGCGTTAGAAGCAAGGGTTTGAATTTTCATTGTCACCAAATTTAAATAACAAACGTGTACCGTGCAACGGGCGCATTGGGAAAAAAGCCTTGTCCAAAATTCATCTCTGATATTTTCAGATTGCAATTGCAAAGCTAGTGGTCTCTTAACAGAGAAGTTTCCTTTAAGATGTCCCCCCTTTAAAGCGCAAGGGTTTGAGCATTCAATGTCACAAATTTTAAATAAACGATTGTCCTTAGTGGGGGTGTACCGAGCAACCAACGGGCATATTGTGAAAAAAAAATATCAAAAATTTACCTCTGATATTTGTAAATTGCAGTTGCGAAACTATTGGTTTCTTTATATCGTTTCGGTTTGCGGTAACACCATGTGGTAATAACTACTGCTTAAAAGATATTGAGTTCCGAAAAGAACTTGTCCTGCTTATTATCAACTTTCGCTAAGTAGTTTTTGTTCTGATAAGAACAGACCACATGGTGTTACCGCAAACCGAAACGATACCGATACTCCACCATGCAAAGCCTCAAATCTTATATTGGTTTCTTTGCACAGAAGTTCCCTTTAAGAGTCCCCCCTCCCCCTGCTTTTATAGCACCATCATACAGAATAACAGTTTCGGGGATTGCCTATTTGCACAATACATCAACAACTACCTTTATAAGGACGTGCCGGGGATGGGCAGACCTAAATAATATTGCTAGGAAACTGCTGAATAAATTGTGGAAAAGGTTATCGATCCAGTCGCCTCTGATATTTACAGAGTGAAGATTGCGAATCTGTTGACCTCTGCAAAACCCTATAGCTGTCGATGTGCAATGTTCATAGAGAACTGTCACAATTTGTTTCGTTTTTGTCACCCACTCATTGTCGCCAAATTGTTGTTCGCCATTTCTCTCCATAATAATCATTGTTTATATTCCACCCTTTGTTTTCAAGATTCGATATAAATGTATCTTTTTTTAACAAGAGTTAAGGAAAGATGAAGGAGAAGACAATTAACCTTAACTTAAACACGCCTTAACCTAAACTACACTAACTTGTTTAAAGGAATTGAACAGTTGATACAAAAAAGTATCAAATTTCTGCACACAAGACACAAATCGAGACGAAAGTTCACGATTTTGAATTTGAAACCAGTTTTACGGGAATTCGTTTGGTGAGTTATAGTTATCACTGATATAGTGCACAGTTGACTGATAGTGCACAGTTCCTTTGATTAAGGATGTATTGCTTGATATTTTGTTTTATAACTAGGGCCTCCAACCCTTGAACACAATGCCAATAATGTGACATCTTTAAAAGAATGATGACCTTGGGGGGGGGGGGATGGGAGGGGGGGTCTTTGTAAAAGTTTGCGACGCCTATAATTGCCTGAACACTGGTACATCACCATTGACGTAGATATAAAAGAGCCAGAGAGGCGGAATCCGTTTCCTCGTAGTTTCCGATGTCGTCGCCGAGCATTTTTGTGTGTGTAATGCTGAGCCTTTTTTTTGGGGGGGGGGGGTGTTGGAGTTGTTTGTTACAAACATTTTAACACCTGTTTCATTAACATTGTTTTTGTTATTCTGTTAAACCGGTTAACCATGGACGCGCGCAAAGCGGTTGAATTTTATATGATACCATAACTTACTTTACCATTCTAAAGAAGTTAGACACGCGATCGAATAAAACATTAACCAAGTTAAAATCCATCATCAAAAATTAACCTTTGCAAATAAACAGTGTCAAATATGTTATTGTTTGTCATTCCGCACCCCTGTCCCGACTTGTATAAAAACCTCAGTGCTTCAGTGGCTACGCGCAAAACCTTTTTTGTATCGCCACTCGAAGTTGTGCAAAGTTATCGTACACTCAGGCGCTCTCAGCATGAAGTTCCTGTTTGTTTTCGCTGGTTCCCTTGTCTTGTGCTGTGTAGTTCGTCAGGCAACGGCTTGGGGCAATTTCAAAAAGCCACCAGATTTTGTAGGTGAGTATCTTAAAGGTACCGTAACTATATATGATTAAAAAAGTGTGCCACCACATGGTCGTTAGTTATTCTCACTTCCTTGACAACAAGTATTATTTTCTAGAGATACCATGCCATTTGAGCATCGGATATATCTTTTTTGTAATGCGCGTATAGTTGGTCATCATGGGTCATTTAAAGACATGACCGGGATTGAAAGTTTCCTCTACAAATATTCATGTCATCTCACTATGTCTATATGCACTGCAAATTAACTTTTAAGTCAAGCCTAGAAGAGCGGGTCCGGCAGATTGCACAGAGCTCGACTTTTCAATTGATTCAGATGGGCTATTCTCTAAGTCCTCATGCATCTGGTCTACACAATACGTTGGATCATAGCCCATCTATATGGCGCATATAGGTGATCCTATACAATAGCACTGTCCAGTCAAAAGTGGTAGTCAGTGAGACATAGCCAGTCAGTGAATAAGGTACAAAGAGAGCACTAGGCTGGCCCTCTGCATTAACTATTTCAAGTTAAACAATTTTCTTTATTGTTTGCATCCCTTTGAAAAGAATGTGTTTAATTTGATGGAAAGATGGAATTTTCTAGCTCAAATTCGGGCCAGGAGATGTTTATTAAACATTGGACTGGTTTCTAGTATCGGCTTCGGACTCGGATTTTTATGATACTGGGGCCCTGACAATGATGTAGTCAATGTATTTTATTATGATGGATCATAAGTATGCAGGACAGGTTGGGCTATAAAGTCATGGGTCCATTCACATGTCCGGGCACAAGTATGCCAGAGAGTGAACAATAACAGTTTTACAAAGGACTAACAAAGGTTGCATTGCAACGAATGACTTGTGACGGATTTGTGATGACTAGTGATTCATCACCCGTACCTCGACTACAAACTTGGGCTCTTGCAATGAAAGATACAGCTTCAAAATCTGCTCCATTTTCTGCTTTACTGAAAATCAGAACCATGAAGCCGAACCCGGTGTCGGAGTCGATGTTTGGGAAATGAACAAGGTATAATCTCCTTTCGTGATTAGATGGCAAAGATTCAGGTGAGGATCACCATCAGCTCATCGGCTGCGACTGCCATGGGATTATGTGCCATTGCTGCGTCGGCATCACCATAGGACGTCTCCACCCAAGAGGTAATAATTGATAGGAGTGTCTTTAACTATGGACTGCTCTTTAGCTACGTCACAATAAACTTTGGTGGCCGTCATTGTAAATGCAAACGAACACACACGAAATATACTGATGATAATTAAAGGAATGTATGATCTCCATAGCAAGGCTAGCCTTGGTCAATGCTCTCGTCGTTATTCGTCCCGTATGCGGTCAATCGTCGGCATATATCCTCACGCGCTATGCACATGCATGTAAAAATACAGCGCGAACAGCGACCTCATGCGGCCACTATTTTTTTATGCAAATCAGTTGGGGACGATCGAGAGCCTTGGTTCAATCGTCGGCAAAAGCTTATGTTTTTCTTTACTTTGCGCTAGATTTCCAGCGCACGACCTCGTATGCGAATACAGATAATGTAAGCGGGGCTAATATGTGGAGTGTCCAATCACACCTTGGTAAATCCGGACGTCATCAAATTATTTGCAGCTATTCCGCCTTTTGCAGACGTGACAGGAACCACAGTTTTTGTGCATTGGTGCCGTGTGCAGAGACACACAATGTGTACGTGTATGTATTATGTACGGTGCACGTTTCACTATGCAAGTTTCCACGCAACGATCGACCAATAAGCAAACGACATTTAAGGTCAGCTAAGGCTATTAACATAATGAGCACCACCCCCAAAAACCTCACATGGACGATTGAACCAAGGCGCTAGATCGGGTCCAACTGATTTGCATAAAAATAGTGGCGCGTGAGGTCGCTGTTCGCGCTGTATTTTTAATGCACTGCATGCATAGACATATGACTGCATGCATAGCGCTAGCGAAGATATCATTTACCGCGCTACGGCTGGATGAATAACAACTAGCGCCTTGACCAAGGCTATAGCAAGGCATGCCTTTAGCACGCCTTCGCTCAACCTCCTACACCCCCCCCCTGTTTCCTGACAGCTATAGAACCGCCCCTGCGGGGGACGAGCGCATAAAAGTTCGCTGCAAACCTAACACCTTGTCCCCCAATAATTTTGGGCAGGGGACGCCAATGGTGATGTCCCCCAATAATTTATCCCAGTACATATAGAAATTTACCCAACATACCAACATTTTCACATTATTGTTTTCCAAATGGTTTTATAGCTGTACAATATTGCTTGTTCATCATCTTTACCACGAAAATAGCACATTAGGAAAAACAAATAGGCGTAATTGCACATATTATGTATATGCACACCATATTATATGCATTATGTGCCCGTATCTATATACAGCGCCCTATAGGGTCAGGTGGTGTCCATCCCTCTGACCCCCTTCCCGCCCCCCCCCCATGTTGCTCAGAAATCCTGCCAATATACATATAGCCGCTCAGTGCTTGTAAAGTTTTAAGTGCATGACGTATAGACACATGAGGAGAAAAATCCGTCAAATCAGCTTAATTTATTTTACCAGTTAGAGTAAGGATTTTTGTATTTGTTAAGAGACGGGACTTTTACTAGACTAAATCATATAGGCCTTCGTCAATGAATTCAACCCATAATTCCCTCCGTCGCTGAAAAAAACAGATCCAAATCAGTTCTGATCTTTCACGATTTTGATACTCAAACAGTAGACATTCATGTGCCCATCTCCATTCTGGATTTTAGGCAATAACTAATTTTCTCTTCGTAATAATAGTCAGTACACATGGCTCAGTGTAGTGATAGCTTTATTTGTTTTGATTTTTGCCCCCGAAGCCTGCGTGAACGTGAAATACAGCAGACCCGACACTAAACTGACGGTACAAGCCAAGGTGGGAAGGGCAACAATAATCGAGGAGAGCATAAGGTGTAAGTGCCCATAATTGTTCTTTTTTTAGTGGAGGCTTGGACTTGTCCACTTCCTTGTTCTAGTTTCGTTGCTATGCATTCCATTTTCCTTCACCTATACTGCCTTATGGAACATTCCTTTTGGGTGGCTTTACCATACACACAAGCAAAAAGCATGTAATTGTTTGACCCTTAAACCACCAAATTATAATTTGACCCTTTACCCGATTTATTTAATAGTGAAAATGCAAATGCTCTATTACAATAATATGGGACAACAGCTGAGGGATTTGGACCAAGATGACTACGACATTCTTGGATTCGCATTGATGTATTAGTAAACATAAAAATCAACTAACAAATAAATATGTTGGCCGCCATGTTTGGCTGCCCGGTCGTCAACACAGAGGGTGTTTTCTGTGAATCCGTACATTGTAAAAACTAGGTTAAGCATTTAAACACTTTTCTAAATACTTTAAATTTCTTGCTATCAGTTTTTAAACATGTTTAAATACTGAACATGTTTAGAGTAAGGATTGATAATGTTTAGCTATTGAACATGGATGTTTAGGATTTGGACGCAAAATCATAGCTTCTAAACATGTTCACAAAGTGATAGCAAGATAGTGTTATTGCTAAACACAGTTTTTAGAGTGTTTCGTGGGCGCTTTTTCACCGACACTGGTAAACTGCAACAGTTTGCTTGTACACTGTCAACCGATTTCTCCGCAGTGGACCAGCCGTCGTGGAGCTCCTGCAAGGGTTTCCTTGGTTACAAGGTCTGCTGCGGACTGGGCGGCATCGAGCTCTCGCCAACCCGCGTCCGCGCATGCGCACTGTTCCGGCTCCGGCTTTTCGGCATGGACATCTTGAATAAAGACACCGGGTGCTTCGCCATCAATCTCCAATAGGACTGCGTCCGTTACACAGGAGCGGATCCGATGATGTAGTTTTGATCTTTAAGACATTGTTTATGCAGTGACTAATGGCATCCTTAGATCATTGCAGTTGTATATCCCAAAAGTAACCTACCAAATTATTATCAAAAAGCTTGCATGGATTAAAGATCAGATTGGTATACTAAACCGGCACCGTGACATCACTCCCAGGCTTTCGTATTTAAAGGAAATCAAGAAATGTAGGTGATTTCCAACGGTCACTCAATAATTGACTGATTTGGTTTGGAAATGGACGAAATTGTGTAGACTAATCAGAAGGTTGTGCATGGTGTTTACTGTTTTATCAAAGAATCAAAGAGAGTAATATCCACTGAGATGAAACTTCAACAGGTTAGGTTTTAATAGTTCTCCTTTGGATTTTGAGGTGTGTTTTCATTGGAAACTAATAAAATGCACCAGAGGCGGATGATCCCATATACCTTTAATTCATCATGTATTGAATTTATTGCTTTGTTTAATATAGGCTATACCTCAATATTTCTTGACGTTGATATTTAATTTAATTACTAACGAAAAAGTGTCCCTATTGTCAGTTTAATTAAAAATAAATATAGTATTTCCTGAAAAAAATACAATGCTTATAAAGTAGACATAATAATGTACATATGGTTAAGCCTATCTTATGAAGAGAACTCGAGATACGTCGAGACCAGAACGGCTCGATATTTGAAAGTCAAAGTTTAAGTCTTCCAAATTCTCGATGACTAATAAATTTGCGATATTTTACAAAATCAAGCAATGCCAAGCCGACTCTCAATAACTTTATTTCATTCCACTTTTAAAGAATCTTTTTAACTTTGAACAGTGACGGGGTGCGCTATGCGATCTTTGCTCAAGTGCCACTTCATTTGGCTCAGTGAGACATATCAAGCTTTTGATATCGGGAGGGGGGCAATATAGCAGGCAAGCCTTCAAAGCACTCATGACTGGCAAAAACTATTATGAGCCAAACACGAAGCCAATTAACACCCAGTTCAAGGGGCGGGGCAATTAGCCTTCAAAGCACTCATGGCTGGCAAAACCTTTTATGAGCAAAACACGAAGCCAATTAACACACAGGGCAAGAGTTAGGGCAAGCCTTCAAAGCACTTATGGCTGGCAAAAACTATTATGAGCAAAACACGAGGCCAACACCCAGTGCAAGGGGTGAGGCAAGCCTTCAAAGCACTTATGGCTGGCAAAAACTATTATGAGCCAAACACGAAGCCAATTAACACCCAGTTCAAGGGGCGGGGCAATTAGCCTTCAAAGCACTTATGGCTGGCAAAAACTATTATGATTAAAACACGAGGCCAACACCCAGTGCAAGGGGTGAGGCAAGCCTTCAAAGCACTTATGGCTGGCAAAAACCATTATGAGCAAAACACGAGGCCAACACCCAGTGCAAGGGGTGAGGCAAGCCTTCAAAGCACTTATGGCTGGCAAAAACCATTATGAGCAAAACACGAGGCCAACACCCAGTGCAAGGGGTGAGGCAAGCCTTCAAAGCACTTATGGCTGGCAAAAACCATTATGAGCAAAACACGAAGCCAACACCCAGTGCAAGGGGTGAGGCAAGCCTTCAAAGCACTTATGGCTGGCAAAAACTATTATGAGCAAAACACGAGGCCAACACCCAGTGCAAAGGGGTGAGGCAAGCCTTCAAAGCACTTATGGCTGGCAAAAACTATTATGAGCAAAACACGAAGCCAACACCCAGTGCAAGGGGTGGGGCAAGCCTTCAAAGCACTTATGGCTGGCCAAAACTATTATGAGCAAAACACGAGGCCAACACCCAGTGCAAGGGGTGGGGCAAGCCTTCAAAGCACTTATGGCTGGCCAAAACTATTATGAGCAAAACACGAGGCCAACACCCAGTGCAAGGGGTGGGAGTGGATAGTGTGTGCGTGTGCCAAGGGGAGCTTAGTGGGTACGGCCGTCTGTGTGCTTCTTAAATTTACGTCGATCGTACCACGAACTGACCTATTTGATTTTTTGAGACGAATTTGGGTTTTTAGAATATTCTGGTTATGCATGATGAAATCTTTATTTTCTGAAAATTTCAAATTCATAAGTGGCCTAATTAGCTAATTCAGTTGATTCTGCTAATTAAAAATGTTGACCTATCTCTACAAAATGCAACATTACCATTTCACGAACTGACGCATCGAGATAGGTCACTTCGTGAAACGCGTAAACAACGCTGTCAGTTTTCCACGAAGTGACATATAGAGTCTGGTAGCTGGACTTAATGTGGTCCCTATCACTTTCTTGTGAAATTGAGTTAGTAGCGTCTTTACAATTACCGGTTTTCGTTGTTGTTTTTTTCAGCCTACACTGAACTCGTTGGGATCTCTTCTTGGACTTGATCTTCAAGAACGTACCATCGAGGTGGGTGTGATGTTTAATCTTCAAGACCAGGGGCGAGCCCTAGTCCGGCCGGCAACATCTTCATCCCTTAAACATTCGTTAAAGAGCCATTTTCCCTTGAAATTACAGTTAACTACATTTTCACGGACTTTTCAACATATTAAGCCAAATTAGGAGTCCGAGAAAACACCCTTAAGAAAGCCCTTTGTTTACCGTGGAGATAGACCCAGTGTACCGTTATGTATAACCAATGATAATCCTCAGTGGCCAGGGCCATTAAAACACCGTGAAAATACCCTTACAGGATTAGCCCTATATAAGCCCAATGTAAATGTCCGTGAAACATCTAAGATTCTTTTCACGGAGAAGTGGACTTTTAATGAAAATTTGAGGGATCAGATGTTCATACTAGTGCCCCCCCCCCCCCCCCCCCCGCAATTTGGTGGTCCTTTCCTATCTTTAATCGGCGAGCAAAATAATAACGAAAGCAATTTGAGGGGTTGTCCATAGTTGCCTTACTAACCAAATTTTAAAACTGGGCTTTTCCTAAATTTTAGTCTCTGCTTGTCCGCTGATACGCCACTGTTATATCACGCCGAACGCATTCTTCGAATAATGATTGCTCACATCCCTAGTCATTATGCATGTTTTCAAATGACCGCGGAATGTCATGAGTTTTAGACTAATTCTCCAGTTTATTTGACCTCAATATTTTTCTCCACTCTACCTTTTTTTCTTACTCTTTTTGTACCTGTTCTCACTTCACTTGTTTTAGTGTAATCGTTTTTTTTCTGTATACAGAATGAAGATCTGCGTGGCAGCTTTTCTTTCAATCGCCCTCCTTCTAGGTAACTCTGTCGAGCTCCAAGCTTGGAGTAATGGGATTATGGGCTTGCACCTTTGGCCGGCTGCCTCAACCGACGATGGCCATACGCCGGTTCCCTCGGTTCCCTCAGACAAAGATGGTCCTGCGAATCAGGCGGGCGAAACAGGTAGCTTGGGACCTGTTTTAGGAACAATTTTCCGAGGGCCAAAAGGTGATACAGGTCCGAGAGGTCCAGTTGAACCAACCGGGAATCCTGGAGTCAAAGGTCAGAAGGGTGAGCCAGGGGAGATGCGTGATGACCACTCCAATCAACAGGTAGCATTCACCGTGGTGAGGACCAGCCACTTAACATCCACAAGTCACGACCTCCGTCTGCCCTTCCAGGAGACCGAGACGCTTCTGCCGGGTACCAGCTTCGATCTCGGGACTGGCACATTCACGTGCAGTGTGCCGGGCAGCTAAGTGTTCACGTTTTCTGTGTGCCAGTTAGGTTCCAGCAGCACCCTTTGGGTCCATCTCAAGAAGAATGGCATCAAAGTTGTCTCTGCCACTGTCGGCGATCATGCAGGCGACAATGCTCAGTTGTCTGGAAGCGCGGTGCTGGTTCTGCAGCGTGCAGACGCGGTGTATCTAACCTTGCGCGGTAAGGCGAGTGGTGATGCCACCAATCACTGCACGTCATTCAGTGGGTTCCTGCTTTACCCCGAAAAGACAAATTAATCGGCTTCCATTTTGCTCCCCCAACGCCCCCCCCCCCGCCAAAAAAAATCAACGAATTAAAAGAAATAATCATAGTCAGAAATATTAAATTAGAGCGGAAGAAGAAATTCTAAACTTCACGTCAGTGACAAAATCACCGTCATTGATGCCGAAACGTCAATACTGGTTACTGGTAAAACTGACGTTAAAGTTGTGAAAACATCGTTCGAGTATGTATTTATCTAAATTTCTGGAAATCCCTGGGCCCACAAGTTGTTATATAGTTTAACACTGATATCATTTAAGTATCTTTCGAATTTCAGCTTAATCTGTTGTTGCGAACGCTTGTGTTACACCTTGAACTTTCTCCAGGAAAATTTTCGACGAGGATTTTTTTTTGCCGACCAAACTCACGTGCATGGTTTTCAGGTTGGCTGATTTTGTTCCAACAGTGACGAAGCGCATATTTGCATATTCATTAGCATCACTCGGTGTAACTTCTCGGTGTCGACCAACGGAAGCCGGCAAAAAAGGGTGATATTTATTAATGAATATACCTCGTGATCACCCGTTATCAATGGAGCCAAGTCTCCTGTATAACGTCTGATGTCTAAACATGCAGATATATGCAAGCCGCGCGCCAGCCAATCGGAGTCGACTTTACTAAATCGTGACGTCATTTCATTTCAAAATCAGGACTAATGGTTATAGTTTGTTTGGTCAATTCGAATGCAGTGTTTTGTAATACAACAGCCGGGCGCATATCGCGTAAAATTAAACAGAGCGCGTGACACGTGGCTTATTTTGTATCCATGTCTACCCGATAAAGAAAGCGCCCGCTGATTGGTCAAAATCTAGAGGTCAAGATGCGGTTGTCTTGCATAATTAATCAGCGAATCTGCTCAAATGTAATAGACGACGGTTTTCGCCATTATGGTCTAATACATAGACTATGAAGGAGCTGGGCGATACTGCTATTTTTCTTATAGCACACCATAATGAATAGGAACCTTATTATTATTCGTGAGGCTTGATATAGATATTACAAACACCAGTGTTACAACTTTTGAAAATGCACGTACCCAGTCCTATTTTTTTCTCCATTTGCAACGAAAAGTACTGAATATATCAAAACGATTTTCAGCACATAGTTGGATCATTCAAAGGAAAACAAACCCTGAAAGCTGCATGAAGAACAGTCTTCCAAACGGCCCAACGGGAGAAATTGATTTCCAAAGATTTCGCCCGCGAACATCAACATGTCTGTGTGCATGTTGTTTCATTCAAATAAAGTATTACTTAACATTTGGGAATCGGCCTTCGCAACCACACGACATGTTAGGACCATTTTGTTGAAATTATTGTCCGAACTACTGCAATGCTGCTCATAGCAATTTGTCGAGACGTTGGAACTTGCATCCAATTGTTGCAGTTTACGGGTGCTTTGGGGGAAAAGTAGAATTCACTGATTTTTATTAAATGATTGCATTATTTTTAATTTTGTAAACTGTAAAAATTATGTAACCATATTGGCTATGAAAAAAAGATATGTACAAAGCCTCATTCTGATGATTACGAAAACACAACAATTTTGATGAATACTTTTGCTTGACCTCATGTGTGAAAAACGTACCGGAAGTTGAAAAAAAATAAGAAAGAAAGGTGCCCACATTAATGGAAAGAGTTGAAGCCCAAAAAGTGTGGCAAGTGTTTCTTGATTAAAAGACTCAAACTTATTTCAAGACTGTTGTTGTTCTTAACCAGCATTACTTTATTGCATTCAAGAAAAGAAAGACTCACTCCGAAAACACCAGTGACAGTGTGAGCCCGTTAGATGGTAAAGAAACAATCTTAACGAAATGAATAAATACAAACAAACCGGTTGGAAATGTCCTTCGTTCCTAAGCTACCACAAAATGGGGTCACTTTATGGTATTTCAAGTTGACTTTTTTTATTGACTATTATTTTGATACGTAATTTTAAATTAACGAGTTTACCTTTCCAAATTTTAATGAATAAGCACATCAATGTAAACACATTAAACAGTTTGCCACAAAATGTAGATATTTTGTTAGAATTATGAAACCTTGACATATTTCAGATCGCCTCAGTTAGTATTAACGATTTATGAAATGGATGGAATGGCTCCTCCTAAATGCGCAGGAAAAGGTGTAATTATTAGCATAATATGTGACCCAGGACCAGAGTTAATAAAAAAAAGGGAATTACCGGCCAATATTTGCCGAGATATTGTTCAAAACTGTTTCATTAGAAAATGGCTTTGTCCTATGTACTTTAGTTTGTAAAATGGTGTTGAATTACTCAGTTATGTTGAAAATGTTATTGCTTTCGCGGTCTTGTGAGAAATTACAACGATTGAAACTTTAAAAAAAGTCAAGTTATATCAGAACCAACGCATGAAATTACAAAAAAAAAAAAAAAAAAAAACAGCATCTCAAAATGCTGGAGTGAATTTGGTTTCATGTGGTTCGTGATCCTTTGGTTCAAAGTGGTTACAAATTTACAGTGAAGACTTAAAATTATTACGAAAATTAAAAGACAATTATATTTCTCACCCCCTCCCTCCCCCCCCCCAAAAAAAATCCATGAACTTTATAAATTGTCAATAGCGTATGAATATTGCGACTTAGATATTGTTGCTAAATACTTTAACACTTTTAAAATACCAAACTTTGAAAAAGTTGTCTGAATTAAATCACTCACATTACGTCATGATTATACATTACTAATAAAATATACTATTTATATGGGAAATTGGTCCATTATGGCTCTGATTTTTCGACAAAGATTTTTTCCCCCAAAAATGAACATTAATTTAAAGCATGGTACTACATGTATGCCTGAGAATTTCCGGACAAACTATGTAACACTTTAGATGGACTTTCTCTTTGTGTTTTTTTTAAGATAAAAGCAAAAATAAGTTCGTCTAAGATTTCTTATTGATAGGGCTGTCCATGCTCGAATAATTTAGTATTCGATTACTCAAAACTGTGTTTGACCGAATATTCGGATATTCGAAGATGCCAGCTGCAGCTGTGTGCCGCACTGGTTACTTTAAAGTAGCATGGAGAGTGTGCCACTTAAAATGCATGTGCTGTGATTGATATGGAGTGTTTTGCAATTAATATTTTGTAACTGCCAAGGGCTTTGACCTGCTAAAGGGCTAGAAACAACAAACAGCCATCGACAATAGGGCTGTGCATCGGAACCGGGTACCGGTGTACCCTGCCGTTAATGTCAGGAACAGTTTCCAGATTACGGAATCGAGTACCTGTAACCAACTTTGCAAATGACTTAGTAACGTCTCAGTCAATAAAAAACACATGTTTCGAATGTCAGTGGGAACATTTCAAAAATGAAAAACAGGATACATGGACTGGAAAACAGAAACCACCTCATGTTTTATGATGCTTGCGAAAGTTGCAGTTTTTACCACATAGCTAAAGAGTTCACTGTATACACCTTATCTAGCTGTATTGCCGCACCGATGTGGTAGTACTATCATGCAGACCTTTATGAACCTTTTAGAAACTTTCCAGATTCGAATTTTTGGCTTGGGTTTCTTTAACGGGTACCCGTATATTGATCAATCGGGTATCCGGTTCATGTACTGCCCGTAACTGCACACCCCTAATCGACAAAAAAGGACCGTCTACCAAACAAAAAAGTTGCACCTGGTAAAACGCCGCAACTGTATCACAAAGTAACAAACACAGCTGTGTGTGTATGTGTGTAGTTTCTTTGTTTTCAAATATTCAAACCGGCAAAAAGCTATGCGAATATTCAGTTGACGATCGAATATTCGAATATTCAGTATTTTCGGGACAGCCGAACTTATTGAAATAAAGAACACTGTGTTTAACTTTTTGAGAAAAAAAGGGAACTGTTGACATTAATAGGGCCCTATACCGGTTCAATATAAATATGAACTTAAAAATGAAAGAAAGAAATCTCCAAACCCAAACCGAATTTCACCAGTCCACAAGTTTAAGGCGAACCCTGCCTGTACACAACCATCTAATGTAACTTATAACACGTGCATTCTTGTGTCTTCTGAAAATATCTACAGTTTATTTAATAACATAGAACAATTTAAAATAGCTATTTGTAAGTTATAATTTTTTAAAATGCCTAAAATAAATACATCAAAATACACCCAAAATATACCTGTGCGTAAAATACACTCTTTAAAGACATAAGCTGAACCTGTCAGTGCAATTTGACTAATTAACACAACAGAACATCTTTGCAGGGATTTGCAATCGACATAAACCCGATGCTCTCATCAATAATGCATTGCATGAAAATCTGGAATGTCTAGCTATACAGTATGCACAAGTTAAAATCTTTGTTGAGCTCTTCAATGATTAATCTTCAACTCCACCTATCGGGCTATAATGTATAAAAACATCGACCCCCTTTGACTATTTTAATATTGCATAAATTATGCAAATTGTGCTTTGATTTTTTGCATAAGATATCCTAATGTACTGCAAATACTTCTCATGAATAATGCACTGTGTATGCAAATCAGCAGTCGCTGCTTTATGAATAATGCGTAAGAACACTTGTCTGATTGCCCCTGAGCAAGAGTATGGGAGGCATATCCTTGGATAGCGTCTCCAGCCAGCACATGTACATGTAGGCTGAACAGGTGCGCTTCCTGGGAATAGGTAGACTCCTGCAAGAAATTAATAAAAAATTATAATAAAACCCCAGTTACGGCATGTCAGTCAAACGGGCACTTAACCCCACCGAGCTGACTCAAGTCACGTAAGAGTTTTCTGTCAACTGTAAGACCCCTTCATACCTCTACAGCGGAGGCACGCCTCAAAACGTGGAATGGAAATCTCGCCAACCTCACATAACAATTGGACATGAAAATCCCAGCTGTTGAAAGTCTCCCTCCAGGTGCCAAGAATAACTGGCCTGTTTGGAAGGCACTCAACCGCCTTCGCACCAGAGTTGGCCGATGTAAGGAATCACTCATCAAGTGGGGATACACTACAGGTCCAACGACATAAGACTGTGGAACAGAGTCTCAGACAATGGAACATCTACTGAGATGTCCGCTGTTGACAGAGCCTTGTACCACCAAAGAGATAGCCAACAACACCATCATCGCACAGCTCTGCGCTCAACATTGGTCAAGAACAATTTGAGAAGAACACGATAGAAAGAATCAAACGGTGCGCACTGATCAATCAGATCACCACTTTTGATCAGGTGATCACAGTAGCTCAGTCAGGCTGATTCACAAGCGCTGTGAGAAATTTACACAAACCAAAGGTAGGCGGGCCTATGGGCAAACCCGGGGCATTCCATTGATGATCTGTCCAACAAACAACTTGGTTTTACAGTGGTGGTTCTAGGTGGCCTAACCACCCCCCTCGCAATAACAAAAATATTGTGCAGAAAAGAGTAGCTTGCTCACCCCCGCCCCCCCCCCCCCCACCACCACTTGACAGCTAACCGCCTCCCTGCTTCAGCTAAAGGTGGATCTTCCCCTATTTTACTGAATGATTTGGATTTAATGCAATTTTCTGTTAGGTTTCTGGTAACTGTAAAGTAGTGCCGTTAGATTAGCAACTCATTGTTTTGATGGAAATTGCCAGCACTACAACATCTTTTTTTGAGAAACAGTAAGAAATAATTACCTTTTTAAAAAATGTGTTAACTGTGCGTGCAGGTATAGCGCAGAATTTCTGTGCTAGTGCAGTAAGCACAGAATGAGAGTTGTAATGAATTTGAGTCTATTGAGTCAGTAGTGGCTTTGCGTACTTACATGACAATGAGCTCTGCCTCCTGGGAATGTTGGACAAGCAATTCACGGATCCGTATCTGTCTGTTGGTCTGAAAGGAAAAACAAAAAGATTTCAGACGGAAAAAAATGAACTAAGAGCTGTTCAATGTGAATATTACTGTGTATATAATGTATAGGTACCAGCATTTACAAGCCACGATGGCCCCAAAACGGCCCAAGTTTATAATTGTCACTGTGGAGGGGTCGGTGCTTTAGCGCAAGAACTTTACCTTCTCTTTGAGCGTGATGATTTCTTCCTTGCTGATCTTCCAAGGAAACTTCTCCGTGGTCTCCCCTGCTTCCTCATCCAGCATCCAAGGCTTGGACAGCTCCTTGAACCGCCTCAAGCTCTCCTCCTTGGGCTTCTTGTTCAGGTCCGGGATGATCTCCACATCCGAGCAGTCGATGCGGAACTTGCTGAGCATGTTGGCCATGTTCATCTTCTCCCGGTCAATCTGCTCCTTCTTGCCCGTGGTGGCAAAGACCCGCAGCTTGCATTTCTCCCAGTTGGATTTCATGGAGATGAGGTGAGGGATGAGTAGGGTCAGGCCTGCATGGGGGAGGGCAAAATATTATATAGAGCATTATTTCCCTTTGACAGAAAGCATGTGGTTTCTGTTTTTTACACATTTTATTAAACATGAGGCTTCGCTTTGCCGGCTGTCGCCCACTGCGCAGTCGAGGCGGCTTCACCACCTGTCTCAAGCTGCGCAGTCAAGAGGCGGCTTCGCCCCGTCTCCAGCTGCGCAGTCGAGGCGGCTTCACCACCTGTCTCCAGCTGTGCAGTCGAGAGGCGGCTTCACCACCTGTCTCCAGCTGTGCAGTCGAGAGGCGGCTTCGCCACCTGTCTCCAGCTGTGCAGTCAAGAGGCGGCTTCGCCACCTGTCTCCAGCTGCGCAGTGGAGAGGCGGCTTCGCCACCTGTCTCCAGCTGTGCAGTCGAGAGGCAGCTTCGCCTCCTGTCTCCAGCTTCGCAGTCCAGAGGCGGCTTTGCCACCTGTCTCCAGCTGCGCAGTGGAGAGGCGGCTTCGCCTCCTGTCTCCAGCTGCGCAGTCCAGAGGCGGCTTCGCCACCTGTCTCCAGCTGCGCAGTGGAGAGGTGGCTTCACCACCTGTCTCCAGCTGCGCAGTCAAGAGGCGGCTTCGCCAGCTGTCTCCAGCTGCGCAGTGGAGAGGCGACTTCACCACCTGTCTCCAGCTGTGCAGTCGAGAGGCGGCTTTGCCACCTGTCTCCAGCGGCGCAGTCCAGAGGTGGCTTCACCTCCTGTCTCCAGCTGCGCAGTGGAGAGGCGGCTTCGCCACCTGTCTCCAGCTGTGCAGTCGAGAGGCAGCTTTGCCACCTGTCTCCAGCTGCGCAGTCCAGAGGCGGCTTCGCCACCTGTCTCCAGCTACACAGATGAGAGGCGGCTTCGCCACCTGTCTCCAGCTGCGCAGTCAAGAGGCGGCTTTGCCTCCTGTCTCCAGCTGCGCAGTGGAGAGGCGGCTTCGCCACCTGTCTCCAGCTGTGCAGTCGAGAGATGTCTTTGCCACCTGTCTCCAGCTGCGCAGTCCAGAGGCGGCTTTGCCGCCTGTCTCCAGCTGCACAGTTGAGAGGCGGCTTTGCCACCTGTCTCGAGCTGCGCAGTCGAGAGGCGGCTTTGCCACCTGTCTCCAGCTGCACACTCGAGAGGCAGCTTCGCCCAAGCTGCGCAGTCGAGAGGTGGCTTGGCCACCTGTCTCCAGCTGAGCAGTAGAGAGGTGGCATCGCCACATGTCTTTAGCTGCGCAGTCGAAAGGCGGCTTCACCACCTGTCTCCAGCTGAGCAATCGAGAGGCCATTTTTGCCGCCTGTCACCTGCTTTGCAGATGAGCAACTTGTTAACACCCACATACATTCGAGGTCAAGGAACTTGTGCACACGCATGCGCACACCTTTTCTTTTTTTATAGTATAACAGTGATATTGAAGGCAATTTCCATTTCTCTGAACTGTCTAAAAATATAATAGCCATGAAAAAAGGATTGTGGTTCCTTTTGCATTGGGAAACAACCCAGAGTGGTAGGTAGGTAACTTTTTTTTGGGGGGGGGGGGGAGGAGGCGGGTTACAAATTTCTATAGGCTCAGGTTTTTTAACACAAAATATCATGATCATGATTATTTTTACAGCAGCATTTCAGCCTACCTCCATCATCCAAAAGCCACCACACGTCGATGTTTCCTTTCGGCATCTTGCCCTGAAACTTCTGCATAGATTTGATGACAACATCGATGGGTTGTCCCTTGATGAGCGCCGTGCTGTCAACAGAAGGAATCTTGGATTCTGCTGGAGTGTTTGGCGGTTCAGCGGCCAACGGTTCTACTGGCTCCTCCCCTTCCTGTCCTTCCTCAGTGATTGAAGACGGCGTTATTTCTACTTTGATATCAGGCACTTTTTCTGTCAAGGGAAAGAGAGAGGGGTGAACATGGTGCTGAAACTGATCCCCTAGATTTGGTCGGTGTTCAATGTACATCGAAAAGCCTAAACGTATATATGTTTGCCGGATTGCGCCATACGATTAGAACGTGTGTACATATCCCCATATGAAGTGAGTGTACAATGAATTATGACAGGGAATGAATGTCCTTCCCTCCCCATTGAGGTTGATTGGTCAGCCTTGAAGAAACTTATCACGTGCCAAAATGCACGTGCCACGCCTGGCGCTATGGCGGAGTGCAAGTATACAAATATTGAATGCTTCGAGTGGTGTAGTAAAACTAGCCTTCCGAGGTGATCCATGAACATTCTATTTTCCCGAGGCGAAGCCGAGGGAAAATAGAATGGTCCATGGATCACCGAGGGAGGCTAGTTTTACTTTACCACGAGATAAAGCATTCAATATTTGTTTTATAACACGTCACCCACAGATTCTGCTTGATTTTAATATTTTACATTATTTAAATCTGAACACAGTTGAAATAAACTTCAATTTCAATACAAAATTGGTGGAAAATGTATTTCTCTCTTCCAAACTACCCCTTCTCGAAATGTATGAACCCAAGTCTGCGGCGCGCTCTCTTTGGAACAATACGCGCTACGCGCAACGCGCACACCAGCATGCATTTGCACACAAATACCGCACCGTGGAAATGTTACTTCGGTTGCTAATGGTATAGTACTTTGGTTGCTATGCGCATAGTACTTTTGGCCATGCACAGAAAGATAGCAGAGAATTAGAAAGTAACATGTGACTCGCTCTCGGCCAATCAAGACACAGTATCTGTAGGTGAGGTGCGCACACCAGCATGCATTTGCACACAAATACCGCGCCGTGGAAATGTTACTTCGGTTGCTAATGGTATAGTACTTTGGTTGCTATGCGCATAGTACTTTTGGCCATGCACAGAAAGATAACAGAGAATTAGAAAGTAACATGTGACTCGCTCTCGGCCAATCAAGACACAGTATCTGTAGGTGAGGTGTTATAAAATTCAATTTGCACACAGACTGACACAACGGCCACATTCCTGTGCACCAACGTCCAATGCTTGACTGGATCTCCGCTTTGTTTATTACTACACTCACAAGGCCTACAAAACATTGTGGTTGTAGTCACGCACCACTCGCGCGGTTCCCATATGCACAGCTCCACGTATACATGACAGTGCATATATTCATGCAGGCTCGCCATCGAAACAACCATTCATTTTATACTGCACATGTACAGGGCATGGGTGAGACATTTCGAGGTGGGATGACTGCAGTTCCGTTCGGTGCAGTTCGGTTCGCCTCGGAAGGCCATGTTCGGCTATTTTTAGTTCAGTTCGGCGGTTGGCGGTTCGGCTGCAGCACTAGGTTAACAGTTTTTACAGTAAAGTTCTGATATGAATCAAACTAGTACATTAAAGTTTAGACTGGTATTTCATGACCGGAAGTTTGTACGCGCTCAGCTGAAAAAACCCGGATTTCCCCTGCTAGTGAATTTTTAAGCCAAATACAAATATTTATGGAAAGAAAATTGACCAACTTGGGCTAGATTCTGCATGAGGTGGGACATATTGATATAAATTTACATTGATATAAAAGCATGCAGGGAATGGGCAATGGACATCTAAAAAAACACAACTTTATTTCAACTAAAACAAAAACAGAAATTAAAAAAAATACAACACATATTCACATACGTCCCTTCCATCTAAACAATTGTGAACATTCGATGGAAGAGTACTATAATATCAACACATTGAACGATTCATAGTCTACAACAAATGTACAATGCACTACATGTATGTATACAAAACATATACTATTAAATATCCTACGAGAGCGGATGTAACACGGAATATTATCTTCAAGTAAACTTGAATCCTCAATCCTGATTTGGTCGATCCATGGCAACAAGCCGTGCTACATATAAACAAGATGCGAGCGTCATTCCGTACATCACGCACGTGTGATAGGATAACCGCTGAAAAGTTTGCGTACAGCGTGCGTGTTCCATCTTTACTGTGTATCAAGTTTGCTTGAAGATAAATTCGATATCACGCTCGCGTTCGTGGAACACGGAAAATGTAATGCGTCTGTGTCCCACATACTTCGGCCTCGTGGTATGTGGGACGCAATACATTATTTCGTGTTCCACTCGTGCTCGTGGGATAACTTACAATATAATGCGTCTGTGTCCCATATGCCACAAGGCCGAAGGCAAATGGGGCACACGCACACTTCATTTTCCGTGTTCCACGAGCGCAAGTGGGATAATAGATTTATCTTCAAGCAAAGTTGACGCAAAGTAAAGATGGAACACACATCTTGTGGTCACTTTTGAGGAGTTTTCCATTACATGTGTGTATGGCACAAAGAGCACAGGCATCTTTAGAATAGTACGATACCCAGAGTGCAATGTGGACCCATAGATATGGAATAAAAAACTAAATCGTGCATATGCGCCCATTCAAACTACTCTGACTGTGTGCCATTTTTGTGGTCTCTCATGGACGCGCAAAAAAATTAACGTAAAGTAATACAGCTGATGTATCTTTCCTCCAGCTCATTGGCGTTGCGTTCGTCACGTCACATTTGGCGTGCAAGTTTTGTATCTTTTCTCCAGCACGTGATCCTCCATGCACGTGCTGCCGATCTAGTCTTTTTATTCCATACCTACCGGTATGTACAGACTGGATACGGAATTATATCACACTCTTGTTGCCATGGATCAACCAATCAGTATTTAGGATTCAAATTTGCTTGAAGATAAAGTACACTATCTATCATACAATTATGGTCCATATCATACACACAGTGATGTATTTGCATGAAAACCCTTAGCTTGGACAGAAATTACACAAGTTTCACGATAACAGAGGGGACTTTGAGTACGTATACAGTGACTTGTAAATGAAATTTCATACAATTGTTGGTGCTACAACATGCCGTCAGAGATAACACACAGTAGACCAGACACTTATAGAGAGTTAATGTGACCTTTTCATGACCCCTCCGCAACCCCGTTCAAGTTGACTAGTGCACAGTATTATGAGTTAACACTCCCTAATTAATTCGGGCGATTCACAACGCAGTGCGCCACCACGAGTTTGCCATGGAGAGTCAACTTTTCAAGTTTATGGTCAACAAAACATGGCCAATTTGAATGAGTGTCAGTAGACAATTTGAGCTAATTTGTTATAGATTTGGGCATAGCGTTCTGCCTCCTTATAAAAAATTACCATATTGATACAAAGAAAAGAAAAGGGCAAACATATACTCGAATCATACGGTATGCTTATGAAACTACTGACCGGAATAACGAACATTTCAAATGTCCCGCGCTGCGAATTTGTCGACCATCTCCCACAATGCACTGGGTAAAATGAACTCTCTGTGGCAAACTCTTGGTGGCGCACTGCATTGTGAATCACTCGAATTCACAAGGCAATGAAGTCAGCACATATGACGTGATTGTACTGTCTTCATTTCATTTTGTTGGTTTGTTTTTGTTGGTTTGTTTCATTTTGTTGGTTTGTTTCAGTTTCACTGAGCATGGTAAATGCAATGTCTACTGAATCGGGGTCACGATCGAATAGAGAAATGATTATGTCACTTGTAAACTCTCTACCATTGACACCTGCGTAGCTTACCAATCCGAAATCTGGACTGCCCATGATCTGGCTGATGGAGAACTTTGTTAGCAAGAAAAAGGTACCATTACATACGATGAACACGCTATAATGCTGGGATACTTTCTTGTCTTTGTCATCAAAATACAGAGACTAAACAACAAATTTTATTCAATTATTCTCAGCAGGGTGTGACTGTCAATTTCTTGAAGCGGTTGTGGCCACATGCGGCGATTTCTTGTCAAGATTGCGTGAGTGAGCGGTGACCGCGTTGTGGGGAATTGTTTCGTGAAGGATATAAGAAGCGAGTTATGGGGACTTCCTGCTGTCCTCACAGCGTTGTTGGCCTCAACAATAACTATCACTCATCAAGTGTGTGGTCCCCACAATTTTGGAACAATTGTGCTTGTATGTGCATGGGGTTGGGGTTAACATGGGCATTTCAAAACAGGTGGGGTGGGGTCAGGGGCACTGGACAGTATCCGACTATAGGTGGCGCTCTTCATGATTTGTGTGACAGGATTTTAAGTTTCAATAACAGAAAATGGACCAATGACGAGCCACACAGTGTCAATCAAGGATATTGAAATCACGGAGCTGAGGCCGAGAAGTCGAATCCCCAAACAAAATCACGCTTTGATAAACATCTTAGTTATATGGTCAGGTCACCATTCTAATCACAGCTCACCTTCTTCAACATAGTCAGTGAAGCCAGGGGTATTCAGGGCACTAGACACGTCAAACGACTCCTTGATACGCAGTACTCCAACGCCCAAGTTGAGGTCAAATGCATCGCTGCAAAAAAAAAATCAAAGCCCACAATAATTTGAAATAACTTGCAGAAGCAGATTTGTTGTATTTGATGCCATCAGCTTACTCTATTAAAAACAGTAGCCAACTCTGCCTCTCATATTCAGGGTCGGGAGCAGAAAAGAATGATGAAGTGTCTTGCCTATGAACACAAGTTGAACCCCATAGGTCACAAGCCAATATGGTCCATCAGGCCGACGTTTACCTCTGGTTTCCTTGGCATGAAATGATTGAGAATATTTTTACTCCCCATGGACGGGATACTAGTCCTTCGCATGTTACTCCCCAGCTAATGCCAATACCCATTTATACTCCTGGGTGGAGAAGGGCAAGTGGGGTAAAGTGGCTTGCCCAGCATATGACGAGAAGCCAGATTCGAACCCCTGACCCTCTGATCATGAGTCACAAACCCTAACCACTAGGCCACACTCCCCCATAGGACTCAAACCCACAATCTCTATAACTACCGACAAGATTTGGAGTCTGTAAGCATGGCACACCGATCAAATCTCACGTTTTGATGATTAACCCTCCTGCTATTTAAACAGTCATAGACAATCAGAATTCCATCCACTTCCCCTGCTATGTTTTTTAACAAAAGCTAGTCACCAGCAGTCAGATCATTATCAACCAAGCACTGTTACTAGTCAAACTGGGTTAACAGACAAAGCAGGCAAGTTGTGATCACAGCTGTTTTATCACTCAACCTGAGTCAAAGCATAGCTGCATCAAATTACTTTAACACTCCCAGCCAGTCAATCCTGCTTTATGTAGGCTGGGAATTCTTTACTGTTGAAAACAGTCATTTGTCTGATTTTGACTGAGAGGACTACTTGTCATGCACAGAATGTATGTTTGCATAGGAGGGTTACCGTAGCTGCGTCCAAATAAACCTCTTGTCTCCTGCAATTGTCTAGGTCTTGGTACCAAACATAGTAATGTGCATGATGGATTGACCTAAGCTTGAGGTACACATTTTTTTATTGTATTTTGATCATTAATTTGCATTTTTTTTTCAAAATGTTGTAAAATTAAATCCTTTTTTTTTTTTTCTTCACATAACTTATTTATTACCCTTGAATGAATATGCCCAGTCTGGCACAAAATAAACCCAAAATGATATGTCATTAGACCGACTATTCCTGTAAAATCTCGCCATTTGTTTCTGTCAACTTGCGAGCTGTACAGACACAGCCGTAGGTCTGGAAGCCCATTACCGACATGACCCGAATCGTGCAAATAGCTACTTACTGTATGATACCAACGTAGTCGTGGACATACTGCGGCTTTTCTGTCTTCCATTTACCCAGAAACCCCATGATGATTGTGTTGGGCTTGATCTTACCCAGACCACCAATCTAGACAGAAACAAACAAAATTTACATTAACGCTGCAAAAAGCGAAAAATCCAGATCAAAACTGGTTTAACTTTCTCGTTTTACGTTTTTGCAACACTGAATTAATTTTCTCAAGGACCTGCTCACCATGGTGTTTATCTCCGATTTCCTAGGCATGAAACGACCAAGGATATTCTATTCACCCTGGATGGGATGCTAGCCCATCGCAGGTTACTCCCCAGCTAATGCCAGTACATGTACTTTTTTTAACTCCCGGGTGGAGAGAGAAAAGTGGGGGTAAAGTAGCTTACCCAAGGACACAACATATGGCCAGCAGCTGGATTAGAACCCATGACCCTCTGATAATGAGTCATAAACCACTAGCCACTAAGCCACACTCCCCCTCACACGCCTACCTGCATGAGTGCCTGTGCCCCGGTCCTTAGCGTAGGGCTTGCTACCATAGCTGGGAATGCTTTGATTTTCTGAAAGTCCAGCCATTTCTCGTGTGAGTCCGTTAGAAGCTCCATCAAATTTGTATTCTGTTCACCCTGTATAAAAAATTTAGACAAAATGTTTCCATAAAAAGCTTAGCTTCTATACGCTAATTAACAGGCTAAAGAAATTAATTTTTAAAAATCCTTTCTCCCAACTTTTAAAGAAAACTGTGTCTTTGGACTGAATTTCGTGAAGTTGGATTTTTGAGCCAAAACTTGGAATTTTTGATGACCGCGGATACGGATTTGTTTTTGGTTTTTGGACATTTGGGTAAAAACCTGAAATGTTTTTTTCCTCCCTGGATCCTAGCTGTAGTGAGCTGAAATCTTCAGGGGATTCATTTCTGGCCTCTACCCACCTCGTTTGAACATTTGACTGAATTTCGTGATGTTAGATTTTTGGGCCAAAACTTGGAATTTTTGATGAATCAACCACGCTTTATGTCGTTTATGGTTATGCTCCAGACAATTTGCAACTGTAGCATATTACTTATGATCTGCACCGCTAGGTTCTGATCAAAATGCTTTGCAAGGACAAGATTTTGTCAAATCAAGTGTAGTAGATAACTTTCTTCACCTCTAGGTTCTGATCATAATGCTCCACATTTCACAATGACAAGCTTTTGTCTACTTGCAGACAGCTTGCGACTGTAGCAGATTACTTATGATCCCCACCACTAGATTCTGATCATAACACTGCAAAACGACAAGATTTTGTCTAATTGCAGACAACTTGGAACTGTAGCAGATTTCTTATGATCAGAACAGCAAACCGCTATGCTCCACAAAGACACGTTGTCTTTTTTTTTCAAATTGAAAAACAGTTTGTGACTATGGTAGATTATTTACACTCAGAACTGGAATACCGCAACGATTCTTGAGGACAAGCTCTTGTCAAATCACAGACAACTTGTGACCATAGCAGATTACTTACTGTCAGCACTGCTCCGCATATGAGAAGGCTTGTGCTCTTGGTGATATGGGAGACGAAGTGAACCAGGGCAGGCCTGCACTCGGGGGGACCAGTCAATGCAATAATCTGTGGCCTGCATGGGGAAATACAACAATCCACATAATTGAAACGAAGAGGGAATCAAACCTGGGACCTCCGGATTGCCGTTCCGGTGCTCTACCAACTGAGCTACCAAGCTCTATTGTGTTAGTTTCCCAATTTGTCATTGTCTATGTTCATGGGACACTGATCGAAAGATATGAGCCATGCTATGGGGAGAAAATGTCGTCCTCTGCAGTGCACGCAAAGACAGGATAGGTATGTGTTATGACATGGGAAACCTCCCTGGTACACATTGATTTCTTGCAAGTAACTGACAAATCAAATGGGGACGTGAACCAGTGAAAATACATGGAATGGATAGGTATGTAAAACGACACCATAATGTTGAAATGACAGCTGCGTGTTTCCTCACCTGAACGTTTTGACGTGTGCGGGTATTTGGTTCAGCTTCAGTGTGTTGGTCAGCGCTTGTTTGTAGATGAAAGCCTGGTTGGAAGAACCCCAATTGATCTCTAACAGACAGAGATTGAAATAAGAACAAATTTACACAGTTAATTTGAGTGTATACCGAAGGAGAGTCAGGTTGGCACAGTTCATTCCTCAACTTCCATCTCGGTGACTCGGGTTCCAATCCATCCGACATGGGTTTCCAGTCTCTGCCATATTCTATCTAGCTATGGCCTGAAATAATGGGGGACTGTAACTCTCATCCCTACAAATTAGGATTGCTTCATGTTTTTTTTATCTCTTAGTTCCTTCGGGCTTCAAAAGAGGAACCCAGAAGATGTGTTGAACTAGAGATATTAGATGAACAAAATTTATTTAGGCAATGTCATGGTCACTCGCATGACATTTTGTCTGCCCATCTTTGGTACAAGTGAAAACATATAAGAAAACTAGTAAAAAAAAATAATAATATTACACACTACTATTAACCACTTCACATCGGATGATGTGTTAACACGATCTGGCTGTTTTTATACACAGGCATGGCTGACGGGTTGAAACGACAAGCGTGCTTCGACTCGTCTCCGAATGACGTCTAAACACACTAATCCCCAAACTTTTTTTACACACACACAAAGTCCGAGAAGTCTGTGGAGGCAGACCGTGTGTTGTACTTGAACTTGGCTGCTGTGCACGGCCTGTTGTACAAGTTATGCACCGTGGGCACACCCCGGAGTATTGAAACATATGAGGTTTCAGCAAGAAATATCATACAAATACTGTTGAAATGACTCTTGCGAATCAGTCTTTGTGGTGTTTGGCTGTATATCAAAAGTTGGCTGCTATATCTTGCCTTTTTTGAAAATCGATTCCCAGCAAGAAATGGTTAAAACTACGTGGTAGAGGGCCAAAAGGAAATGTTCAATTGTTAATCTCTCAACACACAATTCTACCTTACAAGGTATAAAGAGAAAAGACTGAGGCACCCTCTATCATAGTTTTAGTTTTAGCTGGTTCCCAATGACCTACCTGGTTTCGTGTTGTGCACATACATGTACAGCGCCGTCACTATAAAGATGGTGATGAGTGCTGCGTACCAGTTAATCAAGAACATGACCCCCATGCATAGTACAGCGGCCAGCAGGGCCACCCACATGTTGTAGTAACGGAATGCCGGACGCCAACCTACAGAGAGAAAGTAACACGTTAAAGCCTATTACAATATTGATCTTTATGGAAGTTTGGACTCCATGGGCGCGTGTGCGCGTTCCTTCACTAACCCCTAGCCATGATGAACACGTAAACGACGCTGACCGGCTATTCAGAGTGTGTTGCGCATGTATTTCGAAGACTGCACGCCCACGCGCCCTCTCCTGTATGTGAAGTCAGGTACGAATATTTTGTTTCAAACTCCCGATGCCTTTATATGGATTATGAAGGCCTCGTTTTTTCGCCCCCAAAAACCTCTATCTTGCGTTGCAAAGGGACGACAGAGGTACGTTCATTTGATGTAAATCCTTGCTAAATAACGTGACGTCAAAGTCTCATGTTTGAAAGGATTGATTCTACAAAAACAAACTTTAAAAATTGTAAGCACTACGTCCCGTGTTAGATACATCGACTGCTGTCCTAATTTAAATGAGCCACTATTTGACACATTTATATTACACAATTCCAGGGGTTAAGATCACGCAAGGCATGATGGGAACCAATATGGCGCAGACAGATTGTACCCATGGTAACGAGGCTGGGAAGTTGCCCCTTTGAGGCCAAATGCCATTCTGGGTTCCAGTGATATAGACAAGACGATTTCTGAGACTTCAAACAAAAGCTCACATATAATGGAACATCAGATTTAAGTCAAACTAGAATAAGCACACACAGTGGATTGTGGAAATGTACAAATAGGTGTTAAAAATTATAATTTCATTTGGGAAGTGAATCTCTCAAAGGTCTTCAAATGATCTTGAGGTGGTTCTAGTTGAGATTTGGCCTCTAAAAAAATTAAAAATTACCTGACAATATAATTAATTTAGTTTCTTTGTCTTTCATTCGATGGCCTCAGAAAATTACTCCCACCAAATTGGAGAGTTGCCTGGATACGCATCTTACCTGGCGACTTGGCCAACGAGGCGGAGAAACAGGAGAAATTGATGAGTGCGTAAGACATCAGGAAGAAATTGGAAATGATGGGAGCAATAGCATTCAGCTCTCCTGCGGGGAACAAATCAAGAATCCAAAAAAGTCAGATAGAAACGAAACAGGGTTATGAGTAAAGCGTGGTGGTGCCACATCTGCTGGCATGCCGCACTCTGCTCACATGCTGCAAGACAAGGCACGCACCAATAGACCGCTTGCAGACGCGTTCGATAATTGACGCACGAAGGTGCGCGACGCCATGTTGTGGGACAAAATGTGCATGGATAGATATGCGCTTGACCCACAACATGGCGTCGCGCGCCTTCGCGCGTCGATTATCGAACGCGTCTGCAAGCGGTCTATTAAGGTGACCCTACTGGAAGAAGGAGCCCGGAATGCGTGCTTAGTACCTAAGTGCAACTCACACAAGCCTGGTGCCACCTCAGAAAATGGCTGTCGCCAAATTTGCCAATTTTGTGTTCTGAGTGGGCTTTTCCTAATAAAGGCAATAAATATATTCTGTGGAACACACTAAAGCGCTGTAGTTTACATAATACAGGCAGCAACTTGGAATTTAGAAAAAAATGAGGAAATTCCAAAGCACACAAGACTTTGATAAGGCCAACAAAAAAAAGTCTCCGGTTTCTGGTATGGAGCTTGCCCAAAAAGTGGTGCGGCGACGCGGCCTTTGTTTTTTTTTTACCTGATTTTTTTGCTTCAAATGTCGGCTGATGACTGCAAATGGTATGAATGGTGCCCGACTAAACTTAGTGCAAATATATATGGGAGTCCAGAGAGGCCACATAAAGCTTATTCTGGACCATAACCCAATCTAAAAACACGTTAAAATTGTGCAACAGCAGGATTCCAGTCAAACCAGTGAGTTTGGCGGTTTTGAGACATCATCTTGCATTGAAAAAAAAACTTTTTCATTTTGCCGACGCGCATGGCTACGGCGACGCGCCCGCATACCAGAAACCGGAGACTTTTTTTTTTTGGCCTAAGTGTTTTCCAATATGTAATGGCATTCATGAGAAGTAAAAAACGAGGAAATCAGCGGATCCGAGGAAAATTGCATGCCTAAATGGGCCCATACATGTAAATATGCTTCTATTGTCAAGCGACATTCGCTAATATCATGGGTTATCTGGTAATCCCAAATGAAAGGTTATGTGACTCTGCAAATATCACAAGAAGGAAGATTGTGTTGATTTACCAATGGCTATACAGGCAGCTGCGATGAAGAACGCCAGGATGTAGGCTCTACGAGGCTCGTCCCCCGCCCCAGTACCAACAGCAAAGAACTCAATCTTGGGGAAAATCTTGTCCTTGCACAAAGCCTTTCGGGAAAAAACGAAAAACATGAGAGGTTTTGCACGGGCAGGCATGCAACTGGGAATTTAGAAAAAAATGAGGAAACTCAAAACCACACAAGACTTTGTACAGTGTTTTTCAAATTGTAATGGCATTCATGAGAAGTAAAAAAACCCAAGGAAATCAGCGAATCCGAGGAAAAGTTGCATGCCTGCAAAGGGGAATGTATCTGCGAAAGCATACAATGAACTGGGTCATTCCATAAATCTGGGGTCCAAAAGTGTGACATTGTTTGTGTTCCAGTTACACCTGACCTGTGTAATTTGCCATGCAAGTATCATTAAAAGTGACTTCGAACTATTTTTTTTTTTTGGCAGGTACTTTGCTTCACTTAATCACTCTTGGAATTAAAAGAAAAGATTGACAATAAAGAAAGTGCCGTGAATTAAAAAAAAATCTTATATGAGAATGTACATGTAACAAGGACACACACCCCAAAAAATTGGACCCCAAATTTATGAATGATCCAGTTATCGTAACCATCATGAACTAGTAATGTATACACTTGAACGTACGGTGGGAAAAAAAGAAAGTGGATATTCATATTTACTTTAAAGAATGCTAATTTTTTATTGTACAAGAATATGCAATTATTATTATTTGTCACTATTTTTTATTTGTATTTATTTATTTTGTTGATATTTCTTAAATGTTTTAATTTTGTTATATATTATTTATTCATTTATTATTAATTTCATATTTTTTTGGGGCGGGGGGGGGGGGGGGGGTATACACCTGGCAAATTCCCCCACCTGGATTCCGAGCCTGATAAACCATAAACTTGGGGAAAAAGCCAGTAAGAGGCAAATGCTTGCTCATATTTTCCCTATGTTGTTTACAGTATGTACCTTTCTACACCTATTTTTACCTGAAACACTTTGGGTGCACTGACAAGACTAGCCAGAGCCGACGACAAGGTTGCTGCAAAAACACCGGCCAGAACCAACGGGGCAAAACCAGAAATCAGGCTTGCCACCTACAACACAAACAAAGAAAACACAAACAATGAAAACCCAAATCATAAAAATGGAACCGTTCACCATTCATGCAGTCTTCCTGAGGTTAAACCTACATAGCAGAAATAAGTAACGATGTTTTTAAACCTATTTAATTTACAAAACCTTTGAAGCACTTCAACACTTAATTACGTTCGGGCCACACATATGTGACCCGCTCTGCAAAAATGAGTCTGTTGTGGCAAAACTGACATTTTGAGTTAACTACATTAATGAAATGGGAATGAAATAAGCTTTCATTTGGTATATCATGGACCTCTCTGGGATATTTGGTTGCATTGTTGTGCTTGTTTCATTCTGTAAAGTTTTTGCAAAGCTAGAAGTGTCTCAATGGAGAAAAAAGGCTCTGAAAAATGACAAATAAACTGTAACTAACCAAGAAAAGCACCAAAGATTCATAATTTTTTTCTTTTTCTTACAATATTTACATTTCTGTGTAAGATATTTGAACTAAAACTATCAAACAACCAAAATAAAACAAAAACAAAAAAAATCCAAATTTTGAGCAAATTTTTACTGTTTCCATTTCAAAATGGCAAAAGCTTGAATTCAAATTATGCGACATCAGACTCATTTTTGCAGAGCGGGTCACATATTTCAATAAGTTTTACGTTTTCAATGACTGCCAATGATTTATCATGTCAATCACACTGGTCTGCAGACATAATGAGCATGTGTCAGCCTTCTGTGAATGGCTAAATCAGAGATGCCACCAACATATCAATAAAAAGCCTGAAACACTACTAAAAAAAACTGAAACTACCCTTACCCCCTTTCAAAAATGTGTTTTCTGGATGTTTCAGACCAAATCCAGCACTTTTAATTTGTCACATTTTTTGAAGAAAAAAAAACACCCTGAATTCAGGTTAAAACCTGAAAAGTTGCATCTCTGCTAAATGTTTAAACGTTTAAACGATTCTGAAAATATTGGCTAAATGTTCACAAAATTAAACGCAAAGTCACAACCTTAATCTCAAAATAAACAGAGATTATATCAGCTTACAGAGAAATTGTTCAGTAGTCCGTATTCACAATCCGCGCCAACTTCTTCGCAAGCAGAGGTGAAGTTTCCCGCGATAACGTCTGCGATGTCACCGGTGGCCTCCCTGGACATGCACGCCCCCAAGACGACCGCCAATCCGGCGTAACTGACTGAGGTCATCGCTATGGCGATCAGGGTGCCCTTAGGAATGGCCATCTGTGCATCCTGGCAATTTTTGGTTCCAAAGCAAAAAATTAATATAGACGTTACACACTTTTTGTGTTAAAAATGTAGCGTTAATAATGCACTGTAGCTTTAGTGGAAACCACTTACTGCATGTGAATTGCAAAAAGGAATATAATAACAGACAGATTAATTGTTTATACATGTAAAATTATGGTTAAAAACCACTGAAGTACAAGTCTTTGAGAAAACAAGGTAAAAACAAGAGAAAACAGTGCTTTCATTTTTTCGCATAAGCTTCAACAAGCCATTTGCGAGTTAAATTTGAATAAAATCTGGAACGCTGACTTAATCCAATGCTTTGAACGTTTTAACTTTGCATTCTCCCGACCAAAGAGACTGTTACTATATCACGTGATTCGGGGCAAGCCTTATGCTCCGGCATGGTCTGGTGTCTTTGAGCCATTCTCACCCATTGTGAACAATGTATTGGTGCTGAGCGTCTCTTAATACGTAACTATGCAAGAGCTTGCCCGAATCATGTGATTAGCAACAGTGTCTTTGGTCTGAAGAATTCAAAGTTAAAATGTGCCAAGCATTTTGAGCAAGTCAGTGTACCAGATGTTTTTAAAATTTAGCTCCCAAAAAGGGTATAGGTCACTCGCAAATGGCTCATTCTACTTTGAGTGTCCTCCTTTGAACACTAAAAGTTAAACAATCTTTTTGAGATTAAAATTTGTTTTGCGACCCATTTCAAAAATGTGAAGACGTTTTTTGCAATCAAGTTTAGCGCCAAATTGAACAAAAAGCTTGGTTAATTTACATCATTTGATAAAAACACAAGATTAAAACGTGACAATACACTCTAAAAACTAGCCGTGAATCAGAAACCAAAACTCACTTTGAGGTCCCCTGAAATATTTGCACCTGCCAAAATCCCAGTCGCTGCCGGAAAGAAGATGGAAAATATGGAGAAAAATCCTTCGTTGTCGCGATAGTCCGGACCAAAATTCTGACGAAGAAGCTCAACTGTAAAAATACAGGAAAAAAAAAATTGGAAAGAGGTTTTTGTTTTAGGCCTGGTTGAGAGTACAATTTTGGAAACGTTTATGGATACTTTGAGCAAAGTGACTAACTACAGGGCGAGTTAAAAAGAAATTTACCTCAAATCTTATTTTCAAAATAAAGAACTTAACCCTAACATTCCCAAATCCTCCAAAATCCTCTTTGCAAAATGGAGGATTTTCCTAGATTTAGGCTTTGGCAAAACTGTGTGACTGATTTTGGACGATGCACTGTGTCAAGGTCTTAGGCCGGACCTTGTGTTGTTTATGCTCAGCCGTACATTAATTTAGGCCCATATTATAATTAAAAACCTCTGCACTGCTCCAGGATGTCACTGGCTCTGCCTCAGCATATTGACAGTGATTGCTGGAGGAGTTTGCAGGATTGCGGCAGTGGTCACCCCTCCAAGGACCACATTCAAGAAATAACGGAGCATTTTGCAGGATTGAGGCTGTATGCAATGTTTACATGGAGGCAGTTGGTGGATTTTGCAGGATTCAGGCAGTGGTTACCCCTCCAAGGACCACATTCAAGAAATAATGGAGGATTTTGCAGAATTGGGGTTGCATCCCAGCAAAAATGCCTCTGAGGAGTTAATAGGGTTAAGGTTACTCGTGACTGGGACTCGGACTAGACCTCTGTGACTCGTGACTAGGACTCGATGTTTGGCGACTCGAATACAAGTATGTGGGTTGAGTTTTTAGTCCCTACGTGATTTTGGGTTTTCTCCAGCATAGTCTTCCGGGGTGTTTTCCTTCCACTTCTAAAACTGTAATTTCATCATTGTCTTCTCTCTACAGGTTTCTTCAGGCTTGTGAGCTTACAGTGCCAAGGGCGTTTTTTGAGGAATCCTTTATAGTTTCATTACAATTGTTCCTTTACCTTTGTAGTTCTGGAACCCTTGAGCCCTCTCATGGTCCGGAGCAGGGATGAAAGTTCCAACCATCATGTTGACCATTGCGATAACTAGAAGAAGCAACAGAAACAACTGGGCCTAAAAAAAACCCAAAGAAAGACGTTATGCTGGCAATAATGCAAATTTATTTATTCATCCTTACGTAAAAGTCTATACACAATTTACACATCTACTGTGATCCAATTTGGCTGAATTTTTTTGGAGCTGCGCAATTTTACTGCCCGTATCTCCATTTCATAGTTGATTTTATGAAGAACATAAGGGCAATTCCACGGTTACTCACCTTACATTTTTGATGTACTTTTGAGATTCCTTGGGCTGTAATTACCTTACTGAAAAGGTTTAAGAACTATTATCCCTATGGTAGATAGAGTAGACCTAGACCAACCTCAGCACCAAAGATGACATCCAGAAAAATGTGTTATGTATGATAAACAAGACGCACAAAATTGGTTACTTTTTGTAACGTGAGCAACCGATTTTGTGCGTTTTATCATACATAACACACTTTTCTGGATGTCATCTTTGGTGCTGAGGTTGGTCTAGGTCTACTCTATCTACCATGGGGATAATAGCTCTTAAACCTTTTCAGTAAGGTAATTACAGCCCAAGGAATCTCAAAAGTACATCAAAAATGTAACGTGAGTAACCGTGGAATTGCCCATAAGATGTAAGCAGTGTTGTAGTCGAGTCCACCACAAATGACTGGGGATGACTGATATAAGAGGCTTTTTCTCACAGTTCATCTTAACAGCTTGTGACTCACAAGTCTTCATGAGTCCCATCACAAGTCCTCCAGACTCAAGTCAAGTCACAGGCTCGTCAAAGTGAGCTGGGACAAAAGCATTCCTTAGTTATTGTTCATCCCCTTGTACACGTACATGCGACGGGATTTGTGAAAGGATTTTGCTCTTGACCAGACTTGCATGGAATCGTGGGGGACTTGATCCAACAATGTTGAGCAGGATGTCCATATTAAAGGCAATACAACAATGGTTCTGGGGCTAGAGATGAAGCCAAAGCTGGAGGCACTCTCAACGTTTGACAAACGGCTGGCGACTTACCCTCGCTTCCCACGCCATTCCGATCATGGTAATCCCCAGTAGCAGGATGAGAGTTGCTTCACCAATGATCCGAACATCATTCTGGGGATCAACGATCTTCAAGCCATTGTCCTGCATGGGGGATGGGATGGGTATTTGGGTAGGGGTAGGGGTGGGAGTGGGAGTGAGGGTGGGATGGGGGTCGGAGTGGGGTCGGAGTGGGGTCGGGGTTGGGGGTGGGAGTGGGGTTGGGGGTGGGAGTGGGGTCAGGAGTGGGGTTGGGGTTGGGGGGGGGAGTGGGGTTGGGGGTCGGAGTGGGGTCGGAGTGGGGTCGGGAGTGGGGTGGGGGTGTAGGTGAGGGTGGGGTTGGGTGGCAGTGAGGGCAAGAGTGGGGTCAGGAGTGGGAGAGGAGGAGGCAGATAAAGCACAAGATGGATAAGAATATGTAACCTTGAGCGAGTTCAACCGAGGACCACTGCTGGACTGGTTGTTGATTCATGACATAACTTACACCAGTGCATTAACAGAATGTGCTAACGTCTCTAGTCAAAAGATGCTCAAATACATTCTGGGCTTCGCGTGCCTGCGATCAGATCAGGGTTTCGCCATGTGTGGATGACATAGAGCCCGGTAGGCCGGGGCCAGTTCCTCGGCCCTGGCCACCTTTGGCAAACTGTTACAGCAAATTCAAAGCCATAAACCCATATAGAAGTCACACCTCAGGGGAATGGGCTCAAATGTTGAGTTTTTACTAAGAAATAGGATTTTCTTTTCAACAAAAATGGACGGGGATAGGTTCTTACTTTTGAGTTAGAAGGGTTTTTGAGTTTGCAGGTTTTGACTTATTGAGATTTCACTGTATCTATCTATCTTTATCACTTACACGTACAATACAAAACTTGTTTGGACAAATAAGGTAAATGTCAGTAAGTGACAGTCAGTGAGTCAGTCGGTGAGTCGGGGAGTGAGTCAGTCGGTGAGTCGGGGAGTGAGTCAGTCGGTGAGTCGGGGAGTGAGTCAGTCGGTGAGTCAGTCAGTGAGTTAGTCGGTGAGTCGGTCTGTGAGTCGGGGAGTGAGTCGGGGAGTGGGTCAGTCAGTGAGTCAGTCGATGAGTCAGTCGGTGAGTCGGGGAGTGGGTCGGGGAGTGGGGGGGCGAGTGAGTCAGTCGGTGAGTCAGTCAGTGAGTCAGTCGGGGAGTCAGTCGGTGAGTCGAGGAGTGAGTCGGGGAGTGAGTCAGTCGGTGAGTCGGGGAGTGGGGGAGTCGGTGGGTCAGTCAGCGAGGCACAAAGAGGATACCTGGCTGGCCCTGGGACCAGCAAAAATGCCAATGTTTAACCTACCACCAACAGATCCCGTACGACTTCTGCAAAGCCAACAACGTACATGGCCACAGCTATAGCATTGGCGATGGAGAAAATCAAGCCGATAGATCCACCAAACTGAGGCCCGAGACTGCGTGAGATCATGTAGTAGGCTCCCCCTGCAAGATAGCAAATCAGATGATGGCACCTCATACATATTCACGATCCAGTGCTGCATTCTCACTGGTCCATTCGCCCTTTGCACGCTTCCGCCATATGCATGCATAGCCTCGATCTGGCAACGTTACACAATAAATATAGCCGGTTAAGTGATTCCCGTGTCGGGGTTCTTTGATTCCCGTGTATACGCGGGAATAACTGAACTGGCTATATTTATTGTGTAAATACCAGCGTCCATTCCCAAAGCTGGTCTAGGGACTTAATTTAAGGGACTTAAAAAGGGACTTATTTAAAACCGGCCAAGCACATATTTATTCCCTTTAATATAACATGGTTTATATTTGGTGGATAGTTGATAGTTTTCCTCCGTGTGGGAAATTGACAAACTAGTTTGAAAAATGATTTGGCAAATTTAAAGGAAAATCAAAAACCAAGATTCCAACTGACAGATGTGCAGTGACCTGATCACCATGGCAACCTACCTCCTTTGACCTCGCCATTGGTGCAGATGGCAGACATTGACAGCGTTGTCAGCACGGTTACCACGGTAGCCATCAGGACGATCAGAATAGAAAAACCTGACACAAATACATACAGAATGTCAATGTATCAAGTTTTTTATTCTACAAAAATACATGTTTCTGGTTACCCCCCCCCCTCCAAAAAGGGGGGAAAATCTCAATATACATGTATGTAGTTAAGATTTATAAAAGTGAAATTTATATTGAAACAATTTTATGAGGTGCTATTATGTTTTTTTTAATAACAAAGCTATCAGCAGTCAAGTATCAACGTATAAACCTTTGTAACTTTTGTCTAATGTTTAAAAGTTAAGGCTAACCTTAAGAATGTAACAATTGATTGATACCTCTTCAAACGTTTTTCTTCTTCATATTTTTAGGTTTTTTTCCTTTGTTTTTTCTTTCTTTTGTTTTGTTTTTTACGTGTGGTCTAGCGGTGGAGCACAGGATTCATGATCGTGAGGTTGTGGGTTTGAAACCCCATCGTGGCCATGCGTGTTGTGCCCTTGAGTAAGGCGCTTTACCTCAATTACTCCTCTCAACCCAGGTGTTAAATGGGTACTGGCATTATTGAATGCTGGGAAGGTAACAGACCTGCTGTGGAGGAGGTGTGGCAATCCCCCCACAGCAGCATACATGCATGAGTCTGGCCCGATCGCTAATGAAAGAGAGATGGGCACTATGTTCCTGTTAACACAGGTTCTTCCACTTTACCTTTTTTTCCTTTCTTTTTCTTACCTACGCCAGCCTGCCCAACAATCCACGACATGCGCAGAAATAACATCACACCCCAGATATTCAGCAGACATCTGACCTGATGTACATGAGAAATAGCACAAATCATCGAACAACTACACAAATTCACTACGTTAGACATGCCTTGTCTTGCTAATACTAAAGAGGGTATGCGAGATTTGACCTCAGTGAGGTCATGTTGTGCATCTCTCTCTATAGGATTGATGACATCATACGCATAAGGTCTATTGATGTATTTAGTTGAGGCAGTGTACTCTTGACTAGTGGGTGCCAGTCCCTTTCAAGGTTCCGCATTAAATCGTCGCGTCAGTGCAACAAGGTCGTAACTCCATTCTGCAACAAAGTCGTATCTCGCGCGAATACGCTTCGTGCAACAAGGTCGTATCTCGACGTCCACTGACTTTGCGTGTACATCCGGGTTATTTTAAGCGAGATATGACCTTTTGACATTCTAAAACTCGCGTTTTGCGTTCATAACTCCATTCTGCAACAAAGTCGTATCTCGGGCGAATACGCTTCGTGCAACAAGGTCGTATCTCGACGTCCACTGACTTTGCGTGTACATCGGGGTTATTTTAAGCGAGATACGACCTTTTGACATTCTATAACTCGCGTTTTGCGTCATTCATGCCATTTTGGAAGATACATGTACGACCTTGTTGCACTGACGCGATGAAATTTTAACTCTGAGAAGGCAGTTATAAATAGACTGCAGTTATAAATAGACGTCTTTGCTTTCGTATCAATGCTTTCTTCTTCTGGCCTTCGCAGGATGTGACTTTATTAGTTTCAGGAGACCACCGTTCTGTATGTGACTCATCACATTCAGTGAGTAATGACTGACGTGTCACCACAAGCATTTGTAGATTTAGTTAGCCTGAACATGGAACGAAGGCGAGTTCACAAACACGTACTTGTAGTCATCTGTTTTCATGAAGCTGCACTACACCCAAACGGCCAAGAAAAAAAAAGGTTTGTTTGAACTTTCTCACTGCATTCAAATAAATACTGTGGGTGGGTGGATAAAATCTGTCTAGGGATGGGGTCACGAAATTTTTATAACCGGAAAAAAAGGGGATGATGGTCAGATTAACTTTTGATGCTTGCAGATTGAAAAACTGACTAAATTCTGAAAATCAAATGACTTTGTATAATTCATTTACAGTCATTGTTTTGTGCTGTGTCACCTATTCAATGCGAAAAGCACCGTCGATATATATCGATATTACTCAAATAGTCGCTATCATTTTGATATCGATATCGCCGATAGCAATTTTTCAATCATATCCAAATATCAAAATTTGAGGTCTTCCAAATGTAAAACCTCCAAAGAAACCGCCCGTTTGGACAAACTCTCAGTACTGAGATTTGTTTTAAAAAGTTTGAGCAATATGCTCCAGAGAAAGCCGTGGAAAAATGGGACTTGAGATTTTGTTTGTTCTGTTTTTTTAAATCAAACTCTCATCTTTATGGTCTTCCACTTTTACACGGAATAATCAATGTACAGAATATTCTCGATATCGGATTCCCGATATATATCGATTATTGAAAATTCTGATATCGACGGTGCTTACAATGAAATGTTTTGCAGGATACATCCGCCCCTTAAGTAGCCCCCCCCCCTACCAGCAAAGGCTACCCAGCCCCCCTCCACCCTCCCTCACCCACCCCGGGATCTGACCAATGGGACTTACCAGTACTCCTTTGATCCATCCAAACTTGACCCCTGCGCTGGCCGGGGTTGTGGGTGCCGCACTAATCTCAGCTAACCCTCCAGCGTCCACGGGCGTGTCAGCAGCCTGGTTCACTAAAGTCTGGAGAAATCAATTCACAGGTACATGAAGTGAGGGGGAAAAAAACTTAATCTCAGACAAGAGTCAAGAAAATGGAAGAATCCGTCGGGGGCACGTGTGGTATAGCGGTAGGGCATAGGATTCATGATCGTGAGATTGTGGGTTCGAGCCCCGCCGGGGCCATGTGTGTTGTGCCCTTGAGTAAGGTGCTTTACCTCAATTACTCCTCTCAACCCAGGTGTTAAATTGGTACCGGCATTATTCAATGCTGGGAAGGTTACAGACTCGCTGTGGAGGAGGTGTGGCGATCACCCCACAGCAGCATTACATGGACTTGAGTGTGGCCTGATCGCTTCGAAAGACAGATGGGCACTCCATTCCTATGAACACAGATTCATCCCCTAATACCTTTACCCTTTTAATCTCAGACAAACTAAACACAAACGATAGGGCCTACCACATGTATGACTCTGGGATAGAAACATCAGGGAATACAACCAATTCCTCTTTTGAACGCGGCACAAACACTGTTAGTTCAAGATTTGTAAATTTTAATTACTGAAAAATTAAGACTTTTCTTGTTTTTCTATCACAGATAATTTAAGCTGGACAGTCACCAGTTCCTGCGAACCTTCAAAATGGAAAAATTTAATCGAACAAAAGCATCAAACAAATTTAAAAATGGCAACATTGTCCCTTGAAAGGTTGTGCCAAGTCCGTTTCTGATCAGGTACAAGGAGCTCTGGGACCCAGCAAGCTGACACCTTGGATATTTAGACATGACGACTGATATTTTTCCATTTTCAAAGTTTAACTATCAGGAACCGGTGACTGTCAAGGTTTAATTATCTGTGACAGAGAAACAAGAAAAGCAATAACTTCAAACTGCTATGTAATCATTCAACAAGATGAACTACACAAGTGTTTCCCCTGGCTAATGAACTGAGCAAGGTGGCAAAACTTCAAATTGATGATTGAAACGTACTTTACGCAGTCTGCAAACTGAAAAGGATGCAGCGCTCACAAAAAGGCACGAGGATTCCATCTACAGTATCCAAATTGTGAGTTCTTGATACATAGAGGTCAAGGAAAACGCTCATAACTTGCACAAAATGAAAATCTCTTGATTAGTATTTCCTTTATTGTAAATCTTCACAGAGAGGTGGTGATATTGGTAAAAATTGATCAAGGTGGTCAATGAAAGTAGCGAGGTGGGCCGCCTCATGTTTGAATGGGCAGGGGGAACACTGCTGCACACAACATCAGTCAAACCTGTATATATAGTTCATCTGCTTTAGCCTAACCCTAACCCTGCTGAATCCAACAGGATCCAACTATGTCACACACCCGATGGAGCCTGTTGGATAGAGCAGTAAACCCCTTGTGTACATTCCTCATGCAAAACGTTGGATTCAGCCGGCAACTGAACCGCATTATAACGCCATGTTGGACTCTGTTGGATTCAGCAGACAACTGAAAATGAGGCACAGTGGATTGAACAGGAAACTCCGGTTGGACTCTGTTGGATTTAGCAGGGTAGTCCTGAGGAAGTACTAGAGGGTAATTATAGCCACGAACCTATCAATGACCCCTCGTATAATTACCGTAAACCGGTCGCGCCTTTTTCTCCCATGCTTAAGTCAGCACATCCTGTGTGCATGCGCACCTATACAAGTACATGTACATTGTATAGGTGCGCTGTACTATACAGTTAATTACCCGAGCGAACGTGTGGGCTAATGGATAGCACATTGAACTCACAGTCACGGAAACACGAGGTTGGATTCACAGTCACGAGAACACGAGTTTGAAACGCAAACGTGCCACTCATTTAATAATATTGTTTCCATTCTTCCCAAAGTATGAGTGGTCTTCCTTTTATACTGTTTTAAACAGAATCCAACACTGAATTGCAGCATGTTTCATCTTATTTTTCTGAATAAGCCCGTTCGGTATTTCAATGACCCGAGGTCATTCGGGATAACATCGCTGACGTGATGTTACGCGATGTTAGCGCACGCTCATTTTGCTGGTAATTTACACGCAAGCCTCGTGCACCTGTGGTCATGCGCCTTGGAAACGTTCAATTATCCAGAATGACCTGTGACCAATATCATTGTGCACATGCACAGTTGAAATACCGAACTGGCTTATTGTGGCTCTGGAAGTCTTTTTTTTTTCTTTTAAAGGAAATCCCCTAAATTGCATTAGGTCTGATTCTCATCTCCTGAATACAAAGTCAGAACGGCAATGTTTAAGTCCTACAAAAACACTCACTGCGCATGTGTCGGTATATTAAACAACGAAAAAAATAGGGGACCGGTACAAGGTCAAATATACACTGCCAATAGTGTATATTTACTTTGAATTTGTTGAAGAGTACGTGGACTGAACTTTAAGAAATCTTGATTTCTAAAATTTTGTAAGCTCAAAGGCTTTACCGCGGATTTCCTAGCAGAATGTGTACAGCTTATGAAATACATGTACATGCACGTACCACAACTACACCATTTAAAATCCCATTTGTACTTCTTGTAACCTGTCCGACAACACTGTCGATTTACCTTGGGTTCGTGAAGTTCATGCAGGGTTGGTCGTTGTTTCCCTGTAGCCATCAACGAAAACCGATTCCTGTAATGATCCAGTGACGGCAAGGCCTCCACGGTGTGACCGAAGCTGTGCGTCGCTAAGGAGTGTTCCATGGCGTCATCAGCACTCTCCTGCCTTCTTGGACTACTCAGTGTACCCTTCCTCGAGTTTCCATTCCGCTTCACACTTCGCTTGCCCGGTTCCTTCTCGTTGATGATCTTGACGTGAAACCGGCCGAGTTTCTTTTTGGAAGGGGACTTCCTGGGGCTCCTCCTCTTTGATCCATTTTCCAGTAGTTCGATCTCCTCCATGTTGTCGTCAGACTCGTCTTCACTGGCAGTCTGCCTGAACCCGCCACCCTTTGCAGCTTGTGACGAAGTAAGTGCCGATCCCCGATCACCGCCTGCACCGTCGGCACAAGCTTCTGAGTCACTCATCCTAGCAGTCGTGGAGAAACTTAGCAGAACGTCAACTTCCTGTCAGGTGAAGGTTGCTGCCTAAGAATACATCAATGATGAAATTAAAGGTGCAGTGTATGCTGAATCACTCTTACGAGACATTGAATACATATGTCTTAATACACAATTCAATTTAGTTTGAAGGAAGACGTTTAATCAAAGCAGCCGGTTTAATTAAAGGAACTCTTCCTGATTTTGAAATCTAGACTTTTTATACTTGACATTCGCTACAGGTTGGCGCGGACATTCAGGATTTTGATTACATTGGCTTATCTGGCACCCAGACCTATTTCCTTGAAACTCAATGGTTCTGGAGTCTGGGGTGCTGAATGGTAACACATAACAACCATGAAATATGGTCTGCAAATATGAATAGATGTTTTCATCGGATGACGTCACTCCACCCCGATCTATGGAAGCTAGCTTTACTTTAATACCATCATTAAAAAACCAGGGAAAATCGAAGGGTCAAAGGTTCATGACCAATGAATCTGCCAATGACCTCAAGAAAAATCCTGCAATCAGTTCGGACAAACTTTCGCCTATATCTCCATGGCCTAACAATACAAGTAACGTTAGGCCAGTCATGCGTCATACCATGCCACTAGTAATATGCCAAATGTAGACCCGTGAAAGTGGCATTTATAGTATACAATATGATAAAAATAACACAGGGAATGGATGTTGCAACCTGAAGCTACTTCGGCGGTTGTGTACAAAGTCTTCAGAGAGTCAAGAAAATTTTTGAAGTATTTCCAAACAAAATTGGAAATGTTTCTCAGTCCGAGACTCATGATGTGACTAATTTAGCAACATTTTTCCAATTGACAATGACTGACCTTCATTGGGATGATATCGTCAGACCCCCTAAAATTACAATGAATTACGAATACGAGGATATGTTTTGATGCACTCGCATTCAATTTGCCTAGGCCAACGCGCGCGTGTTGTGCAAGTGTTACCTGCCATGCCTGCGTTAATTATGCTGACTCAAGGATAGGCCTATATGAAGAAAAAAAAACAGCGTCAGGTTGCAACATTCTTTCCAACCAGCAGACCAGAGAATTGTTGTGTGGCCCATAACAATACCAGTAACACTGACAGTAACACTACAGAGAAAGTCCTGTATTTGAGATATGGTTGTGTGAATTGTGATTGGCGCATGATAACGTTACGGTTAAAAATAGAATTCGCTCATCATCATTCATGATCGTGAAAAGTCAAACCGGTTTTTGTGAATAGCCAATATTTATAAATAGCAATTACCTAAAGATGACGTAACGAAGCAGACTCACTAACTGGAGTGCTGGTTATGTGTTATCAAAAATCACCGTGGAAACATCGTAACAAAATGCCGAGACTACAGCGGTTTACTTCCGTAACACACAACAGACAAGCGACGGTGATCGATCGCCGCTTTCGCTCGCGCGCTACGATATTTGTACGAGAAACTGCACGACGACCGGCCAGTGTTATTCCCCGACTTCATTATACGATTCAACACGCAAACATGTTCATTTAATAGAGGGCCAATCTAGACATATTTTGACCTTTGACATTTTAATTATATATTTATTTATTTATTTATTTATTTATTTATTTCATTTTCCGGGATATTACAAACAGTGAACTACAGACAACGCAATTACATGTACAAATAACACTGAGTAGTAAACATAACAGAAAACATAACAGAAAACAACACCCAAAAAGCTCCCGCAGGATTACCCAAAAGAAACAAGTTTATAATTATGAGATGACGAAATGAATGAGCAATTAGCTCATTTCTCTTGACGACCATATAACAGCAAAAATGGGTATTATATAATTACAGTTGTTTTTTCCACCAATTCTATTCTTCTTAGAAATTCAGCTTGTGTTCAGCAAATAATTCCAAGCGAGTATATAACCCCAAAGTGTTCAATAAAAAAAAAAAAAGATTTTGAGAGAAAACCATGAAAAAAAAAATGAACAAAGATGGGTCGACACAAATTAAATGTTACCAATGTTTTTAATGGGAAAATAGTCATATAGGCCTATATTTCAAAATCTTTAACACTCCCTTTTCAAATTTTCCTCAAATATGCTCTTTTATGTATTATATTTAATACCAAAATTGTGATGAAGGGCCAAAAAGTTAGTGGAGGGATCTAAAATTCAAATAACTTGACCATCGGACCAATACTTCTCGAAAGTGTGTGTGTGTGTGTGGGGGGGGGGGGGGGGGGGGGCATATCTCGATCAGAACTATGATGCGAGCGCGAAGCCCTAACGGCGATTTTGGATCGGTGGTGCGATCTGAGGCACTTTTTGATCACTTTTTTTTTAGCGAAAGATTATTATTTCAACATCATTCTCGAGTTTGGTCACGGTGTTATTGAATCAGCTATTCTGAGCTATAGGATCACATAATTATAGGCTAAAATTTGTATAGAATCATATGTTACAATTTGTAGCCTATTATGATTGTATGATAGCTCAGAATAGCTGATTCAATGACAGCAAACTCGAAAATGATGTTTAAATGATGATCTTTTGCTTAAAAAAAAATGTTAAAGAGGTCAGAAATTGCCTCAGTCAGATCGCACCACAGAGTGTGGCTAGTAACATTAGTAACAATGGAGGTAGAAGTAGATGATGCGAGCGCGTACTATATCCCTATATAACGGCAATTTTGGATAACACCGTTCTGTGTGGTGCGATCTGAGGCAAAAAGTAATCACTTTAACCATTTTTTTTTTAAAAAAGATTATCATTTAAACTTCATTTTCGAGTTTGGTGCCATTGAATCAGCTATTCTGAGCAGAGCTACAGAATTACAATTGGTAGCCTATTATGCCTATATGATTCTATAGCTCAGAATAACTGATTCAATGATTTCCAACTCGAAAATGATGTTTAAATGATGATCTTTTGCTTACAAAAATGGTTAAAGTGGTCAGAAATTGCCTCAGTCAGATCACACCACAGATTGTCTAGAATCCAAAATCGCCATTAGCCTATAGGGCTAACATTAGTTGGTATGTATAATCCCCCCCCCCCCCACCTTTGAGAAGCGATCAATGGACACCCTTGTACATGTATGCTGGACATAACTACACTGAAACAGAAACCGTCCCGTTGCATGCGTTGTCCAACTCTACGATGTAGCCTACGCATGCGACCTGCCTGTGATGATGGTAAGTCCTTAAGATTATATTCTCACATACCAAAGCACATATCCCGTCTCGACTCGCGCACAGGGTTAGCCATATGCAAGATGTATTCTTAAATATAAGCTTCATAGTAAATGCCAAGCAAAGTTTTGTGCATTTCTTTAAAATCTTTTCAATGAAAAACTGCACGACCATATTCCGTTATCTGTGGTTTCTTTATTGCACATTAAAGTGTTCACTTTTAAATAATTAGTTGCATATGCCATAACTTTTGGTATTTACATGTAAATAAAACTAATGGTCAAATCAGTTCTCGGAATGCTGGGTTGTCCTATTTGCTGCCTCTCTGGGGTTTTTTTTTGGGGGGGGGAGGGGAATAATGTTGCAACCTAGCTGAGCCACCTCTGCGATTGTGTACAAAGTCTATTGCAAGTCAAGACATTATTTTCTAAGTATTTCCTAACAAACTTGGAATTCTCAGTTCCAGATTCATGTCCTGTCATAATTTTTCCAATGAATGACCTTCATTGAGATGATACATGGAAACAATTAATTAAGGGGCGTCAGGCTGCAACAGTTTCCCCCCCCCCCCCCCCGTTTTAGGTTGTATCGCCGCCATGATGAATATACATGTAGTTGGATCTTCCAAGTGGTTGATATCAACAGAAAAGGCCGCAAAGGTACGTTACAAGCAAAGCAGTAGCAAGTGAACTTTGCAATGAATGGCACGCGCCAGGTGTTCGGAATGCGCGTGGCCGGTCGTTATAATACTGCATTCTTAATGTATTCGTTAAAAAGACAAAAACCTATGAAAGTATGTGAATGCATTAGGCTGATCCATTACGCCCCGCCCACTGCGCACGTGGGCAACAAACACGTGCCTCAGCTTTGCATGCACGCATGTCGGACATTTTGTGTACGCACGTCGGACAATAATCACGGCTGTGATTGGTCAAAACATTATAGGGCGCAACTGAGTGGATGGTCTATTATACAATATGCTATCGAAAATGAATACTGTAATGGAAAAAATATCGGGTACAAAATAATGACTGGCTATCGCTAACACCGAGATGAGAAATATGTGTAAATTGGGTCGCTTGTCGATCGCGTGACTCGCGTCGGTTCATCATAATTCAAACGCCCCGTCACTATATATCACGTGTACGTCGCATGCAACACGTACAATGATACCTTTCCCAATTCAACATCTTTTGACTTATTAGGGAGTTCCAAGCACATTTAAAATCGCATCGGCAAAGAACGGACAAATAATGAAGCTTTTTTTATCGACGGCTATCGTTCTTTGTGTTATTAGATGTTCTATTTTCTGTGTCAATCATGGACATTTATGTTTTGAGACTAAATGGCCCCAAGAAAACTTGAACGATTATTGGGAATTTCTCGAGAAACCTCCTTTTGCACTCGAAGTGTCGATTCGGCCATTCCTGAAAGAATTCGACACATGAAAACCCGTAATTTTCCCTGCAGTGATTTATCAGCCATCAGGAATGTCCTCAAAATGTCAAATTTTGCAGGGCAAATATTGAAGCATTTACTGAGAAAACACTTGGAATTTTTTTTTTCAGACCAGTCTCGTACCGGGTTTGTGCACAGGGTGTCAAGTGTTGTCTAGGCATGGAATTCTTTCTTCCATGCCTAAATTGTTGACTTCTTGAATTCTCGGAAGATTCCATCTTTTTTGTGTAATCAGTAATATTCTGTCGGCAATGCACTTTGAACAGCTAGTTTTTAATCCAGCTAGCCAGGCCGAACCAAACCACTCGAATAGCGCCCTCTCTTGACATAAATCACTCTGAGTATACAGTGTTTAAACGTCGGTGAAGGGCAAAACCTAATTTGACACAGTTCATGACAGGCATTTGACTTTGGTCTTGTACTTCCACATTTACTTTCAAATTCCAGAATGACACCCATATTCCTGGAGTGAATTTCCGTATTTATTCTGGTCATAATACATTTTTTTTACACATTAAACATTGCAGACTTCGGGGTGGCTTTGATCTTCATTCTGTTGCTGAAAGTTAAAGTGCTCCAAAGTTTATGATCTTCATTATGTTGCTGAAAGTTAAAGTGCTCCAAAGTTTTCACAGGTTTAGACTAAAAAGAAATTAATGCAAACCACTGCATGAGTATTCTTGACTTCTTGTATCCTGATTCGATACAGCAATGGCATGTACATGTAAAATTGTAATTGATCTACATCGTGCACTTCTTTTTTTCTTTCCAACGTGTATTAAGTATTTTTACATTCAATGTGAATAATTAAGTCCACTCCACCTCGAAAACAATGCCACCTTTTACCATTTTGCTTATAATAATGTGTAATGTGATAATGCATATTGGCTGGATATAACAATGTAATATTTTAACTTTGATGAAAATCTTGATTTCGTATCTCATGCCGCGATGCATGGATTCGGTTTTCTACCCCCAGACACTGCATGCAAAAACAAACACGGTTTTAAAGCACAGCCAGGCACCAGACTATTCCTTATTTGCATACGTGTGCAAAATTTTAAACATGCAAATGATCCAATACCAGGGTGAGAGAGCAGGTAATGTTAGGTTTGGAGCATACTGCTTGACATGGGAACGAGGTTGATCGATCAGGCGCTGTAACATCATCACACACTCACAAAATTCCATAAAACCTTAAAGGGAATATACATCATTTGCTTTTGCTGTAATTTTCAGAAATGGATGGAATTGGGGGGTTGGAAATATATAGCAAATATAGTTACACTGACTTTTTTTGAGGTTTTGGTTTCGAAAATGCTATAAAAACCAAGAAAAACAATCATTTTCCTGTAGTCTGGTTCCCTGACTCCATTTAAGAAGAACCAGAGCAGTTTACATATATTGGGGAATTGTAAGGCCAGGGAACCAGTCTAGCTGCCTTGTACCCGTTCATAGGTGTGTAATTGATTGCAAACAAGTGCGATGGTCAACTGGGGCCAGTATTTGAAAAAAAGACAGTTTTTTCCAACGCTGATCGGCCGATCAGCGTTGGAAATTGATTCAAAAATACCACTTTTCTTGAAAATGACAGTATACCAGGTGCCATGATTTTACAGGATGCTTTACACTGTCATTCACTAACAGTCCAGCAAGGTATTTCAAAATGATTTGGTAGTTTTATTTTTTGATGTTTGCAAATGTTGTATTTTCCCTTTAAGTAAAGAAGTAACACAAGCTGGAGTATTACATTCACATCAACATCTAGGCTGAAGTCTGCATTTTACTTCCAAGGTCGGATTTCACACATGAATTGTTGGCATCCCAGTATGAAAGTGTTTAAAAATGTTTTCTCCTTATATTCCATCCCACCAAGTTTTTATGTTGTCCATTCTGGCTTGCTGTTTCACAAGTTACTCAGTTTTGCCACAACATATATCCACGGGTGGCCCAGAAATGACATCAGCTGAGTTGTGTCCTCAACGACTCCACCTGTTCTTTAATGGCCTGCCCAAGCCTCTGTAGCTCAGTGGCCTGGTCCGCAAGTGTGTCCTGTGAATCTTTCAAATACTCGTTCATCTGGATGAATTCCAGGGTCTGCTTGTAACAGTGATCAAGGTCCTGTGACCTCTGCTTTGTGGGGACAGCTGACGAAAGCTCGCTCGCCAAGGACGATTTCAAGACATCACTGCTGCTTTCTACATCTGTAAACACAGAAAAATCAAACCAGTGGAAATGTTTAATGAATTTGAAAGAAAAAACAACTAACTATCAAGAATCAGTCACGCAGCACTTGTCCTGAGATTGCCTAGATACAATATCGCAAAGGTAGGGTAACAGGAAATTCACATAATTTCTCACGTTTACGGACAAAATGTTGACAAAGCTATTTGTAAATTATTTACAACTGACGCAGGAGCAATTTTGCTACCTCCCCTAAGGAAAGAATGGGGTGTCGGACGCTTCGCCCCATTTCCACTTCGCCCCATGTCACTTCGCCCCTATCCACTTCGCCCCATCCCCCCTTCGCCCCATCCCCCCTTCGCCCCATCCCCACTTCGCCCCATCCCATTTCGCCCCATCCCCGCTTCGCTCCATATCCACTTCGCCCCATGTACAAAGGTGAAGGCTGGGGGTGCAGATCAGTAAATATTAAAACAGCCAAAGACCCCGATAATAAATGCTCCCAATTCTAGAAAATCAGGAAAAGATGATAAACAGTGATGATAGTATCTCAGCCAATGAAATGAGCCAGTTCCCAGCCAAAAAATACGCCATTGGTTGCTTTCATCACGGACCGTCTGCTTTCATGAATATGACGTTATAATGTTGGAATTCCGAACTATCTGAGCCACAGGTGCATGGCTGTGTGTCCATTATCACATTCCAACCTGGTTGCCTAGAAATACTGTTGCTAGGAGACTCCCTTGTGATGCCTGGATGGGAGCTGCCGGTTGCGTAGCCAGAAATCTTGAATGTGATTATTTTTCTCGCAGCATGCAGAAAACTAGTTGCTCAAGAATGCTGCCGCTTTTGAGAAATTTGTGCAGGCAAAGTTTTTCACTTTTTGGAATTAAAATGCAGTTTGCATTTCTGTTTAATAAAAGTTTTTTTTTTTTTTTAAGAAAATCGGAGCTTAAAAAAAAAAGCTCATTTGACTGACACCAAGCAGATATTAGTCAATGATTTTCGCTGCAGCAATTAGTGAATCTTTTGGGATTGTTTTTGCCAATTAAATAGATGAAATTTTTTTTTTTACATGTAACGACTGGGGCGAAGTGGGGATGGGGCGAAATGGGGATGGGGCGAAGGGGGGATGGGGCGAAGTGGTTAGGGGCGAAGTGGAAATGGGGCGAAGTGTCCGACATTCAAAGAATGCAGTATCCAAACGCCACTTCTTTTGTTGTGCCAAAGTCTGAAAGTCAAGTGCATTTTTAAAGTATTTTGTAACAAAATTGGAAATGTTTCTCAGTTCCGGATTCATATCTTTTCAAGTTCAACATTTTTGCAGTGACTTTGTTCAGTATTGATTATAATATTAGATGATGAAAAAAAGTGGCGTACGTCAGGATGCAACCTTCTTTCCGTAGCAGGGAAAATATTGAAGCATTAACTGAGAAAACACTTGGAATTTTTCAGACCAGTCTAATAGAGTTTGTGCACAGGGTGTCAAGTGATGTCCAGGTATGGAACTCTTTCCCATATGAATACATACGTTGACTGCGTGGCAGACTCGCCTTCGTCGATGTTTCTGTTTGGTCATCGTTCAATACCGACTTGAAAAATGTGAATACCACGTCATCATTTGGTGCTTTCTCTAGATCACTCCGAACACTGTCCAGTCCTGGTGGCTCGGGGCGTGGCTGGATCATTTTCATCTTCTTTGAAGACATTTTGTTCCGCAGTAAACTCTTGCCAAGCACAACGAATGCGCTATGCGCAGCTGAATAAGTTCTATATTACTTTCATGCTGTAGAAGAGCGCCCTCACGTGTTCGCATTTTATTGTTTCATAATTATCATGTAAAAAAAAATACAATTTTTTTTTTAAATCCCCCTCCCTCTCCCCTCCCCTCCCCCTGCCTCATGGGCGTTGCCAGAATTTTTTTTCTAGAGGGAGCAAACCCTCAAAATCCTTGTACTTTCTCTAACATATTCTCAATTTATCTTCTTTGTTTTCGACGGTGGGTAGGCTGGCCAGGGGACTTGCCCACCCCACCCATGCACCCCATTCATGCGGACGCCCACGTTGTTAACTGTGTACTAAATTAACAGCAATATGACTTCGCACCTTGTTCTTCTTTTTCCCTCCCTTTTTCTCCCTTTTTTGTGGTTTGGATGCTTTTACGGGGGGGGGGGGGGGCTTTCACCCCTTCCTTCGCCACGCCCATGTCCTGGCCGTGTGTTCAAGGAATATATGGGCCCCAATCAAATACTGATACGCAGATTCGAGTATGCTACCCTGAACTGTGCGGGCGGGATATGTTACCCACGGAGTTATGCAGACTATAGTACACGCTATTCTCAGAATAAAATAGAAATATGATGCAGGAATATAATGCTTTATTCGGCTAATTGAATATGTCTATAGAGGGCGCTATTCAATAGACCGTTGGGGAAAAATTGTCACCAAGACAAGAATTATTGAAAGGCGCGAAGGGAACTTTGGATGAGTAGGACTTAACATTGGTAGGCCTACCTACTGACGAGGGATTTCACGGCGATGCGAAAAAAACCCCAGCTTTCTGAGATAAAATTTAAAAAATAAAAATACTAGAACCAGTGGGTAAACATTGATCCCCTGCACAAAAGGCACCCGCCGTCTCAAAATATACGTATACGAGTGCGTGCACTGATGAAACAAAACGTCTTGCGTGTAGGCCTACAATATTTCCGTCATAGGGGATATAGACACAGGAAAGGCTGATTCCACTCGTATCCCTTTGGCAGGTTTGTCTGGCCTGATCGCCGATAAGCTTATGATAATGATTCATTAGGTCTATAATGATAATTGGTAAAGACAATGTATACTATATTAGCATGTAATGGTAGACAAACTGTCTCTGAGCCAGCAATGAGCTCATAATAGATCCTAAAGCTTTATTGCACAAATTAACATCATTATTATATTACTGCCCATTAAAATTATGCGGTGTGTACATTTACTTGCAGATCTGAAAGTGCATTCCGGGGTTATTATACAGGAAAAGGATAATGTCTGGGCCCTGGGTTCAAATGTATTTTTTTTTTGGGGGGGGGGGAGGGGGGTATATAACAACACTTTTAAAGGAGTTAAGCCAATTAACACATGGTACTCCTTGGGTTCAAGGTTGAAGGCATAAGGACGATGACCTTGAGAACAATAGCTCCCTCTCCCCCAACCTCAGTGCTTACTTTATTTCCAACATCGTTTCCAATAGTATAGTGGTGGGCGCGTACTGCCTCTCCTCCACCGCTTTTCCATGATCACAATGCATGCATGAATTAAAACAAAAAATCAATAGGTTGTAGCCTGTGCATTAAACTCAGGCAACCCCCCCCCCCCCTCCCCCACTATTTGATTTACGGAGGGCGGGTGTCCGGTGAAAATACCCTGTCTACCTTTCAGCACGGATGGAATTTTTGGGCGCCTCTCCATTGTAACCTCAAGCTCCCACACGCCCCCCTCCCCCCCCCCCCCCCCCCAGAACCCTGGCTACGCCGCTGGAAGTTTCAACCCCCCCCCCCCCCATCTTGTATACGTCCCCTCCTTGGCCTTTACACTGTGCTCACTGCATCGCGTTAATTAGATCGTCTACCGACTTATCACAAGTGCTCTTTTTTCTAATAATCGTCTGATTGCTATAATTATCTTTTTTTCAGTTGAAGTGTCACTTCCTTTCTCTAGCTGTTAAAAGGGGTGTGAGTTTGTATCCATGTACTTTTTGGTTGTTTATTTGGTGACCACTTTCACTTCATCATCCTGTGCGCTGCACGGTGATTGGACGGGGCTGCGTCTAGGCGGCGCTGTTACAGGTGCACGGGGTGATCACGACCACGTTGTGCACCATGTGTACATACTAGGCAGTACGGGAATTGATTCAACTAACTGACAGGTTGTACAGTGGAGCTTAGCTGGCGTTCCACCTGCAGTTAAGTTATAGTGTGAAGTTAGATCGGTGTCTCGTGCGATCCCTTGATAAGACCAAGATTTGCCAGAAGAACATTTTAAGGAATTTCCCGATCGCTTAGAGAAAAAAAAAAACCTAGGAGATTCATGTCAAAATGGATCGGACTGGAGAGGTTTTGGAGCAAGGACGCAGCAACGGGGTACGGCCACAGAACCACATTCTGCCGGTAAGTTGAGTTGTTTTTATTGTCATGTACGTGTAGCATGACTGCACATTCATGTACCGGCATGACCGGGGTAATAAAGTACATGTACTACAGTACTAGTGCATACTTCACCAAAGATCGATATGGTCTGGATCGGAACTCTGGGGGCAAAATAGTATTGTGCCGAATAGTTTATCCTTGCACAGTAAAAAAAAAAGCAGATCAAGTTTACAGCTCTAGACAAATTCTTTAGAAATGAGACGTGACATATTCAATTCTCTACAGTATTTGTTCTAGGCCTAGGTCAGCCACTGATAAGATTTGTCGATTGCAAATCTTAACAGGGAAAGAGTTCCATACCTTGAAATCACTTGACACCCAGTGCACAAACCCTATTGAGAGTGGTCTGAAAATTCCAAGCGTTTTCTTACTAAATGCTTCAATATTTTCCCTGCTAAATTTGACCGTTTAGGATATGTTACCGCTCTCTGATGGTGGATAGGTCACTGCAGGGAGAAATTAGTGATGTCCATCTATGTATGTAATTCTTCCCCTTAAACTTAAGGTAGAATGAAATGAAATGAAATGTATGTTCGTAAATGTAATTGTAATTATTATTAAAACCAAAGTAATGAAAACCAATTTTTTTTTTCAAAGATGGGATGCTTTTATTTTAATTTTTAGAGCATTGTAACTAAAAAAATATAAAAGAGTAGTAATAAATGAGGCCCTAAATACTTACAATGAAATAGTTTCATATCTTCTCAAAATGGCCGGGCTTGTTGAAAATGTCGTGAGGGCATGAAAACTCCACGAACAATTCCTGACATCATCAGAAGCAGCTCACTACTGATGTGGAATATTTATCCTTTTTAGGAAGCAAACTTTTTCTTTATTGAAAACAAACTTGGGAAAAATGTTGCAACCTGACGCCACTTCCGCGATTGTGTACAAAGTCTATAGAGAGTCAAGACAATTTTCCTAACAAAATTGGAAATGTTTTTCAGTCCCAGGTTAGTGTCTTATCATCATTTTTGCAATGACTGACCTTCATTGAGATGATTCAGAAAACAGTGGCGTCAGGTTGCAACAGTTTTTCCACAAACTTTAAAATTTTATAACAGAAATTTGTCGGATCTGTGCAGTGAAGTTGAGAAAGTTCCCGTCAGCACTACTTGAACTGACATACATGTTTCATGTACCAGTACTACTACTTGTCCTTTTTTTTTCAATTATTTCACGCATCGTTTCTCTGAGCCAATTTTTAATGCACTTTTTCATTTTCAAAACGGGGTGCTTTATCGTCAAGGTCAAATGTAATGGAAAATACATGCTTCAATTCTCATCTTTCGGCCAAAGTTTTTTTTAGTTCTGCTTCTGATTACATGGCATTTGAAAATAGGGTAGGTAGGTAGGGAATATTTTTTTTTGGCACTACGTTTTTTTGTGTGTACAATCATATGGAGGTGTCTGCGCGTAGTAAAGGGTAAAAGGTAATAATTGATGATTTTCAGGTTTTTTTCCTCATTCCCCCCCCCCAAAAAAGTAGGGTAGGGGCTGTCAAAATAGGGTAGATAGGGTAATCGGAAGCAGAACTTTTTTTTGGCCTCTGTCATAATGTCAAAGAGTCATATCATGCATGCACAGACAGTGAACAGTTGAAAATAAAATAATTCTTTTTACACAGTGATTGAAAAGATCCTTGCAAATCCGGTCACCTTTGAATGATCAAAAGGGTCCTTTCAAAAATAAATGCTTGAATTAATAATTGTGTAGGCTGGAGTCGAGCTTATTATTTGTGGTTTATATTCAAACTGACAAAAGAAAAGAAAAACAAATTGTAAAGAAAAATAGCTTGGAAACGCTTGTCAGATTTCATCAAGGACAAGTTTTGTATGACTGTTATAAAATGATGTAGCAGTAAAGTTCACATTTAATGGATATTAAAGTTCTGATACCGGTGTACACAAAATTGTTCAACAAATTTCACCTAGCCTATGAAAGTCCTCACATTTTAACTAATAGGCCTATATTATATGTCCATTTACTTAGAAATATGGTTTTAAAGTTGAACATAATCGCAAAGATTTCAATTTTTTCAGTTGTCATTCTGCCCCTTGCAATGCATAGATTAGTTTGATTTTAAAATCGCCTTAAAAGTTTTTAAAACATGTTTATTCTCATTTGTCTAATCCAGCATTTTTTCAAGCTATTCGGTACTCCTTTTTTAGATAGGGGGAATTTTGTACAAGTCTTCGAATTGCAGGAAAATTATATGCATATGCAGGCATAGATATGTTCTTAATGTGTCATTTTTTTATAGCTTATAAAATAAACTGAATGACTTGACAGACTTAATTGTGATTAACTTTGTGATGATTTCACTACAAATCTACAACAGATATGTAATGAAATCAATTATGAAAAAAAGGCATTCCTTTGTTAGTGTTTATCTCCTGTAATGACACGATTCAATTTGTGATGGTTTTCGTTTTGTTTTGTTTGTATCTCAAAGCCAAGGCATCATCCCTTCTACAGTCAAGCCATGATGTCAGCGCTCTCCCTCGACCACGCCAGACGCCAGGAAATCTTCCGCCGTCTTGAGATGATGAACGGCCGCGATGACTACGATTCTGACGAGATGGACGGAGAACTCAACTACAAGGATGAGGAGGACGAACAAGAAGAGGGCATGTTGACGCCGGAGGACAAAGAACTGGACTTGTCCCTCGGACACCGGAACCCAAGAAAACTGAGTCCCCACCGTCACCCTATATTCCCTCCGCGGCACTATAAGACCTCACCTCCGCACCTGAAGACCCCACCCCCTATCAACGGAAGCCCCGTTCACTATGAACCTCATGCTAGAAGGAACTCATTGTCTCCGACCTCGGCGATCAGAGAGTATGCCTCACGAGCCGAGAAAACCTTCGAGAAGTCCCCACTTGAGAGGTCCTCACTCGAGAGGTCGCTGTTAGAAAGGTCTCCTTTGGGGAGATCCAGGTCACCTTCTGAGGGGCCCGCATCAACAAAAACCTCTGAGAGGTCCTCATTAGAAAGAGAGAGAACCTCTCTGGACAGATGCCCGTCGGAGAGATGCCCCTCAGATGAGGAGACCAACTCGCTGAATCTGGCTAACCGACCCGAGGACTATTCCATCAAATTGGAGAAGCCGTGCGTTGGCAGCCCGTATTCCGAAGATGAGAACGACGTCTTGGAAGACGCTAAGCCCGTCTCACCGACGGCTTTCAAGGAGGACGGAAAGCCGGAGCGAGGTGGACAGTCTGAGTGGACTTTTGAAGAGCAGTTTAAGCAGGTGAGGTTTTTTTTCACTTCTAATTTCTGTAACAGTGTAAGGAAAGTTTTGTAAAAAAAAATTACAAATAGAGATAGTAAGTTTTTGTATTTTTGGATATATTTATGTATTTATTTTTGGAGGGGGCAGGCGGGCAATGTTGTTACCAACATTTTGCTTGTTCTTTTACTGAAAAATGTTGAAGTTCAACTGAAAACTTCAAATTGCAAAATATTCGCCCCGAAGAACAATTCACAGTTTTTGTTGACTGAACTTGACACGAACCTTGCAGAATTTTGCACCATTTATTAACATATGTTTCAACAACCAAATTCCTTAACACCTTGAAAGTACATACACATGTTTGCAAGATTGGTGGGAGAAAAGTGCACCAAAAATAACCGAAATTCATCTGGTCATCATTTTTAAAGATCAATTTTGGAGACTATGGACTTTAAGTGGCCCCCGCCACTAACAATTGCCAGGTGCAGCCCGCGTTTCGCTGCACAAACGTTCTGTGAAAGTGACAAGTTCTCTTGGCCGATACCCCTGACGCTTAAGGAGATTCACTTCCCTACAGATGACTGATTCTTTCTGGATGAGTCACTACCTGAAACCACGGATTAGGTTTCAGCAATAAATGTAGTTTGCACTTTCTGTATCAGATCTGACAACAGGAATATTGTGAACATGAAGGGTGCGAACCATGTACACTGTATACTGCCTTATTTGCTGCCATAAGTTTTATAGGACCTATTCGCAAGGAAGCTATTTTTGATCGTGTTGCCTGAATAAGCACCGTGAATCCCCCATGATATATCGATATTACTCTATTATTCAATATTATTTTGATATCAATCATTGTCAATATCGCCGATGGAATTTTTTTTTATCATATCGAAATATTGAAATTGTCGATATTGAGGAATGATATCGAAAATATCGAAAATGCGTCAGATTATCCTTAAAATCAATCTCCCGTTTGTGCTTTTACTTTGTGTTTAACGTTTGCTGTATAATGAAATAAAACTCGGCGGCAACTTGTGCTTTTGACTCAAAATAAAAACATTATGAATTGCCAAGCGGCGACACTTTGTGCTCTGCGTTCACTGGAATTCGCAGTCTCCCCCAATGTAAAACCTCAAAAGAAACCACCCGTTTTGGACAAACTCTCGGTTCTGAGATTTGTTTTAAAGGGAATGTACAACATTTGCTTTTGCTGCAAGCAGACTGGTATTAATTTGTAATTAACTTTTTTTCTCATTGATTTCATTTCTATTCGCAAGTTTTAAAAATGAAGATTTTACCTCGACTCGTGAATATTTCTTGGGATTAAAATTTCTTGAAATGTAAAAGCCTGGCACCGTTGCAAAACTATCATGCACAGGGTAAAGTTAAGATTGCATTCAGACGTTCGCCAGTCCGTATTTAAAATTACTTGACATTAATAGCTTAATTGTCACTCAATGTCAGACAAAAAGTTGTTGAAAGAAAATGGAAACTTAGTTTGTATTGTTATTGTGTGTGTTTAACCCCCCAACTGTTTCCTGTGCCGTGTGTGCACTTTCTTACAGGGCATTCTGTAGTCTAGGTTGCTACTGTTTGTTCTTACGCATTGGAGACACAGTCTGTGTGTTTGCATAGTCAGGTGTTTCTCAGTATAGCCTAATCTGTTTGTCCATGCCTAAACTCATAGCTAACTCCACTGAGGAATGTTGCAAGTCTTTGCTGGTTGCGAAAAAAAAATACTCTGCTGAGTTTATTCTGTGTAAGGGACAGAGTCACTGACTGACGGACTGACTGACTGGCGGCCAGAATTCCCTACTGTTCTTCATGGATGCACTGCCTGACCGACCAAATTCCCGACTGATGGACAGAGTCACTGTCTGGCCAACTGACTGACTGACTGACCGACGGATGGTCACTGCTGACTGACGGATGGACAGTTACTGACAGACCGACGGACTGACAGTCGTTGGGGTGATATAAATCAAATTCGGTTTTGCCCGTCACCGACGTTTTAACACTGTATACTCAGTGTGTTACCTCCCGAGTGAAAATTGGAAAAAAATCACTCGGGTGGGACTCGAACCCACGACCTCCTGCTTTCTAGTGCAGATGTCTTACCACTCGACCACCGAGCTAACGGGATCGGTTGGCTGGTTCGAATCTGATGTACATATAGCAGCGGGTACCGCATAAACTATTGTAAGATGGAATTTTGCATTGGGGTGATATAAATCAAATTAGGTTTTGCCCTTTACCCGATAATTAAACACTGTATACTCAGTGTGTTACCTCCTGAGACTGACAGTCACTGACTGAGTTTCAATAATGTGTCAAACTGAGACATTTGGGTACAGTTTGATTAGTGTAGCAGTCTTTTTTGTCAACACACATACCAGTACTGTTATGTACTTTGTTGGATTTGTCTGTATAATTCCGAACATATTTTTAAATGGTGCGCCTACATTAGACCCACGTATCAACTGCAGTTTTTCTTCAGTCTCTGTACATTCCATAAAACATTTTGTGAATTTGTCTTCTCAGTCCTGAAAAGTAAAGGAAAAATAAAATTAAAACCCAACCCATTGATCACAATCCTTATTGAATTCCCACAGCGATCCTAATGTAACTCCCAGCATATAGTCCCGGCCGCGTAGCCAGAAGCCACCATTCTTTATACCATTAATAGTGATTAAGATTAGAATCGCAAGGATTGACGGGTTTCAAGTCCCATCTCTCCGCTAAAGCGCCCGAGCCCATTAATAATTCACCTGCCATTGTCTGATAACATGTAACCCCACTATACATCCCATGTTCTGGACCCTCATCCCCCCTGTGCTATAAAAAAAAATACCTAAAGAAAAGAAAAGAGCCAAAAAGCGATCAATAAAAGTAGGGATTACATCGGTAAGGTCTTGTCATGTCAGTGCTGTCTTTTATCTGGGAGCAGTGAGCCATCTGTCGCAGAACACGAAAGTCGTGACTGGTACATCACCGACCGATTGTATCAAGGAGAGAAAAGAAAAGGAGAAAAAAGAAAGTGGACTGATGTCCACTGATCTATTTATAAAGCGGCTTCGATGAGCGTAGATTCGGCTGTTGAAGAATTGCTCCATGATTGATTGAATAAATAATGAAATGTCTCTCAGTTTTTTTTTGTTTTTTAAGCTCCAGTTGGAGCACAAAATAGACCACTGCACAATGTTGCTGGTGGTAATTAGAACTGGCATCTATCACATTATCTGCACTTTCGTTTGTCCACTTTTTTTCAATCAAACTTCCGATACTTAAAAAAAAGAAAAGATTCTGCTTCTGGTTACCAGACTAACCCAATTTTTATGGTCCAGACCCTAATTGTTTTTTTATCAGGGTGGACTGTCAATATGGTAGGGAATTGTATAGCCTTGGCAGAGGGCTAGGTTTGCGCTCTGAGTGCTTTCTAGTTATTACTGGTACCAGGTATCTGTCTCAGTATCTGTACTTTTGTTCTAAGGCCACTTTTTTTTCAATCAGCAGAATTAAACTTAATTAAGCCAAAACTACGAAGGCCATTCTGTCAAATCGTTACTGAATCCACTAAATCTTCCACTAAGGCAAAACAAACAAATTGTTTTGCTTCCGGTTACCCGACCTACCGGTACCCTATTTTAATGGCCCGACCCTAAATTTGTATCGGCAAGTTAAAAACAAAAACAATTAAAACAACAAATTTATGAATTTTGTTCACCAATAATAACACCACCCAAAATCCAAAGAAGAATGTTCAAAACCGAACCTGTTGAGGTTTCAGCTCAGTGGATATTACAATTTTCAAGAAAACATTCTTTTGGGGGTGTTTGTTCAGCTCTCTTGGGCAGTCAGTGCCGGATTTCCTTGACGTGGCTACGGCTAGCAATTGCTTGTGTGTCTGTGGAAAGAAGCTGAAGCCACTTCCCATAACCATGTGTGTTACTCTGAGCTAATGATGAGCAAACCGGACCCAAAACCGAAACTGACCCGACCCAAAACCGACTTCGGGTCGGGTCGGGTCGGGTCGGTTTGTCCATCTTGTCAGTCGGGTTGGGTCGGTTTGAGTTTTTCATTTTCATTTTCGGGTCGGGTCGAGTCGGTTTAGCCATCTTTTGAAAAAACCGAAATAAACCGAAATAAACCGAAACAGTTCAGAAATTCAGGTGATGCAATATTACTGACAGTCACTGTGACCGCAGCCCATTGTGGTGTGGCCACCGAGCACCCTATCAAGTTCCCACGGTACTAATTTCTCCAGTCGAATCGGGACTGACAGTGAAATAGATAGATTGTAACAGTTTTCATGATACTGCGTGGTGATACCATGCGTTTGTTCAATAAGCGGAGTTACTCTCGATCAACCAACTGAGTATGACAGAGAGAGAGACGATGGTTTTGCAAAAGAATTTATGCCACGTGGGTAAGGGCAGGCACAAAAAAGTGATCACTTTGTCCAAGCCAGGTATTTGGGTTTTTTTTCGTTTTGTTTTTTTTCGGTTCGGGTCGGTTTTACGTTATTTTTTGTCGGGTCGGGTCGGTTTGAGGGAGTTAAGATCGGTTTCGGTTCGGATTCGGTTTATATCTCTAATGTTTCGGGTCGGTTTGGCCTGGTCAACCCGACCCGATGCACATCATTACTCTGAGCCATAGCCAAACTGGAATGAGCTCAGATCCCTCTTACAAAATTAAAAAAAGAAAAATGCATCCCATGCTGAGCGTGTTTGCCCAACGTTTCACATCCCCAGATTTTTTTTCAGTTGCAGTTCACTTCCTTAAATTCAAAAACATACTGCACAAGAAGTCAGTCATTTATGACTTCGGTTTGAACGATTCATTCACTTGTCATGCCCTTCTGCCTCAGACTTCCTTCAGACTGATTTTTCCCCTCGATTTTTATCTGCCAGAAACACCTTTTGTTTTCTTGCATCAGCACTTCCTGCCAGGGAGCTTTCTCACCTTAATTACTCTCCCCCCCCCCCCTCCCCCTGAGTCTTATTGGCTGGTTCCGTCCGATGGAAAATATGATTATCAAAAAAATTTGGCGCCTGATAGATTGTGTACATCCTTTGTTATGAAATAATCCGATTTTTTATTTCCTGCGTGGAAGGGTGCGTTAATTTGTTTTGATGTAATAAATTGGAGTGCAGCTGAACTGGAATTTGTGCCAGGCTAAAAATGTATGTGTTTTTCTTTGTGAACTACATTGAGAAAACTCAGTCTCCTCTTAATTTAAGTATACTTAAATTAAAGGGAAGATACAACATTTGCAAACATCCCAAAACAAAATGATCAAATTATTACAAAATACCTTACTGGATTGTTAGGGAATGACAGTCTAAAGCATCCTGTAAAATTGTGGCTCCTGGTGTGCTGACATTTTCAAGAAAAATGGTATTTTTCCAACGCTGGTGATAAATTCTCTGTTTCATCTTAAGTGGGGCCAGGGAACCAGACTACAAGAACATGAATGGTTTTCTTGGATTTTCCAGCATCTACAAGCCCAAAACGTGAAACAAGTCATTTTAACAATATTTGCTATAACATACTAATCATCCAAATCCATTTTTTCTGACAATTGCAGCAAAAGCAAATGTTGTACATTCCCTTTTAGAGAAAGATAGGCTACCCCGCACGTTCTCCTAACCAAACTTTGAACACAGAACATTAACTACATGTTCATTTACATAATAATAGATTTACAAATGTAACATTCAAAGAGTTACATTAACCCCAACCCTCATCCTCCAAAATATTCCTGGCGTTTTGGAGGATTGTGGAGGATTGAGGATGAATGGCAAAGAAGATGTGGGTTGATTTTGGAGGATGCATTGTGTCCAGTTCATAGGCTACATGTGCACCCTGCATTGTTTATGTTCAGCCATGCATAATTTAGCCATTATGTTTGCTGTCATCAGTCACTCAGTCATAGGCATGCCTCAATCCCATTTTGAAGGATTGAGGCAGTGGTCACCCCTTCACTAAACAAATTCAAGAAATAATGGATGATCTTGGAGGATTGAGGCTGAATCCAAATTTTACATGGTGGCAATTGGAGGATTTTGCAGGATTGAGCACTGGTTCCTATGGCTAAAATAAGGGCCTATGGGGTTAGGGTATAACATTCATGTCTGGGTATAACATTCAATGATTTCATAATTTCATTTCAATTGAAGTCAAGTATTAGAGCAAATTTCAAACATTGCACTTTTAAAAATTAATCCTTAGGTTTGCAGTGTACGTGGCTTGGTACAATTAATGCTCCGTTTCAAAATTAGTTACCGCGAGGCTTAATCTTAACACTGAAGACTTGGCTAAGGTGACTGCCCTGAGAAGTAATGCAGTGAATGTTCACCTATTAATTGGCCCTGACGACCTGTATTAATTACCTGTAGCAATGTTCACATGTCTGCATCTGGTTTAATAAACTCGGTCTGTTGGCGGCAAATTAAGCCGTGATCAGACGTGGGACGCAGATTTGTGTGCAAGTTAGCGCTCTCATTGAAATGACTCCTACGCGAGACGTACAGGTTGAGTGTTCCTGCAGTCAATGCACTCGTGACCCAGACAGGTCACGTATTTAATAAGTTCTCTCTGACATTTTCAGTTTGCATTGTCTTGAAGTTTGGGATTCAACCTCTCTCATAATGGCAATTTAAATCTTTACATAATTTTTGTTGGATGTTTAACTTTACACATAATGTCTTTCAACATGAGACAAGCAGCTTTTCCTCGGATCCGCTGATTTCCTTCTCTTTTTTTTTACTCCTCATGAATGCCATTACAAATTGAAAAACACTGTACAAAGCCTTGTGTGGATTTTCTAAATTCCCAGTTGCATGCGTGCAATATACAAGGTACATGTATGTCAGTAGATCCTCCCTCTGCAAGAATAAACTCTAACCATCCCCAACCCTTCAAAATCCAACTGCATGTTTTGTTGGAATCTGTTGGAGTGAGTATACTGCACTAGTAAACTGATTAAATGCTTTACATGGGGTCAGGCATAAATATTGGAGGTACATCTGGTGTTGAATTTTGCAAGAGTGAGGAAGGTTCCTAGTATCAGTAAATGACTCAACCCTACAGTTTAAATGTTAGAGTTTTTTGCGTGAAACTAAAAAGCATTTTTCATTGACGTTTTAGGATTTGTAGCTTAATTTCAAGGTACCTTTTTGACAATGCTTGAGTTCATTTAATTTGAGGCCTCAGAAGAACTTATTAAAATGAGAAGGAAAAAAACAGACAAAGGAAATGTGTGCGCTTCCAAGTTGCTATTCAAAAACAGAAAAAAAAGTGGGTTTTTTTTGGTACCAGGCAAAATTACTTCTGATGCCGTTTTTGAACCAATGACTTTTTAACAGCTTGAATCCTATTCTGTTCCGTTTTGTTTCCTCTTGGCTGCAGCTGTATGAATTATCCGACGACCGTAAACGGAAGGAGTTTCTGGATGAGCTTTTTTCATTCATGCAGAAAAGAGGTAAGTCGAAATGGTAATTGTATTTTTGTGTCGCCTAGCGCGATGGAGGTTCTTTTGATCAATTGCTCGCCGCCAGTTGAACATGCTGGGTGTATTTTTTTCAATAGGGTTTACACCCTCTTCAACATTTAATTGAAATTTAGTTCAATTTGATCCATTTCCCGGTGACAAACGTTGAAGTAGCCTTGTGACATTTGCCGACATTGGCAGTTTGTGAAGCGGCACAAATTCAGTCTCAATTGTGTGAATTGGGTCAATTTCAGAGAGTCCGTGTGTTAACCCTCCTGCTCTCTGAACAGTCACAGACAGTCAAAAAAATACATCCTCCACCCCTGCTATACCTTTTACACAGGCTAGTCACCAGCAGTCAGATCATATTTCAAGCAAACACTGCAACTAATAAAATTCAGTTAACAGACAAATACAGGCCGGCAAGTGGTAGGTAAATCTAGCTTATCAATCCTTCAGTCAAAGCATGGCTGTATCAAGTGACATAAACAGTCACAGCCAGTTAATCCTGCTGTATGTAGGAAGGGAGCACTCAACCATTAAAAACATTCTCTTGACTGATTTTGACTAAAAGGACAACTTTGCACAGAATGTATGTTAGCATAGGAGGGTTAAAGATGCGTGCTGCCTTCCCTAAAAAAACAATTGATTCTACTGAGAATAGAACTAGTTTCATGCAAAGACTTGAATTTTGTAAAGAACAAAATCAATAATTAATTGTTAGTGGATTTTTTTGTTCGATGTCTCATGCAAACTTTTAAATTGGTAGGAAAATGTAGCAATTGATTTGAAAGAGAGAAATTCGTTTTTTCGAAGTGAAACTATAGAAATAGCACAGAGAATGCAACTTTAAGCTTGAAATTTGCGACTGAATTAATCTGAAGGCCTTTCACACTTGAGCATCTGCCCCCGGGGCCACCATGGGGTGACTATTGACTTTTCAACCTCCAGTTCAGCCACTCAGTGTTTCAGACTTGTTGCCCACAAACCGTGTTTAATATCACACTCTAAGTTGTCATTTCGCGGCAGCCAGTAAAAAATACTGAGTTCGTCATTGTCAAATTCAAAACATCGAACATTGGACAAAACTTGCCTCATCCAATCCTCGAATATGTAATTTCAAGTGGACATGCATAAAAATAGAATCGTGGCTTATTTTTGCCTCAGCGTCGCCCCAGGGCCACTCTCTCCTCCCCATCCCCCCAGATGAAAAGGCTAAGTGTGAAAAGGCCTTTGAAAGCCCAAACCTACAATGTAAGCTGCTGAAATTCTTTTTGTACATGTAGGCCTATACCTTTTCAACCCAAGCTATACGTGCACACATACATGTTTTGTAGTTTGAGTCCGTACAGATCACAATTCGTTTAGACTCAAGTCAAGTCACAAGCTTCACAAATGTGAAAGGTTTCTCATTTGTTATTGTTCATCTACTGTTTCTTAGGACTTTGGTGTATTTGTGACCGGACTTGAAACCAGGCTTGTGATAGCCTTGACTACAGTAATGAATTGAACACTTGAAGCAAAACAGCACATATTAACAATTTATTAACTGAAAGACTTCACAAATTTGTCTAAAGTTAAATAATCAGGGTATAGGGCCTAATACTCGCAGAGATAATAGCACGCAGCAACAAGTGCCAGAGATACAATCATTTTAATTGATTGATATCATTTTTATGACCTTTCATCCTAAATGGCCATCAACAATGTACCAGGATAATTTGCAAGACGTTCAGTTATTTTAATTAATTTGTGTGTGTGCGTGGGTGTGCGTGTATTCAAATAGTGGACCTTAAACAATAGAGGACAATCCATGAATTGGCGAAGATCCACCTTTGCAGACTAAAAGCAGACAGTAACAAGTGCCAGAGACACGAAAGTGTTAATTGATTGATATCATTTTTTATCAGCGTTCATCCTAAATGGCCATCAACGATGTCCCACAGTGGCAAACACAGGATATGGCTTAGTTGGGGGGGGGGGGGGGTTTTCACAATTTTTTGGTCAACATTTTTTAGAAGTTTAAATTTTTCAAAAAATGTTGTCCAAAACTTTTGCCCACAAAAAATATTCCCAATATGCCTGTTTAGGAACCGAAAACTGAAAAATGTTGGCCTGTCTTAAGTACAGTGGAATGCCGCTATAACGAACATCGCATGATCCACAGAAAGTGTTAGTAATAACGATCGTTCGGTAAAGCGATTTTGAATCGCCGGTACGCTCTTTTGGCCAATAGTGAACTGCCATTTCTCACATCCTGCGGCTACACGAGGAGTCGTCACGAAACTTTAGCAACGGTGGTTTTCCCTTGTATTCCTTGGGGAAATAATAGCCATCCATCGCTCTTCAACATTCAAACATGACGTAACTATGGGTGGTTTGATGTTCAGGAATTAAAGTGACCCAAATAGCATTTAATACATCCGGTAGATTTTTTGTTCTTCTGTTGACTTTTTTCAACAACAATGTTCGGTACGTTTTGTATATTAAAATCGGGAGCCACGGATGATGTTCGGTATAGCGGTGTTCGGTATAGCGGCGTACCACTGTATAGACCAATTCAGGCACGCTTTTAATTCTATCACAGAGGCCCCTTCAGTGGCCAAAGCGTTGTGCCGTTGTTCAGATAATCCATCATGGGGGAGTTGCTTTGTACAATAGCACACAGGCAAACAGTTTCTCCAATGATGAGTGCTGAGTGTATTGTGGGCTGATTTCTTCAGAAAATGAAACTAAATTAATTTGTGGGAAACAAATTTTTTTTATGGGATGTCACACAAATTGATTAATGTTCACTAAAGTGTTGCTAGTACACAAGATACAAAATTGCAAATTTCTTAAGATGTTTCATAAGTTGGACTTTCCGTGCATAAATTAGCATAGATTTAATCACAAAATGTCACACTTGTGCCAGGTCAAAATGTCACACACGTGACCACAGAACAATTCCCATTTAGTAAAACTAAAGCAGAGGATGTACATTGTTATGCATTCTGTAAATCACACAAGACTGTAAATACTGACACAATAAGTATGGGTGTGTGTGTCCTTAGAACTTAAGAGAAAAGCGTGAATTTCTGGTATGGGCCGGATAACATTTTAACGTCTGATGTCACACACGTGACCGAATTTGATGACCCCTCCTAATATTTTGACACAATTTGTGAAAGTAGAAACTATACTCTGAGGTAGGGAGTAAAAAGTACTAACCTGATGAATCAGTGAAAGTAATAATGAAGTTAAAGGATAAAGCTTCAAAAATCGGACAAGCCCAATTTTATGTCACACAGTGACCAAAGAATGGCCCCATGATGTACAATGTAGCAGTATTGTAAATGTAAATGTACAATGTACAATGTAGCAATGTATTTTATGTCACACAGTGACCAAAGAATGGCCCAAGATGTACAATGTAGCAGTATTGTAAATGTACAATACTATGCATACTCTGTAATCATTCAGTATTTTTTTCTTTTGTAGATTTATTTATTTATATTTGTTATTGACATCCGAGGCAGGTGCATGAGAGTCTTCTGCAGATGCCATCATTTATTCATCGCATGACAGTAAATGGCGCAGACTTATGTACTATGCAAAGCCTGAATTATTACTTTTGTGCGTCTACAATGTATCCCAAGGATTGATTTAGTGTATTAATCCCCTTGTCGCCTCATGCTTTTTTATTGACTTGAGCGTAGGTCTTCGTTTTCCCTCAGGGCAGGATGTTCTGATGACGGCGGGAAAACAAAATAACTACCCGCTACAGTAAAAGCGTCATATTGGGTTATATATGGATTAACAAATTAATCTGAATTTGGCAGCTAGCCAGACAGTTTCTGTAACACCTGTGTCCTGTAGTGAGACAATTTGCGTTAATTGGATTTAACGAGTTGGACCAGACTGTAATAATTAATGCCAGGCTTAATTGATGTTTATGCTGTTTTTTTTTTTGTGGGGTCAAAAACTCCAGTGTGCTGACAAGAGGGATTGATCATGTGAAGGTTTTCGTTTTGGTCTGAAGTTGATAAGGAATGCCTGGTGAAGTGTTAAAACCATGAGCTATATTAAATTACTAGAGCACTAACTCGATGTACAAAGTAATGCCTGTTGGGCGCATCCATGTTTGTACACAAACCTATGGAAAACTCGAAATTTTGTACGGCTTTTGTACAGCTATTTGCATATCTGCGTTTGTATTCCATACCGGTGCGTCATCGAAGCCAATACGTCCAATACCGAAACGCACGATCAGCAAATGAGCGTGTCATTTTGCTCTACGCAAACAGTGCAACGCGTGTGCGCGTCTCTCCGCTGCAGATGCTTTTCGCCGTGACGTTTTTTGAACCGTCATGACGCGCTTAAGTTGTTTGCGTATCTCATAATTGCGCGTTGCATTTAGAGTACAGGCACTTTTAAAATTCAATCCATCTATTTTGATTGTGTTTTACAAACACTCACATCAATTCAAATGTCTGCACCCAGAGCGGCTTCAAAGCGTCTCTGCGCACAAGAATGAGGAGTTAGCGCTCTAGTAATTTAATATAGCTCTATGGTTAAAACACCTTGCCTTTAGTGTAAACGTGTCCTATTCATTTTTTTCCCCAGCAACAAAGTCTTACATCAAATTGTTTTGAATCCCGCCATTTTCTGGGTGGCTTTATGACAAAAATAAACTCTCATTCTTTTTTTGTTCCTGTAACAAATTGTTGTGTTGTTTCTGTACAATACTACACAGACTAGTATATTTCATTTTACATGTGGATTCAAAAACAATCTTCCTTCCTTAACCCTAACCCTGCTGAATCCAACAGGATCACATACCCGATGGAGCCTGTTGGATTTGAAGCAGTTAACCCATTGTGTGCATTCCTCATGCAAAATGTTGGATTCAGCTGGCAACTGGACCGCATTATAACGCATTGTTGGACTCCGTTGGATTCAGCAGACAACTGAAAATGAGGCACAGTGGATTGAACAGGAAAGTCCGGTTG